TCTCCACACGTTGCAAAACCTCCTTCCTTTACGGTACAAGTAGACAGCCATCCAACCCATGCTTCTGCCATGGCTAGTAAGCAAGAGACGCTGTGTCGCGAATTCAGGCTTGTCGCTTTTCGAAATTGCCTTTGTCGCTCGAGAACCTCGACCAGCTGGAGTCTACAGCTTCCAAAACCGAAACACTGGTTTTGATCAGGGCTCTGCTTGAGGCAGTCTCTCAGACTAAATCTGTGTGTCTACTTCAAGGGCCTTTTATCCTGGACATTGGCCCAAGTAGAGCCGCGCCAGTCACCTACACTTTTCACCTTATCGGAGTCCGATAGAACCTCCTTCAACCGGCTCGAGAATAGACTCCTTCATAATCCATGAGGCTGGTCAGGTTCTGGTGGAAGCTTCCATGTCTCGCTTGAGTTCGAAATTACAGGCCCATGGTCTGAGTGTAGACTTCTATTGCAGCGATAGGTCGAGAGACGATTGGAAAAAGACTGCCCGAGGGATGATGCTGTGATTTGATCAACAGCCTTCAAGGCTATTGCAGGATACTCGAGACCTTCAAGGAGCATGAATATTTCCGAAACACTGTTCCAAGGATGCGACAGCCGAAGAACACACTTCTTTTTCAACTCTGAAACCGGGAAAATGCCTCCATATCCGACTTTGTAAGCGTTCCGCGACCGTGCGGGTTTCCAAGAACCACTACTGACGGAAATTTGAAAGGCGCGCTGCCTGTAACCCTGGGTAACGACTATGGGTACTGATCAGGCCTACCTAATTAGGTCGTAGATACATATCAATCTTGATTGCTGAGGTTCCTCGCCTTAAGGCTGTGTCTCGGCTGGTTTTTGAGCCCAATGCACATTTCTACCATTGATTCAGTGTCAGCGGGAAATTTTCTTCAGGACCAATCTCAATCGACTTACACTCGACCATAAAAATGCTTCCCCAAACCGTCAAGGTCCTCGCGGACTTCCCCTACAAACACCTCGACCTCCTCCTTCATCCATCCCAGCTGTTTAGTGAACAGCGTCGTGCTCGCAGCTTCCAGCCCCATCACGATATTGTGTCTCTGCAGCCTTCTCAGTTTCTCCCAACTTCGTCTTCCGGCCACGGCCCCCACGGCAATCTCATGACTTTCTCTGACATCTTTGCGAATCCCTGGTTAACATGTAATCTTTGAACTTGTCACCCGGCGCAGTGTCATTGCCACCTTTTGCCATCGCTTCATGTATGAGATTACCAAATCTCATGAGCGCCGAGTCTGGACCTGCACTACCGTCATCGAAAATTAACGGGTAATTACATTGTTGTGACCATACCCAGCCTTCAGGTTTCAGGCTGTCAAAGCAGCGTCGGAAGTAGCTTGGCCAATCATGCATGCCGGAATAGAAAAATCGCGAATGGATGAAGTGAAAAGGCTTGGAGAAAGTCCAGTCATTGTCTGCATTTGCAACCTGATATTGGCAGTTGGCAGGTACCGAGGTCTTGGGTTGAATAGTCGACAGATCGATGCCATTGACTTGGGGTATGCACTGGCATGCGCGATTTCGATGGTCCAAATGCCTGTTCCGGTGCCGACGTCAAGGATTCGACACCCAGGAGCTGGTGTGATAGGCGAGATACAGAGCTTGCCGTGCATACTCATCCGTCAGACTTCATGCTGCAAACCTGACACATCCTCTCAATATAATGTCATATGTGGAATGTACGTAATCTATCCACTTCTGCTTCATCGTTGGGATGATCATAAGCGTCTTCCTCGTGAGCATGATATCTTCGACCATCCTTGTAGCGCTAGGCTGGATCTTGGTCCGACATTACAGCACAGTGTACGAGGAATCACGGCCTACGTCGAAGGGGATAGCACGATGGTAAAGAGAAAAGATTGCATCGCTGATTTGATTGTGGTACACACTTAGCTCAAGCGGGGTACGAGCTAAAGTCTGACAACACTACAAGAAATCACTCCAGGACACCGTGAATTAACGTCTGGACACCCATTGTTGCGAGTCAGCTCATGAATGCGGGCTATGATGATGCAGCAGGGAAGGGCGAAAGGGGGCGAAAGTCACCAGATTGATTGTCCCGTCTTTACAAATTTCTTCGACCTTTATTGTCAATTTTCTCAATCATTCCGGTATCGCCCAAGAATCCTCCCCGCTAAGACGTGAGAGAATTAAGACGGTGAAGAGTTGTTGTCTTGAAGAACATACATGCCAAACCAAGGCTTCTCGAGCGCTAATGAGTAAGCGGTGGTATCTGGAGAGGTTTTCATCATCTTGTAACTCTGTATCCGTCAGTCCTGCTTGTCAACCACCAAGGCATCTTCATTTCAGTCATCTGGGATTCGAACACGATTGGCGCATGTATTATCCCCTGCTCTATATGTCCGGCTTGAAACTTTGCACGTCTCGGCCACATGGTACGCTGTGGGTTGGCGGTTTTGAAACGCGCATGCTGACATCGAAACATGTTTTAGATGAGATCTATGCGCCTGCTTGAAACGACACTATGCTTATCCCCCATAAGACTTGAGCGAAACATGCCGGATGACGAAATCCCACGTTCACGCTGTTGCGAAATATACAAACGACGACAGTCAACTTACCGTTGCGAAATGAAGTAATCACGGATCACCAATCGAAGCAAGGTTCTTCCCAAAGCCCGGTAAATTTGGGTGGCAATATGAAATATGCGACACGCCTTGGGATGCCGTACCTGCGTCACACCATACGCGCGTATCACAGCGACGCGCTCTAGAAGCGCTAGTCAGCCCCTGGTGTATCCACAATGGAAAATAATCATACATAGCTGAGCTTCCTGACCTGTTCAACGTAAGAGGCTGACCAGACTCATTTTTCCCCGTTGCCGCTTGATATCTTTTTCCAATCCTTCTTCGGACTCACTGTCTCTATCGATTCCATTTCAAGCAATACTGTGTTTCCTTTAGAAAGTTCTCTCGGCTCCGTCCTCGCCTCGGTCAGAGCCTGTAAGCCTTTCAGTCAAGATGTCTCGATCTCACCAACCATGGCTTTCCAGCGCCATCGTCATTGCCCTCCTCTGCATCAATTCCTCCATAGCCAGTCCAGTCGCAAACGCCGACCGCTCCCGCGTTTCCATCATCGGCGCATCCGAGCCCGTACACATCATACCCTCTGAAGACCTCCCTCCAGAGCGATTTTCCCTTAATGGTGGCAGCACCATGGTCAATGACGGCACAACCGTAACTACTACTTTCAAAAACCGCAGAAACCTAGCGCAGAGGAGAGACTCGCTCTCCATCGTCTCTGTGTCCGAGCCCGTACACTTTTTCCCCATTGAAGACCTGCCACCAGAGCAACCTTTTCCCAATGGTGGCAGCACTACGGTCAATGACGGCACAACGGTTACTACTACTTTCAACGACCGCAGAGACATGGTGCGGAGAAGAAATTCCGACTCCATCGCATCTGCATCGGAGCCCGTATACGTCATCCCCACTGAAGAAATACCTCCTGGCCACAGTTCTAACAGTGGCAGCAGCAGCACCACCAATGACGGCACGACCGTAACTACTACATACACAACACCTCGGAACCTCTTGCAGACCAAATCCAATGTCACGGGCAGTGTCAATCTTATCAATATGAGAAACCTGACTTCTCCAATCTCAGAGATAGACATGGGCTTGAACTGCGAAGGCAGCGTAATCATGTGCATCGGCTCTGCCCAAATGGGTGTCATGCACACCCTGCGCGACTACACGTACGCCATCCCAACTGGGTACCGTTACTATGCTGGGCAAGATATCGCCTGCATGAAGCACAATGTCTACCCGAACCCTTGGATTACCTGGGGCTTCTACTGCATTTTCATGCAGGGGAACATACTGGCGGCGGGCGTGGACGGTGCGTTGATCCAGTTGAAGATGCAGCAAATGATTGAGCATCACTGTCTGGGGTGCGGCAGCGTGCCGTTTAGCGACGATAATGACCCAAGGACCTTGGGGATCCTGACCGTCAACTATGTCCGACAGAGCGAGTGCGAGGGATTGTGCTATTATAGACCTCCTGGGATTGCCGCGAATGCGGCTGTGAAAGTTCCGCAAGGTATGACTCTGGTTTCATAGCTGGGGTTTCGGGTGTATGAGTCGTCGCTTCACCCATATTTAGACATGGATTTCGATAATGCTGTATATTAGTAGTGAGAGACTTTGGGAACTGGCCTGCTGGTTGGAATAGATGTTCAAGTATTTGAAAGGTCTCCGGACACAATGTTGTTAGCGACACGACCCTATTCCCGCTTTTGAAGACAATCAAGCGCCCTAAGTGACAGGAACAGCGATTGTCGCAAGACCAAAGCCAATCTCGCCAGCACGATTTGCGTGGACACGAGGACACGTGACCTCACCCAGCGCCGAAGTTTCCCCGAGGCAACGAGCACCCATTTCACCTTTCAGCTCCCTTTCACCTTTGAACAGTTCACAGAGCTGCAATGCTCATGCCAATTCTGCGATACATCATCAATGCATAAATCCCTGACCTGAGAATACACAGTGTACCATGGTTTGCGACCACACCCATGTCTAGAAAACTTGAAGCTGGTCCAACCAATTCCTGTACACAGTGAGAGTGCTCCCACGCGGCTCAACATGTCAAGATGGAGAGTGGGACAATTTCCTCCCGAACCTGTGTACAAGGTTTTCTACTCCTTTAGCCACTAGATATCAAACGCCTCCATCTTTTGCACAAAATTCCAACTGGCACAAGCTCTGAGCATCTGCTTCCAGAAGTGCATGATCTCTATACCAGTCAATTCATCCAACGACTGGAAGAGATCTGTCTCTCCCCTTACCCGGCAAACGTGTCACCAGTCTCCTCTATGAAACCGATCGCCTGATATAATGTCCTGATCGTGGAATCTGGGAAAAGAAGATTCAGCCAGAGAGCTGGTTGGCACGTCAACCTTACCACAGGCGCTATAAAATTTCCGATTCATTGTTTATCGGCATCGAAGAGGACATGGGGCACGGTACAAGAGTCGCTGGGCGGATCAGCCGACGAGATCTTGATGAGAGATGGGAAGGTCTTAGGCAACTCCGTTATGAGCAGGGAGAGAAAGATCAGTCAGGCAGTAATACGCTTCCCAAGACTGCATACCATACGGATGTCGATCGAGGGTGAATTTGATCCTGTAAAGCTCGCGTTCAAGAGGCTGTATGCACCTGGCATGCTGATGCAAAGATTGGGATAGTCGGGCTTCGACTGGGACTACATCGAGACAACCGGACTTCGCCATTTCGAAGCCCCTAAGTGCGGCCATGTCAAAACGTTCCCAAAGGCGGCAATCAAACTTCCTGAACGATCATGGAGACGACGTGGCAAGCATGAATTTCCAAGACAGAACTCAACAAACCGAACTGCAGACCTTGCATGCTGGGAGCATCAATCTGCACTTCTTCGCGACAGCGATACGGGAAACCATAGCTCTGACCAACGCTAGTATCGTCTTCTCAAAGATATAAAGCTTGTGCTTGAGACGGGAAGTACAGGTATGGACCTCCGCCTGACTCAATGCCTGGTACACTTCGAGATCTCTCCTGGAAAGTCACAATCTGCGTCATTTGCCATACATGTGAATCGAGACTGCCGTCGCCGCGATGCTATAAAACTAAACGCATTCCTCTACTTTTACGGAAGTATCCGCTTGGAATAAATGGTTCGAGTCTTGGTCGTCGACTTGGCTAACGGAATGCCGCTGTTGCAAACAGCTTTCGCTAACACTGGTCAATGCAACACAAGCCTACTACAATTGCCGGCTAACTGTGCTCAGAATCGCTGACGTAGGCTCAAAAAAGGCGCTGCGACTTCATCTACTGAAAATATAAAAGCCCCGAGATCCTGACTCCAAAACCCACCTAGCCTTCGCATCAGCAGTGAAGCCTGGCCACAGATGCTGAATTTGCGCAAACTGGTTAAAGAAATCTATTCTGAGGGGCGCACTCGCTCGGATGCCCCCTAATCTGAAGTTACTCTGCATTGTCAGGTCTGTCCATTCTGGGGAGACACCATATAGGTCTGTCCATCCTTTGTTGTTTGAACTGCTAAAGGCGTATGGTCTTGTTCCGTGATTTGTTCGGCTTGATGGTGGAAGTAGAGCAGTGGATTGTCGATATAGTTGAAAAGCGGGTTTATGTGTGCTTCTTGGGACCCATGGAAGTCCCACACGCGGAAGGGTGGCATCTTGTAGTGTCCGATGATGTCGTTCCGGTTCTCACCCAGAAGCATAATATTACTGCCCGGAACAATGCTCAGGTATGAAGACAGAAAAGGCATAATACCCGACAGCCTATTGTTGATTATGTAGCTTCCTTCCTCGAAGGGATTCTTAATTCGTTGCGGAATCTCAACCACTGGGAAGATTCCTCCAATAGCGAGTCGACCCGGCACTATTGGGTTCTTGGGGTCAATGATCGGGGTACCCTCGTTGCCGCCAACCTCAACGTGCAACTCAAATATCTTTTGTTTTAGAAAAGCACCATTTGCCAGATTGAAACTCCCATAACTCTGTGCGCTGTAATGCTTTTTGACGATCCCAAGCTCCTTCAAGTCTGAACTGTACAGCGAAGCGCAGGAGGCACCCGAGTCAAGCATAGATGGCATCTCATAGATTGGGCCCAAATCGCCGCAATTTACTCGTCCATGAGCGTCGGTCTGGAAAGCGCTTCTTTCGCTGGCATTTAAAGGCTTTAAGTCTCCTTCACCACCCTCGTTTGGAAGCCTCATCACGAACCCTGATTGTTTCTGGTATCTCTGATTCAGGGTTAGCGAAGACTGTGTAAGTTAGAAATTCTTGTTATACCTGGTGGATCCAGAAATGGCCTAATCCACCTGGTTGAGCCCGTCTAGGGATGACTTGGCATCCTTTGGCTTGGAGCTGATCATTAGGATGCAAATCCAGAGGACTTTCCCACCATAGCCAGTGTGGGCCGTACTTCTCCGCGTAACGGTCTAGTCGTTCTGCGCGATTGACGCTGAACTCGCCATATGTTGCGGCGGTATCGACGACTTGCCCAGCCCAGATCAGTGTGTAGCCCTTGCTGTATCCGACCTCTCCGGACTCATATGCGTCGATGGCTGCTTTAATGTTCACCTTTTCCGGCTCAAATTCTGAGTGTGCGAGCGCTTCTTTGAGATCTTTGACCCGCTCCAAAACGATAAGCTTGGGTGCTTCCGGGTTACTATCAGACGTTAGACTCTCTTCCAACGGCATCTTCTAACAGTAACAAGCCCAGGAAATCCTCTATGTCACGGTTTCAGGCTAGAATCTGCCATTTCATCATGAACATAGGAGGGGGCCTCTGGGCACGCCCATGTCTTTGGGCAAGGGAATCCGACTTACCCAACCCTATGGTTTTCTGGAGTATCACTCAGAGCTTCGCGCGCAGCGATAGCATCCGCGAGGCTGGCTTTGCATGTTGGGACCGCACCCGGATGGTTGCGTTCATGCCACTCAATGATCTTTTTGAACGTTGCGATTCGGAAGTCCGCCCTGCCAATTTTGCTTCAAGGTTCGTTAGTCCAAAAAAGTTCCGCGCATGGGACCGGATTGTAGACCCACCTGAGACCTCCTTCAGGCTCATCATCCAAACATGGCAATGGATCGTACTCGTAGACTGGCGACGGGGCCATGCCCTTCCCAGATGCTGCCGTATCCGTTCCGCCCATGGGTATATCTGTCAGCCCAGGCATCCGTTTTCCTTTTGAATCCTCTTGCACTTTGCACTTTGGTGGGATCTTGGAACGTCCATCGGCACGCGCCCTTTCAGCAGCTGATTTTCTAGGAGGCATAGTGGACTCTGGTGCTGACTATCGGAGGTTCTGACTTGGAGCCAGTAGGGTATGCAACAAAAACCCATGCTGCCTCTCTTGAGTCATATTGCTGAGTGGTCTAACAAAGCAGTGCCGCATTCATCGATCACTGGGGGCCAGCATTCGGCTGCTGTGTCCCGGTTCCGGTCCCAGGTGAAGGTGTGGCATCCCTGCCGGGGATTCATTGAACATCTGGGCTGCTTGCAGTTCCCTGCTGCTCATCATAGTCTTTGGAGAGAGTGCGTGGTTCTGTATAGTCAGTCCCGCAGAAAGGTCACGGGGGTCGGATGAGGCTAGATGCATTCCTCGGCCCTGATTTCATTTAGCGCATTCCCTTCATTGAGCCTCCGCTGCTCGAAGACAAAGGAAGCTGTTTGACGCGAAGCTGGCACTTCAACTCCCGCGCCGAGCAGATCGGTCGCTGACACGAAGAGATTGAATCTTGATGCTGCCCTGCTCTGCACCGTCAATGATTCCCGCTTCTACCATAGCAGCAGCTATCTTCTACCGCGAGTGTGTCTCGCTACAAAATTGCAAGTGCGCGCCGCGGAGACAAAATGGTGCCTGCTCGTTCAGATTGGCTACGTCTGTCTGCTGTATCTACTGTAGGCACCTCGCGAACTTGTCTCGGGTAGCATTACACATCAGTCATCGATGCTTGGTACACATAACAGGGAAAGCTTTCAATTGAGGCTGGTTTAGTAACAGTGCGCAACACAGACTGCCTTGCTGAACAACAATAGCTCATACACCGGCGTAGCCAAAACGACGATTACTGGCGCCCTGACCTTCCACCCTTCAATTTCAAAGAGGAATGCCTGCAAAACAGAGTTTCCACCGCAGGCATGGCTAACACAATCCAGCCACCCGGTCCCCAAGCCTTCAAATAGACACCCATCAGTGTAGGCGATGTAGAGATGCATGGCGCCAGGCATTCGCGCAGGTCGATGGTTGGTAGCTCTAGGAAGAGGAGGATGCTCGAGACAGCTGGATACTTGAGAGGATAGGAAAGAGCTCGTCGACAGAGTGTCGAGGTAGGATTTAGGAGGCAGAAGGCGGGATGTAGAACGGGGACATCCGAAGGCAAATGTTCGTACCTAGCTGATCAAGTCAACGACCCAGCAGGAAGACTGACAGCTTGGCTGAACCGCTTTTTTGGATACAGATTCCTGGAACGATAGCTTCTAGATACCTTAGGCCCGGTTCCGAGACCCCACATCATGCGCCTTGCCGCTCAGCATCCAGCCCCGCCGTTGTTCTCTCGCGAACCGTCTGGGTCCGCATACCCCTTAGCACCCAGAGGGATATATCCGACGGCTCTTGGGTTGCTTCTCGAGAGTTATTCGATCCTTGGTGCAGTTGCATTCGTGGTGAAGGCGGGCCGAATCCTTTGTCGCTTCGTGCCAGGTTCTGAGTGGTGTCGCTAGGATAGAAACGAACGATACCAACACTGTTCTGTAGCTGAAGAGCAAGGAGGATTTGCGAGTGCTCGGGCTCGTCTACATCTCTGAACTTCGGAGTCTGGCTGTTCGAGTTGTAGGCGTGTGGTTCTAAGTAGTTCAACGACATGTTTCTGGTGGGTGCTCTCCTGGATTGTGATCCCTCGGCGAGGGTCGAAAATGGTGGGTCGCTCTGCACCGAATATTTATTTTTCCGGGTTGGGCTATGACTGTTTGCAGACGTCGGCGATTGGGTCCAAAGGCGGAGAGGCAGGTGAGAAGATTGGGGTAAATGCTGAAGGTTGCTGCAGAACATCTCTATCCTCCTTTCTTCTGGAGGTTGCCTGTTCGTGCTCCGCATGCTTGACTGATGCCCAGACTCGATTGTGCAACTGGCATTCCCCTAAGCCCTTGTTGAAGAATAGGCCTTGCACGTTGTTGCGATTGGCTTCTCGAAGGCCGAACAATATCCGTGCACAGTGATCAATGTTGTCACAGTCTGTCGTGTCAGGGTTCGCAGATTGTTGAGAAGCGTCTCCTCCAAAAGACCTTGTCTATCAGGAGGATTCCTAGTTTGGCCATACGTTGACACTTGTGAATGGGCTTATTGCAGGACTTTCTTGTAATATCTCGCTCATCTCCACGTAGGTTATAAGAAGCTCGGAGTCGATGGCGGATCCGTATGCGTGAATGACCTCGTGGCCAACTGTGAGAGCGAATTCGAAGTAAAACTTGTGGATCTAGAACGTGCTTCTCTCGGGGTCGAGGGGCAACTGCTTTGGTGTGATCCAGTATTCACTTTGAACGCTTGCTGTAGATACGAGGCCTTTCCATTCTGGGCGGTGGGTTCCCTTTCGTGGACGACCTAGGGTGGCAAGCTAGGTTGACGATATTCGGAGACCAAAAGACCCTGGTGCATAAGGTTTTCTAGCGGGATTTACGGGTCTCTATTGGTGATGGAGCAAATGGTATCGCTGCTGGAAGTCCTCTCGAGCCGTTTGGTGGCAAGGCGGAGGGTTTAATCGAAGAGCTCGTATTCTTATATCGTTGGTCCGCCCTACCTTGCCTTGGTCGATTGTTCCGCAGGACATTCGACCAGCTCACGGCTGAACATCGAATACTATGTCTTTCATGAGCTTGGTGCCAACATGGTCATCTCTGAGAGGATGTGTGTATCCCTAAAATGTTCAGTCTTCCACTCTGAAGAAAGGTTCTTCTTTCCCAAAACGCTTGTTCTGTACAGGGTCTGTGGTGAGCGGCTTTGCAACTGTTGTTTCGTAAGAGAACGCCGGGGTCGAGGAGGATGAGAGTGTAGGCAAGGAGCTTATCGAAGGAGAGCAAGCTGTTGAGGTAGGGGTTTGTGGATCTAGATGGGCGGCAGTGCAGAGGGTCAAGGTCTTTTGCCTGTCCTTGTAGGTGGTGGATGCGAACAAGAAGTCTTGACAGCAAAGGTACCAACATCTGGAGTACTCCATGATGAAATAAATGACAGGGTCCACGGAATTCAATGACGGTGTGGACACGTCTGAGAAGGAAACGTGATTTTAGTGCCGTCCAGGATCTCTCAGAACCTAACGATGCTGTGAACATTTTCGACAGCGAATCGGGACTTCAAGACCCCAAAAGTTGATCGTTTGCCAAGTTCCGCACAGAGACTAGCGATGTAACATTTTTGATAGACAGTGGGGCCACTCTTTTAGGCTTTAGTACAAGCATCCTGCGACTGCGAGATTGCATACTAGCAGCCTGGAGGTCTAAGCTCTCTTCGCCACCCTGCAGTGTCCCGATGAGAGAATTTCACCTTGCGTTAGTTTATTCATTCAAATGAGGGGAAATTGCTCTAAGCTTGAGCGTAGAGCGGTGAAAGAGACGCTAGCCCGTGCAACCCACTTGAATTTGGAGAATCCCAGGATCCCCATGAAGATTTTAGAAAGGCGTATTCTCGCGAACATCTGTACTCGAACATGATGAACCTCGTTGTTTCATCGACTGTCTGTGTAGCTGTAAAGTTCTTGATCTTCGTCCTGCAGACTCGAGGTTTTGCCTCTGACCACGAAAGCTATTTTGCCCAGCCTCACAATTCAATATCTAGAAGAAAACCACCGTTCCAATAGTAGTACCTTAGACTTTTGTAGAAAGTGTTACCGTAAGACCGGTTGATTTCTAACTCGAGAGATAAGGAGAAATTGAAATAAATTACCTAACCCTTCTATCCTAGGTGCCGTATATCGCTGCTACGGTTATGCTGGTGGGCTCTGCCAACTATTCTCTGCTTGTTCTACGCGTGTAGCTGAAAGAAGATAAGTACCTTTCTAAGGGCCAGGCTAGGATCATCCTGCCCAGATTGCGGATCTCTCAAGCCAGAGCCCCTTCCAGCCTCAACACTGCAGAAAGATCCAGAAGACAGCATAGCATGAGCTAAGAACTAGGCTCAGTAGAAGTTAGCACGTGAAGTGGAGGAATTGCCGTCTCTCTCCTGAACGGCGGACTCAACATATCACGTCTTGCATCCATGTACTCCGTAGTAGCTTTTTGTGTAGCACTAAGCCTGCCGTCGATCCTCTTCGGAATAGCAATCTTGGAGGCCTTCTTATTTGTTTCTTGCGACGTGAAGAAAGAGAGGTCGAGACCATAACAGCCGCGTTCGCAATGCATGCGATTCATGTATGAAACTTTTGGGCCTGCTTCCTCATGACTCATCTTCGCCACTGCTTCATGTATTTCCAACCCAGCCATCGCCCGCAACAGGACATGTAAAAAATCGACGCGCTCTTTCCCTTGCAAGACTTTCGTGTGAGCGTCAACTTTCAGAGATCAAATGACGTGGTTGTCGGTTTGAAGAAGCTAGCTGATTGCCTGTAGATCGTCGATGACATCTGAAACCTCAAGAGATGTCAGCTGGGAATGGTGAGAACATGCTAAAGATGCTTACCATGGTATCAAGAGCGAGGCAGAGGGTACTTCTGACTTAGAGGCTTGGTGATCGATATTGTTGACGACTCGTCACCTAGCGTGTATTGTAAATTCTAGTCGCCAGCCATACGGAGAGGTAACTTGGTCGCTGTCAAAGGTTATTCTTCGTGCAGATGGAAATGGGCGTTTGTCTCTAAGCGGCTGAAGACGTAGCCTTGGCGAGGGTAACAGGGTTTAGGGATCATATGGAATCATTTGAGACGATGGTAATAGGACTCATTCAGGCTTCCGTACCAGATCTTGAACAGCTTGATGGAAACAGAGGGAGTCTTAGTCTAATGCATTGGCATTTGCTCGAGGCTCTACAGTGGGTGAAGTTCGATCTTATCTGATAAGCAGTTTTGGGCTTAGCGCGAGACTAGAGAAACTAAAAATAGTCTCTCTGTGGACGAGGGGGAACAAGGAATTTTGTTCTCTGTTGTACTGAATAACAGGCGAAAACGAGCTGGGGGCAATAAGTCAGAAGAACCTTGTGATAAAGACATAGATAGCTATGAATCGTCATGCTAGTCTGCTCTATCGTGCGTCCGTCTGACCACCAGCCCTCACCATTACGCTTGCCTTTTGAATCTCGCTCGCCACATACCAGCTTCTTCTAAGTCCTCGCAACGCCAGCCACTCTGGCATCCTCCAAGTACAACACAAAGAGCTCGTTCCGCAGTGTCCATCATAAACAAAAGAGAATCAGCCTCCGAGCCTGCTAGGGGCGAAGCGTGATGTAGCTAATAGAAAAAAAGCCCAAAACAAAGCATGTTAGGTGTGATAGACGAATCAGGATCACGAGGGGGAAACCATGATCCAAGAATGTCGAACGTGTGTAGGAGAATTTTTGACATTGCAAAGGTCTCCAGTTAGCTGACCAAAGTTCTAGTCCTTGGGGAGGAAACCGTTTGTGAGAAGGGAAAAATGTGTGAAGCTGCCGCTACATGGTGTTATCAAGCCTCCGCCATTGTATGAGTCAGATTTGCGAGGTCGAGACCGAAGGTGGAGATTGTATCGTGCAGCTGATTGCGTGCGTTTAAGGAAGCGCAATGACCTTGCCGCAGAGAGGAGCTTCCAAACATTTGAACAGCTTGAGGTGCGAGCTATCTTGCCAAATCGTTCGCCCTTGAAGTGGAAAGATCCTAGATAATCGTGTCTGGTATAATCCTGGAGACTCGGTGCGATTGTGACTGGTCTGGGGAGCGTTCTTCATCGGTGGGCCATATCCCCTCGCTTGATTGACTAGAATTCCAATCATCGTCGATGTCCAAGGATGTCTGGTATACCCTGGTCCCAACGATCTTCTTGATGTAAAGAGCGGTAGGATCCTCCGGGTCGACATTGTCCCACCACTGTTGCGAATTGATACTGAGGCTGTACTGCATGGGAATGAAGTACTCTGTCGCCGATGGTTTCCAGGCTCCTCTTCTAAGACCCTGAGCTCCCTTGAGAAAATTGGGCCACTTGATAAAGACAAGAGGATTGCTGGCTTTAAAATCGTGGAGTTCAATGGTCCCTCCGAAGACAAAATTCTCCCACGAGTAGCCTGGCTCAGCAACATTTTCGTCCTCGAACAAGTCTTCGTTTATGTTCGCCTCCTTTTGGTCGCGATGAAATTTGTTCGCGGTCGCATGAACGCGCTGGGATGTTTCTATCTGGCAGTTTCTCAGCAGTCTACGATTAGACGCCATCCAAGCTGCGTGCTAAATGTTTCGAGTCAGCATCTCAATACGCAACAAAGAAGTGAGCTCCAGGATATCCGGTCAGTGAAAAGAAGCCGAGAGAGACATGCTTTAAATCGATGCCTTGCGCTTGACAGGACGATGCCGAGTAGGCAGCATGAACACAGCAGGGAATCAGGACTTCACTTACAGCAATCTCGTGTCCCCATGTCACAGCCATTTTGATCCACATATTGAGCATGCGAGGCCTGCTCTGCGACCCTTCCATGTACGTATTCATGAGATACCGAACGAAGTCCTGGCTGATGCCGATGTGGGGTCGGATGCCGCTTATTTCCTCGGGATCATCATCTTTGATGTTGACTCCTTTCTCGTGGTACCTCATACTAGGGATTGTGCGTCCCTCATCATCGTACTCGTCGTGGAAGTCATCGAGCGAGATTGTGTGTGTCATGGCGAGACGCTGCAGTGCGGCCCTTGCCTTTTGGTGTCTTGTTTCCATCGGCGTGTCATCGCGCCGATACTCTTGAACGGCATCTCCGTTGTGCAGGATCACCGGGTCTGTAGGCTCACGAGGGGCGTAGATCAGGTAATAAAACCAGTCCAGACTTGCGGGGCAAAGGAGGAAGTTTGTTGCTAGTCGGAACACCGGTTCGAGTGACCCACGGATCGCCCAGTACTGCTCAAAAGTTTGATCTTCCCATATTCTCATGCGTCGTCCCGGGATGTTAAACTGGAAGAGGTCGTGTATCTCTCCAGTCAGACCAAAGTTTTCCGGAAGCCTAGCTGGGAGCAGATCGTGTACCTCTTCTGTTAGACCTAGATCATCCAGAAGCCTAGTTTGGAGCCTGACAAATCCGAGTGCCGCCCAGTCTTTGTTCAGGACATCCGAGTATCTTGCTCTGACTTCAGCATTGGCCATTGCGAGTGATTTCTTGAGGGTCAGATCCGGAACTTGAGGTTTGACTATTCAACAACACGAGGCTTCTGAAAAGCACGAGGTCGAGTCCAAGGATCACCGATAAAGCTGACAGGAGTAAGAGGAAGTAAAGTCAGGTGCTGTGTCTTGCAGGGTGCGGAGCTGTGAAGGAGGTGTCTCTGGAGTGCTTGTGTCAGACAAAGAATTCTCTGACCTCCAAGTGTGCGCTCGGTAATTACAAGTTCAACCTCCGGTTGGTCTACGTTTATCCGTAACACAGTTGGACCCCTGTCGAAACCCGCTTTTCAAACTCTACTCCGAGGCTCGCAGATATTGCTGCCCTGAACTGAGGACAAATGCAAAAGGAGAGAAAATCTCTCATGCCCTGCCTCGGAATTTACGGTACAAGGATTCCCTCAATATCCGGGGAGAAAAAAGCATCTCTTGGAAAGCCACTATACATATGGCTATATATGTATGTACCAAATTCTTTTCAGCTAATTTAGTAGTACGGTCGCGAGGAAGAAGCATATCTGGTAGCGGTCACGAAAGCGAAGTTGATGGAATGATTAAGTGCTATCAAGGCAATGGAAGATAAATACAGCGGGATTCAGAGCTTCAGAGCAGCTGCAGCTTCGGCCAGAAACCTCCATATGTTGGCCAATGTATCGTGGAAGTCCCGCTGCGCTCAACTGAGCCTTGAAATGGGAAAGTGTACCATATGCTTTTGGCATTATCGCCGTTGAGTATTGGAGTATGAACGATTTTAGGAGAAGCATGTGCAGTCAAGAGTATTTTCAGAAGAGCTTCTGCAATGAGGATGGAAGAATTGCCGTATACACGCCGCGCCACTTAGCCGGTAGAAGAGGATTTTGGCTGAAGAGGGTGGACACGTTCCTAGGGAAGTGGAGATATTTGATTGTAGGTCACAGGACGAAGATGTCAGGAGGGAATAAGATTGTCGGCGAGAGGCTCTGGAAGAGAGTGTCAGTCATGTAAGCCATGCGGCATGGAGGGCAAGAATACAAAAGGCATACCGTGGATACGATATCTGGCTATCCAGGATCCTTGGGAATCGACCAGATATTAGCTGCGTGCCTCAGTCTGTTCCCAGAGCTGTCGATCGATCCGCTCTTCCCTTGATTCGTTCGCTCTCGACACTTGCAGTTCCTCGCCAGCCTTTTCTCTGCAGATTCTTAGTACAGAGGGGCGAACCAGTGGATACTCGCCCTCGCTTGAGTCGTTAATATTCCAATTAGGGTCTTCAAGTTCAGAATATGGGCAGCTCATTCTGATGCCGATCCATTTCTTGATTTGGAGGGCAGTGAGATCCCCTTCTTTCATGTCGTCCCAAAATCCCTGCCTGAGAAGGTTCAAGATGTAGTGCATCGCCACAACATACCTCGTCATCATCTTGCGCCACAGACCCCTTCTGTGGTAGTTTTTGCTGGCCCAGTAGGATGGCCACTTGCTAAAGAAGAGGCACTTGTCTACGTCCCCTTCGAAGTGAATGTGGCCACCAAAAACATACTTCTCCCAGACGTACCCCACTTCTGCGTCGGTATCATCCTCATGCAAAGGCTCGTTGCTCTGTACATCCTCCTTCTGACGTCCGCTCTTCGTCATAGCCGCATGCCTGCGAAGGCTTGTTTCCTCTAGTGTGTCTCTGAGCAATGGCGAGTCGGTTGCCATATACTTTGCGTGGAAGAGCTCGTGGCAGATTGTTGAAGCTCCTTTTACCGTAAGGCTGCAAACTTTGAGGGTGTTGTCGACACCTTTTTCGTTCCGTAACCGCCTGAGTTCGGTTATCAGTCTTTCGTGGATCCAGACCGTCGAGCCGATGCCTTTGGCCAAGTCCGTATCATCCTGGATGTTCACTCCGCGAGGATGTACCCCAAGAAAGAGCGTGTTCAAACCAATGACACCCGCCATGTCGGGGTTTTCCTTCTCTGAAACAACCCGAAAGCTTACTACACCTGCAAGCCGGTCGAGCGCAGCGTTGGCCAGGTCTCTTCGCTCCGGCCAATAGGCCTCTGTCGTTTCAACATGACGGAACTCTAGCACTGGCTGGCCCTCAAAGTTCACACGCTTTTTCGGATATACCCGTGGGCTGTAATAGAGGTCGTAGTCGGCGTTCAGGCTTGGCGGAGACCGGAGAAACAACGATGCTAGCTGGAGCATCTGCCTTATGTCCACTAGGTAGTCTTCGTATTCAGCATTAGTGAGAGGATGCCATATTGGAACGCTCAGCGATGGGTGAGTGTAATGAAAGATTGGGTCGATCTCGTTGGTCAGACCCTCAGCGTCGTCGTTGGGTGTTGTGGAATCGGAGTAACCCAGCTTCTTCCAGTCCTCCGGCTTGAGCACCCCTATCTTTTTCCTGGATTGGGTATCCATTACGAGTCTTGGATTCGGCTCGAGAAGAGATAAGAAGGGAGAGATCCGTCGCGAAACAAGGAAAATGCGACAGACGCTGATTTAGGGAAGGCGCGAAGAGGAGAAGGAGACCGAGAAGATAGATCTATCTCAGAACGAGCTATTTGATGGAGAGTCTGATGTGGAAATTTAAGCAGTCTAATCTGTCTTATGTGATGCGTCGAAGTGGACGACAAGATGCAGGTCTTGAAAGGTAAGGCAGAAGAATTCTCCGAGCTTTCACTGCAGGACTGAAAATATCCCGCTTAAACGGCGTGCGGGGTCCTTCGAAAGATTAGGTTTATAAACGCTTTGGGCAACTGCCACGGCTCCGTTATAGGGGCTCTACATTGATAAATTGGCTTTGGGGGTCTAACGTATCGGCAGGACTATCTGTGACTCAGATTTCAAAGCAACAGGTTTTGACTTGGTCCAGATATCATTCCCTGACACGACTCTATAAAGACAATAGCATGCGACTCGAAGCAGTGTAGATGCACTGGATGAAGATAATAAGCGCCGGCCTCACAAGGCTTCGAAGTAGCGAGAATACAACTCAAAGAAGGATAGACGTGGAGACTTGACATTGTGGTACTATGTATATGTATGGGGTCACATTCTGTGAGGCCTTGGAAAATCAGCGAAATCGCTCTCATGGGTGGACGTGGAAGAGAGCTTTACCTCCAGCCAAAGACAGCCACATATCCACGATCGTCATTCTTCATACCCTCCGTTCTTCCGCCGTTTCATTCGCACGCGAATCTGACGGATCCGGAATTGTCTGACCATCCTTCTCCCTAGACACGCGGCTGGAATTCTCCTCGTCATGAGGCCAGTTGATCTCACTGGAGTTGACTGAAATAGCCTCTGTATCTGGATTACCGTATTCAATCCCGACAGTCTTCTTAATGTACAGAGCATTGGTATGCTCAGACCTCACGTTGTCCCAGAAGCCCTGCCGGTGCATGTTTCGAATGAAGTGGAGGGATACGACGTATTTCCTCGCGGTACGCTTTTCCTTCCCACGTGTTGGAATGTAGTCGTCGTCGCTGGTAAGGAACGAAGGCCATTTGCTGACGAAGAGAGGATCACTTAAGTTTCCGGACCAGTTGATCTTCCCACCGAAGACCTGGTTCTCCCAGCTATTGCCAATCTCTGCCATTGTTTCTTTTCTGTAGTATGGCTCGTCGGTACGCAACTCCTGGACCGGGTACTCGTACGCTCTGCCCTCTTTGTGTGCCTGGTCGGCGGCGTTGTAATTCCTGATTGACATCTCTAAATACTCACGACTCACAGCAAAAGCAAGAGCATGCTAGAAACCTTAAAGTCAGCATGTATATAATAGAGAGTAGGTGAGATAGCTACCAGCAGCATTGGTGGGTACTCAAGAGCTGCCTCTCATAGCCTTCGAAGAACAAGGAAATGTACTTACAGCGATTTCGTGACATAGTGTTATCGCCATCTTCACTTGAAGGCTCAGCTTCTGAGATGTGGTGTCTCCCTCTTGAGCATCAAGCTCCTTGAGCTTGAGGATCCAAGACCCGTTGAGAGTGATCCTGCTCGCCATACCCGTTTTCCTTGAGACATCGTCTATCGCCACCCCTGCCCCAAAATGCACCAGGGTTGCGGCGGTCACTGCAAAAGAGCCTTGGACTTCAGGGTCGGCTTCAGGATCCCCAATTTCGAAGGTAAGGGAACGTGAGAGGTGACGAAGAGCATTCCTGGCCATTTGACGCCCCGTAAATGGCGGATCGGTCCACCCAAACTCTTTGCACGGGCGTCCTTGGTTGCCGAAGCCTACGTTCGAAACTTTTCGAGGGCTGTAGGCAACTTGGTAGAGGAACTCCAAGCTCTTTGGTGATTCGAGCATTTTGGAGGCCAGCTGAAAGACGGTACCCATCTCAGCGCACATTGCATCGTATTCGCCCTCTGATTTGTATTGGGGCCAGATGTGCTCTGCACCTCGTGGCCTCAATGCTTGGGTGCGCTGGAAGATAGGGTGCACTTGGTTTGTCAATCCTAGACCATGTTCAGCATGTTCAGATTGGTACCCAAGTTTGACCCAGTCCTCGTTCAAGAGGGCCGCGTATTTGCTTCTGAATGCGGAATTCATTGCAAATGAGGGTGACAGAGAGGATCGAGGAAAAGATGCCGCGAGGATAGGACAAGATAGGGTTAAATAGGGAAGCTGTCTGCTCGAAAGAAAGAAGCTTTTTGGTGCGTCTTGTTGAGTGTGTCCGAGTGAACGTTGTGTCTTTGGGTAAGATACAGGATTTTCTTAGGATAGGAGTGTGTGAAACCACTCGCTTAACCGCGGCCCACTTTTCCAATAGGAATACTGTCGTCATAGCACATCTGGACGCCCTATCGGACCTTGTCATACGGGATCCACCTCCAAGGGGTCCCCTGCACTGAACGGCTGAATAGTTGTGGCTCGAACACCAGGGCAGTTGTTCCGGGTTGGCCAGGTTCACTCTTTCAGAGACAGGACTCAACTATCTGAATTCCTTATTGCCGCTTCGACCTGCTTCTTACCTACGCTGATCTCTCATAGGATTCTCTTCCAGTTGGTCTTGATGGTCTGTTTTTAATTGAGAATGTTGAGTTGGGTAAGCTCCTCCTCTTCAGCTTTTTCGCCTACCTCCACTTTTCTTACCGCCACAGTGAAATTGCTACCACAGAGCACAAAGCCATCTTCGCTTCATTCTGAGGCTTTCAAGCGAAGAGGTTGATACTCGTCGAACGATTGAACCTGCTCCAACCTGACAAGACTGCCAGCTACTGACACCTCCCCCAATGACAGAGTGCATTAATGATGTATAACTAGTGTGGCTTCTTTTCTTGATGCCCGTGCCATAACGTAGATGATATATTTAGAGATAATGATGTAGGCTGGAGAGATCTTCTATTTCTCCAACCTAAGGATAGAATTGGCATCGATATCCACTAACAGCGCCAGAGAAACGATCACGTCGACTTCAAAAAGTCGCCACCGTAAGTAGGTAGAAGTACGCATTCTGAGCTCTATTCACTTGAAATAGATCATCAATAAATTTGCTTCAGTAAAGAGATTTAGAAAAGCAAGCGTTACAGCTGCCTGCTTGGACACCCTCTTCGCCCGTTGAATGCCGATTACAAAACCAGTATCATACCCAGAACTCAGTGCTCTAGATTCCGATGTTAGCGAGGACAGTCCATTCCACTATCGCAAATACGTACCATGGTCACCAATACCTTCCCTCTCCATAACCTTCTCTTCCATAAGGTCGCCAATGTATGCAAGTAAGACATCACTTGCTACCGGAGATGTAAATAGCTAAGCTAACGATATGTGGCATAGCCCTAGAGGCTGCAATTTCAGAGGCAATTGCAACCCCTACAGGCGTCCCCCTTTTGTAAAGGCGAGCTACCACGCGAGGTGTAAAAGTGTCGTAACGGGCAAACCTATAGCACCATAGGTTCCTTCATCCTCAAGCAAAACCCTGTTTCGATCAAGCAGAGAGTAATCATTGAGTCGTAACGGGCTGTAGCAAACGAAAAGCCAAGGAAATCCGTAGTCAACCTCCTAGCACCGACCCTCACCATTCAGATCCCAAGCCTAAGCATCAGAAAGCTTTCTCTCCTTCAAGCGGAGACCTAGCAGGCCCTTCCTAGGAGGCCCCGTAGCAATGTAGCCATGTAAATGAGAAGTCGGGAGGTCATCAGGTAGCAACATCCTAGCAAAGCATCCTGGCATCAATTCATCAGAGACCGAGGACCAACCATTGATCATCCCAGGAAGTTCTCAAGCTTCAGCTCGTATTCAGCCTCAATGCTGGTTCGTATCTCCAGCCGAGTCTTCCCCTTCCACTCCTTGTTGACTTTAGCCTCTAGCTACTTCTTGTATTGGCCAATCTCTTGCTACCGGATATTTTGACGCATCGCCTCCTCCACATCCTTCTGTGCCTTGCTCTCTATAACGGCACTGTACTTTTGCTTGTAGCTGTCGTAGAGATCATGATCAGCGGCCTGCTCTATGCGTTTCTCATTGTCTTCAGAGGACCTTCTGAGTCGTACTATGCCTTCTTTAGCCTGAACGCAGCTTTGCCGGTTTTTGGAAATAGGCAGAGAGAAGCTTGTCCGTGGATTGAGCTCCAAACACGTCTCCTGCCCAGCATCAGATGCCCCTCTGTTCCCGCTTCCGAGCCTGCGATTGGTTCCTGCCACGATTCTCTAGCGAAGCCGCACCTTCATATAAGCAAGACCCTCCATACTGTGGAATTTGGTGAAAGGCTTGCCCAATGTCTGGGCTTTGGCATTTGATCATTGGCTGTCCCCGGGCATGAGTGTCATGATGGCTGAAAAGAGATGACTGTTGTGTACGAAGGAACTTTGAGGCTGTCTTCATTTGTTCCGGTGGGAGATGGCAGGCAACGTGGAACTAGAAGCTTTTGTCGGCAGAACTCGTCCTGTCTCCGGAGCAGAGCTGGACGTCGCGAAAGTGGTCCCGTTGCACTGATCGCTGCCTACCGGCCCTATCGCCGCAAGGGCACAGGCTTCGGCGTTAACCAGCAATCCCGAACCCATCACTCGTCGCTGGGGTCAGAAAATGGCTTTCGGATGTGGAATGGCGATGTTAACCTGACCAGTCTCGCCTTTGGTATGCTCGCAGCCGTTTAGACCGCTCATCGATAGGAATGCGGATCTCTTCGCCGCAGTCCTCAGGGCACTGATCCAGAAAATTAAGAAGATTCAGGACACCAGAGAATAGAACGACTTTCGCTTCACAAAGCCTCAATTTGTATTCGCGAGTGCAGTTTGTAGGCCCAGCATCTTTGCTCCATACTGTTGGTCTCTTAAGTTCCTCACGTCATTCACCAGGTGTCTCAACACCGTATCACAACACCGACGCAGGAAGCTAGCTAGGCATATGCTGAAGGGGGAAAACGAAAGACATATGACGTATCCCCAAAAGCAGCCCGCCAGGATACTGCCCAACTCGCGTTGGGTTCATGCCACATCGTTGTGACGAAGTGCGATTGGCGTGAAGGCCGATATGTGTAGCCTGCTGCGAGTAGTCAATGGGTAGCATGAGGTTGGGTCTTCCTTCAAGAAGTTCGAGAAACGTCTCCATTGTTTCTGTGTCATGTCAACCCTCGTCGAAGCGCTCGTCGAGGTATACAATCCCTCATGGAATGTCATGGATTGGCAGTCAACGTTGGGGATGAGATGTGTATTGTTGTGTATCATTGCCGAATCTTTGATGTCCATAGCGAAATGTAGCTTGTCTCGAACGATACCGCTCTTGCACGGTCAACATAGTTGAGTACCAATGGTATGGAGCACTATGGCAAGTAAATGGTTCCTTAGACTGGAATATTTAGATCTCCTCATCAAGTGTCCTAACCCTAAGAAGCTGGGCAAAGGGACTCAAGTGCAGGCCCAAAGTAATGGTCAGTTTGCACAGGCTAGGTGAAATGCATGTAAGCCACTTGCACAGCGTCTGTGACGGCCAGGCCAGCTTTAGTCTCCTCCAACTGTATTTGAGAACTACGTTCTTCGACATTCAGAAAGTGATAGCGATATTCATATAAGAGTTTTGAATGCTGTGAAAATTGCTGACTTGGAGATTTAGGACTTGGATGGATATCTCTGACGGAAGTTAGGGAAGTGTGATGATATGAATGTAGAGATTTTGGAACGAAGCTCCTGTGATTGAGCTTCAAGAGTGATAGGAGCTCATAAAGAAAGAGTGATTGAGGGTAGAGCTGGAACGATTGAAGACTAGGACTGAGAGAGGAGTGATGTGTCTCGAGATAAAGAGAGCTGTCCGAAGGAAGAGACTAATGAGAGAAAGAGGATTGACATCCCCAAGACCATCCGAAAAGCTCAATGGGAGAATAAGAGTCGAGAGTTTTGCGTCTCTTCCTTGGTTGAGTCTGAGCGTAGTTTGCTTGAAGATGCTTTGCTGTACGCTGGGATGGAGGCCGATAAGGATTTGCGGGTTGCGTATTACTGGCATCGAGCGACGAGCTAGCGGTATTCTTGTTTTTGAGCTGCTAGAGGAAGGCTTTCAATTTTGCCTGAGTAGGCTTTATACCCCGGACACCCGTAGAAGCTTTGTACCGATCCTGCAGAGGGCCGTTAACGGCGAGATCCAACTGTTCTCTGATTTTGCGCGTCGGTAGGCCCTCGAGATATTATATAAACTCTTCAATAGTCACTCGCCCCGTGTCCAGGCCCCAAATCCCCAGCTAACGAGATCTCTGATTGCCTCAATTTCGTTCGCAAAATGGGCCCGGTGAGGTCTTGCACCTAGGCTCCGGCTGTTTATTAGCTCTCGTAAAGATCAGTGAAACCGTGGAGCGCGCTGCTTCCACTGTCGAGAAGAACCAGTCAGAAAGACATGGATTAAGCCGTGAGGGATTTTGGAGCAATCGTACAGTGGGTTGTGTGTTTCCCAACAAGCTTATGGATGAGAGCAATACGTGTAAAATGCTGCCCTTTTGTAAGCAGAAGTACAAAGTTGAAAACCTAGAGATGGGGAAACAAGCAAGTGACGAAGGTCATCTGCAGAGAAGCCAGATTAGGCAAATGATGACAGAGACAAGCAAGCAAGGAGCTGAAGGTCACAGGTAGCAGATCAGAGGTGGATATGTAGTGGCAGAGGTGAAACGACCAGAGAGTTGGGAGATTGCAAAATGTAAAGGGAGTCATGCGAGTGACCGTCCAGGAGAACAAGCAAGGAGATTGAGGTCATAACCATAGAGAAACAACCAGGCAAAGGGTGGCTAATCCAGATGATTGAAAGTTTGAAGAAAATCCCCTGCCACATAGAATGCAAGATAATAACCATGATTGAGCTAAGTGTTGACAACGTGTTGATTGACTTTGGATGTGGGTAAATAGCCCCCATCTGATTGCAGACTCTCAACCCTTGGCACTAGCACCACGGTAGTAAGCCACAGCGTGATCAGCGCACTCGTACTCGTGATTGTTGCAGCACTCCTCCACGAGTTTGCCTGGGGTCGGCGACTGTTTGCAAATGTTGTTGCAGCTCCTCAGTGTTTGCCACAGCAATTACGGAGCGTGATGTTGATTTGCGTGCGCCCAACCAAGAACGATGGAGATCACAAGAACACCTCGGTAAGGGCTACCAGAGTAGATGTCGAACCCTATATACCGTGATTTTTGAATGTGGTGTGGACTGGATGCTGAAGTGAATGTAAAATGCTGTTGGAAGCGTCTGCTGGGTTTTTACCATGGAGCTCAAAGTAGATATATTGGGTCTTGAAAGTCGCAACGGACTATATCAATTTCAGAAGTGTAAAGAAGTATGGCAGTTAGGGTTCGAAGCAGCTGTCAAAGTGCGTTCGCGACAAACAATGAGAATTCGAGATAGAGGCAGATCAAGGATGTTCCTCCATACCGCCTTCCCTGAAACGAGCTTTAGACATGAGTTTACGATGAAAGATGTAGAAGAAGCCAAGCGAGACACTGCAGCGACTTCACGTCTTCACAAGGAGATGCCAAAGTGACAAGCAAAAGTGACAACCCGTCCCGCTTCATGTTCATCTCGATCCTGCCTCTCGAAGATCTCGAGTATGTCGATCATGTCTCCGCCTCAGTCTTTCATGACCAGTGTCTCCATCGGTACAAGAACAATCTCCTTTGGTCCTGCGTACAATCGCATGTTGGTGCTGTAAAGCCAGCAACATTAGAGCCAAAGTGAAAATTTTGTCAACAGTGGTAACAGGTTAGCATGAGCATGCTGCACTGTTGGCTGTAAGGGCGAATTTCGGATTGGGTTGTGAGAATTCAGTTCCCACTTGGTCTAGCTTCGGTCTCAACACTCATGTAGTTCTGCCACAAGTTGCAGTCCATGATGTTTGTCAGCATAAGTCATTTGCATTGGCTGTCAAGGCTACTTGGAATGCCATTGTTCAGTGCACAAGATCCCTTTCGAGGGGCTGTCGGAGCTGAAGGCTATCGGTGCCCTGTTCTCATTCACTGCGTGGAATGACACTGTGAGACTGTGAAGCAAATCATGTATTGGTTGGTGTCACTCACCCGTTGTTGATGTCTTGGGTAGTATATTTAGAGGCTTGGAGTGATTTCTGAGAAAGGGGAAGGGAAGGCTGACGAAGTTGGTCTGGTACGTATACTGTTGGACGTTTTCCCAAGTCTGTGGGTAGTCAACTCCTGTCAGCATCACACCTCTTTTTGTAGTGACGCATCGATACTCACCGTGTATATGATGATTCCAATTGAGACTGGATATTTATATAGATGACTTTAACTGGAAAAGCTTCATTGATTGTCCTGGTGAAGGTCAACACATCCCCTGTGAAGCTGCCATCAGTGAATCTCCCTGTCTACATGAAGTTCAGGGAAATGGTCTGTGAAGTCCACCAGGCAATTGAAGCAGATGCAGTTAAAGGCGACTCACCCAAATGAGACCTCGGTAGTAGGCTCGAATGCTCGATGCGAGTTTTCGAATACTTTCAAGCAGTGCCTTGGAGTGCGGTAGATGCTCAACCTCGGCGTCTGTTAACTTGTGATTCTGATTGGATAACAGCGGGTATCACCAACGGCCCTTGGAGTAACCCCTTGGAGTAACGGTGTCTCGAATCATGATTGAAAGCGTAGTCGTTCCTTGGAAAGGGTTTTCCGGGTGCTCGGCTAGAGGCAAGTGGTAGCAGTACTTGCTGAGTTGGACGAGGGTCATTCTTTTGCCTCATTTTAGACCTCGCTGATCCGGACTAACGCTGTCCTTGGGCCTGCAAGTCCTTCAATGCGCGAGCCTCTTCCTCAAGCATGCCCTATATCTGGAAGTCAACCTGGAGACAGGTCCCAGACACGACGCTACGACTTCGAAGATCTCTAATCTTGGTATTTAATTGCAAGAGTGAATCATAGGCAAAATCCAAGAGTGACGAATAAAGTAACGGACCTCTAAACTCAAGCGCCTGGTCCAAGTCATCATTAGTAGCTAGCAACAGCACCCAAGAGAGGTGCTTTCGCGTGTCCATATATTCACTAAATTATGGGATGATTGCAGAGATGCGAGGTATCCTTTCTGAGCCCTTCAGCTTGGCCTGATCTGTTAGTAAAATCCTTGTCTTTTGTTAAGCACCTTCTCAGTTCCAGTACATCGGAACCACAATTCCATGTAGTATTAATGATGACATCGTCATTGAGGTGCTAGATGTCAAGTGCCAAGATTCTATGTAGTGGCCCACTGGCGAAGGTGCTGGGTGGGGATATGGTGTAATTTCTCCTCCACCGTTTGCTTCAATTGCGCCTTATCGATCAACTACTTCGCTGACAAGTTCGGTCAAAAGGTGAATAGACAGTTAGCCGCTTAGATGCATGAACTTTGGTCCACATATTGAACTTTGAAAGGGCCTACGATGAAGTGTGTGCACCGAGGACAGAAGTTCCGTCCCAAGTGCTTGAGGGACCGATTGGGGGACTATTATACGAGGAAATGGAGAGCTCGGAGTGGACTGGAAGCAAGGGGCGAGGAGCCTCGGATTCTCTACGCTGAACAGAGATCACGAAGGGGCTCGAACTTCGGAGAAGAGATGAGGAAGAGTATGGTTGGATCGGCGAAGACCTGGCCTCCGACGAAACACAAACGGCACTCTCAATCACGTAGATATTCGACAAGAGATGACAGCCACCTAATCCCAGAAGGTGGTATTTGAGAGGATACCTAAGAGATATTTCAAGCGAAAAGGATAGAGGTAGATCTAGAAAGGAGGACAGGAGTGCGGAAAAAACAAATTTCATGTAGTGCGATGAGATTCTGCATCTATTTTTGGGTACATCTACCTTGAACTGCTTTAGGATGAGTCTCCTTGAGTCTCGCTGTGATAGTAACTACACACTTGACCATGACTATTCCATCATCTTCGCCGAACATGATGTCATACCTGTGGCAGATACGGTGACGGTGGTGATGGCCACGTCTGCAAACATTGAACCCATTCTCAGGCTGGATGTGGCATTCGCATCCAAACCCAAACGCGGTGGTGGCGTTGTACCCCAGTGACTTGGCTGGTTCGGACGTGGCCCTGGGTTCGAACTTGACCCGGAGCCCAAACTTGAACGGGGACTTGGACTTGGAGGGAGGTTGAGACACAAAGTGGGACTTGATGGCCTGAGGAGCGAGATACATTTGGCCAATCCACGGATAGGATGGTGGTTTGTGGCTGAGGATTAGGGAATCGAGACTGTCGTTTTTGGGGATATGTGACGAGAGCATATCTGAAACGGCATCGATGGCTGTGTACGCGTGAAGATCGAGGGGGTTGGTAATATGGTAAGCGTTTGTATCTTGAGTTGTGGGAGGGTCAGATATTGGGGTCTGAGGTTGATGAGATACAACTGCCTGGACTGCATATGGTCTTGTAAAGGATCCGAGTAAAGTACCAATGCAGAAAGTGAGGAGAAGGGGGACGAGGAAGCGGTGGGTGACATAGCCCCATCTATGTGCGGATATTGTGGGATTTCCCATTCTCATTAGCTCCCCGTCTGCCCGTCCCTGATCTTCAACAAGCTCTACGTCCATGCATCATTTGTCTACCACCCTTCACCACCTTTCCCCATTCTCCATCCCATCCAATCCCTGCTCATCCGAATCATCTTCGCGCCTGTGTATTGGATAATGTGTGCATTTAGTAGTCTTATATGCATGTAGAATAGTTATTCTATTGTGATGTTCTATGAAGGATGTAAGAAGGATGGAGGTGGACTACCTGTTCATGGTGTGAAGCCCACGCTAAGGCGATTTGCCACTTGTGTCATTGCCACCATGAGGAGTAGTAATAACACCTATTGGAACTTATCAGTGTAGCCATGCTGGCCTCCTATTGGCTGATTCCAACACTATGAACCGTCCCGGCACCACCCGCGGCGATGCGCCCAAACCGCGCATCGAGCTCCAGCAACTCGCGTTCCGTGCGGGGGAGGAAGGGCCCGACTTTCCGGACGAAGGCGCCCGCGTGAGCGGCTGCGCGGTCGAGGGCGTCGAGGGTGTCGCGCTGGCCCCGGTGTTGCGCCATCAGGAGCAGTGGGCACGACAGGGACCGACCCAGTGGAGGTCCATTGGGGCCGTGGAAGAGGCAGTAGGATAGGCGAAAGGTGAAGCGAAAAGGGTAGAGTATGACCCAAAGAAGAAGCCTTAGGGTTAGGGTTATTGTCCACGTGCTTAAAGAACTCCATCCAGTGTTCAGGACCTGCCACTTGGCGGATTTCCCAAAGACCTTGGCGAGCGGGGAGCTAGTGCTCCTCGGAGAAGTCCTCTGACAAACGTATCAGGTGGAAAACTGGCTTGCGTGATCACGATCTGTGACAGGCTGATTAATTCAATCAGGGCCTGGTGAGATTCTGGTCCATCACCGTTTCCAGGCCTAGTATTGCGCGCAGATGGGGTACCATTCGCTGGGAGCGCGAGCCAGTTCCCTTGACCGGATTTGGAGGCAGTAGAAGGCTTGATGGCTGCTGGTGCTGCGGTGGGAAGATATGGGTTGGAGTTACCAGGCAGGGGAAGGTGATGTTGTTTCTCCTGAATGGGAAATATTGTAGGGATCTGTGATGTCTAGACGGCGTTATCAATTACTGAGTTCAAGATGATGAGATAAGCAGTGACATGGTATGACTCGACTTACCCGAATGACGCCGAGGCTCATAACATGTAGAGATTGGTATCTGGATTTGTTCCACACTCAGACGTCCCCCAGAATTGGCGGGCCTACCGTCACCTCCTGCCGGCCAGTTTCCGGCTGTGTCCGTGGCGGTGTGGTGTTCATCCCGGGTATTGATATGGGTGGGTGTGTCCTGTGGGAATCTCCACCCGTGGTGAGAACATGACCCAAGAAGAAGCCAGGCGGTGCCGATAATCCAGGCAGTGACAGCCCAAATAATGTCCAGAACCCCTTTGTCGCCGTGCGCTGGCCGTCACTCGCTTTGTCTAGCCTCACCTGACACATGATCTGGCCACCTTGATCACCATCACCATGCGAATGGTGACAGCCAAGATCCAGGCAGGCATCGCGGCTGACCACATCCGCAAGGTTTGTTGCCTGGCTGCAGTTGTGTTGGGCCTCGGCGTCTGTACCTGGTGTACCGCAACAGCGCCCGTCGGCGTACTTCTCGCTTCTCGGGATAACCTGGTCTTGTTCGAGGTCGCATTGTCTGATAGGAAACGTCGTGAGACGGACAAAGAGACTGAGCCGCTATTGCATGACCAGACAGTTTTCAATTTTTGGTTGCTCCAGGAAAGGATGCGGTGCTGATTTTCCAGTCAACAGGCTCTGCCCCTGTGGTAGAGAACACGGTTGCAGGCCTCACTCATGGGCGAAGACTGTGAGGTCCACGGCCTTTCAGAGTCCCGGTCGGTAGACTTTGCTTTGGCTGCATAAGCAGCCAAGGATTTGGCCAATGCACAAAAGTATGCTTGGAGTATGTCGCTGTGGAGGAAGTTGAAAGTGGTAGAGGAAACCTCAGCCGAACGCGACGGCTACCGGCATCAAAAAGCTGCTGTAGCTGCATTTCTGGCCATGTTGAGCGTGTCGCACTCGGTAGACTTTGCGCTGGCGGCATAAGCTGCAAAGTGGAGTCCGAAGACCTTAGCGGCAGCTACCATGTTCGAGGTGAGCGGCGAGTCTCTCTCGTAGACAGTTGGTAAGACTTACCCGCAGACGTTAGCGGCCCAGGTGTAACATGCCGCCGATCCTCCATGCCCTGAAGGCATTGGGATGTGAGTCGCAAACTCGGGCGAAGGGTCAAAACCAGGCGTGGCGAACACCAGTAGCAGCAGCAGCGGTAGCTTTCGCCATGGCACGCCAATCGTACCAGGCTGCAGAGTTGTCAGGAAGGATTAAAGCCAGCCTAGAGACCGCTCTGGCAACGGGATGCTGATAGCGACTCACCTGAGACGGCATACAGCTAGAAACCGAGGACGACTGGAAGCCGAGAAGGAGGATGAGGTAACGGTCTTGGGGGTGGTGTATATATATAATACAACAGACAAACGAAAGCCAACTCCAAAAACCCAAGAGAAGAAGTTCCAGAGAAAGAAGAAAGAGCTAGACAGAGGGAAAGAGAAACAAAACGCCCCTCCCCTAAAGTTTAACACACGAGACGCAGGAGATGAAGAAGTAAAGCGGACCCCGAGCCCAAATGTATATCTTCTCAACGAGGGACGTCGACAGAGCGCACGTCCAATAAAAAGTACTGATGAGCCTACGACACGAGCGCGATGAAGGATCCCGCTCCTGCTTCGAAAAGAGATTTGACACAAACTTCCAGCAACGGATTCGCAATCCGAAACGAAGAGCCGACTTGATTGCTAGAGAGATTGGTGCGCGTAAGCGACCGCATCAAGGGGCAGAGTCTGGGGTGCTGACATGCGAGATGGCAAACAGACGCAGGTTGCCGAAAAATACGAGGTCAAATTCAAGGTTCGGATTTGAAAGGATCCCTGCTTCCGCGATTTGGAAGCTGGTTATGGTGTGAGTTGATTATGTGGGAACTGACTAATAATGCAACTGTGCCATATCAGCTCTCGTATGTGCTCGATTTGTCTGGGGGGAAAAGATCGGCCTGTATGCAAGTCTCCTCGGATAGTCCGTCCCCGTCGCTCATGATGCTTTCGACTGCGGGACCGCACCTCAGTACAAGTGGTAATGACATTCTTCATCCTGCCCTCACCGCCTTCAACCCCATACACTCGTCATACTTTTCCCCTAACAGCATCTTCCACTCATCATCTCCACAAACAGCCTGGATCAGATCATTCGCCTTGATCACCCTCTCCTTCCACAAATCGTGTCTCGCATCCGGCTCCTCGGACTTGATCAGATTCTTCGTAATCCGTATCGTAGACAGCATCTTCACGGCACTGTGTGACATGACGGTCATCTGCAGGTAGTCGGTGCCTTGAAATTGGGCGGCCACGTGCTCCGGTGCGTCGATGCCGCCTGTGACATCTGCCGTTCTCCGGTGTGGGTCTACTAGGAAAGCGTCTAGCTCAAGGCAGGTAGGACAGCCGTATGGCCTTGTAGAATTCGCACATCCGAGGGGCGGGCAGGTGAGGTCCACGGATAGCGGTGTCGGCTCTTTGCCTATGTAGCGGGTGATGAAGAGGGAGATGACTTGTTGGAACTGCCATTGGTAGATGCGCGTCATCAGCGGGATGAGATAGTCTTGCATTACCGCCAGTAGCTCCTTGAGATATGGTAGGAAGACGTATTGTAAGGTGGGGGCATCAGCTACGTTTGCGCCTAGCCACATGTACCGGAGAAGTGTATGTTCTTCGTTGTAAAGACCCACTGTAAGACAGCAACGCACTAAACGCGCCATGCGGTCTGCTTGCAACCTTTGCTGCTCTTGAGGCGTGGCATTGGCAAACGTTGAGTATCGGGATCCTTGGTAAAGAGACCAATTGTAAGCGCCTCGCACGCATAAGGCTGGGATTGAGGCGGAGAGTATCTCGGCAAGAGCATATCTGGCAGATCCCGCGTCCATGGTACCCTCAACAAGCTCATCGTAAAGAAAGAAAGCAAACTCGATGGCAAAGGCATGACTGGAGCTATGTCTCTTTGCGAAGGAAATGAACCTGCTAATTTCAGCCGTGCATTTACTGCAGGTTTGGTGTCAGCCCTTACCGATGCATGGTAATCTCCTTGGCGAATCTCTTGGCGACCAGGACGAGCATAGCCCCATCATTCTCCTCAACTCGGTCTATCTCATTCAATGCCTGCTCGATGTGGTCTGGAATCCATTTGTGGACATTCTTCATAATCTCTTGCGGCTCGTTCTGTTTCTCGCATCCCACACAAATGCTCTGTAAGATCATGTAGCGATCCTGAAAAGAGTTGATCTTCGTCAATGCTTGATTGAGACTGGACGTCCAGTCAGCGATAACGTTGGCAGCATTGACAAAAAATCTGACTGCTCACAAGCTCCGATACGAGACGAACTGGGCTAGCTCCATTGTGCTACCCAATTCTTCCCACATGTCCAAGGATAGCATACTTGGATTCAAAGTGACGGCCTTTTGGAAAAGGTCTGAGTCTCGAAGTCTGATAGAGGCGCGAAAAACGGCTTCTAGCATTGCAGATTGCTCTTTGTGTTCTCGAACAATTCCACGGCTCGAGCCAGTGGTAAGCCATGCGCCGATATTGTTCAACTGAGTCTTGCACGCCAATCCCAAGCCCCAACGCGCGTTTGGATCCGCCCCTGCTAGATCGGTTTCCGATGGCGGTAGGTCTGCTGATTGTGTTTTGATCCAGTCATGAAGCGCCTCAGGATCAGCGTTGGCCGTCAAGAACTTAAATCGGTAGCCTTCCGGCATGATCAACAACACCTGTAAGGTGTGAGACGAAATCTTGACGGGAGTAACGCAGATGAATGTGGGACGGACTTACCCAGTCCTGGAAGCTCTTCGCGGTATCTGTCTGGACGGATGGGGTTCCGTCGGTGGGACTGGGATAAGGGTTTTGACGTGCGATTCGTTGGTGGTATCTCTGCTTCAAAATGCCTTTCTGGAGAAGACTCTCCCTGCCCACAGCAACAGGCTTGTTGCCAAGTAGTCCCCCACTGAGATCACGTATCTCGTGAAGACTGATAGCCATCTTCAACTCGAAGGCATCGTCAGGATCCGCGTTGACTGCACTCGTCATCTTCGCCAGGTGAAGGCAAACACCCCGTTGCAAGCATTGTTGCTCAAGGAGGCGTGTCTTGATTTTGTCAATAGTCTCTAAGTCGTGGTAATCGAGCGACCGGCCTTCGTACTGCTCACTGCGATCGCCCAGAAGGTAGATTAGATGACTGTGAGTTCGATCTTTCCGCCATATCTCGAGCCACTGTGAAAGAAGCCCATCGAAGTAGGAAGAGCGCTCTGTTTGGGGTTCTTTGATATCATCTAGAAATTTTCGTAGCAATGCCTTAATGCTTTCCATATCGGATGCTTGATGATTCTTTGGCCTATAGCCAATAGCTGCTTGCGCGACCTTAGTGATATCAATGTTGGCATCAAATGCATTTGTTGTCTGTGCTCCATCGATAGCATCTCTGATGTCCATCGCACCTGCTTGGTAGCTCATGGCGTGCAGATTAGTGAGGTCGGCGAATACCGGAAGCTGCAATTCTTCTTGTGGTTTGGACCCCCACTCTTGCAGCGTGGCTGGTTCCTCCCCTGGAAGTTTCGACTGTTTCATGAGTTCAGTTATCTATGTCTGTTATCTGCTAGGATACCTTGGGTACATTAGTGTGGACATGGTAGCTGAATTTGAAGGGGAAAGGAGAGAAAAATTGAGCCTGGTTGGTCCAGGTCAAAGAGACAAAACATGAGAAGTTGATCGGTGTTTGCGGTAGGACGACTTATCGCGAAGAGACACAGGGCGCTTAGCGCGATCTGAGTTGGCGCTGCAAGTCACTCAAATGCGCTGTATGTTGTGAATTTGCATTAGTAATCGTTAATCAAGCTTTCAAGTGCTCCTCTCATGAATTAGTGAACTACGTATTTTCTTTCTTCTTCTTCTTCTTCTTCTTCTACTGGACAAGATGATTCGGATTGATGAGCATGCATTGATAGAGGCTTTTTCCAGCCGATGTCTTTTTTTGTGCCAATTTGTGCCAAGGGTAAAGAATCATTATGAGTGGAGGACTGAGAAAGCTAAAGTATTTCCTATAGGACCGCACCCGGATCGGCTTCTCGTTCCGTCCCGGCTGCCGTACAACTAGGCGTTCTCCAAGTCTCTTTACACTACTTGTACCTTACCTTGACCATGTGACACGAGAATCACCAATCACCATCACATTGCTGGTTGCGTCAGCAATCACAACTGAGTTGAGCTTAAGGCGGTACACCGGCACGAGAGGAAGCACAAAATGCCTGTTGATGGAAGATTTCTGTACAGATGTGGCTACTGCTGACTGACATCTACCTCTGCAGCCCCAGTTGCACCCCCATATCCCCCAGCGTCTCTACCGCAGCTTCACCCCCAAATTGCTCTACAGCTATCCTCCTCATTCACTTCGGATGTTCACCACCTTCAGCCCTTTATTCACAAATACTGGCTTCCGAAAACCCTAAGGCACAGCTCTCTACCACAACCCTGAAGTACGTCTTCTACTCCTGACTGAAACACCTTCAGGACAAGATCATCAACGTGCGGCTACAAAGTTTATTCTGAAGCAAGATATGATGGGTCAGTCCTAAGGAGAGCTAAGGGTGGAGGAAAGAGGTGTTACTGGAACTCTACAAGGGACATTCAGCATGAACATGCCATATGTCGTGAGAGTCATTTATGAAGCTTGCAGGGTCTCAATGCGCTTACAGAATCCTGGGCAGTAATCTGTGTCATTGGCTCGATTCAAGATGGAGAGATGTCTACAAAATGGCCAGAGCATGGGTGGAATATTGCCGGTCACACAACACTGGCCTAAGGTTGACCTCTGTTAGAAGAGCGGAAATGAAGCGTGAGTAGGTTTTCAGAGTTACTCTACATCAGTTCGACAAAGTGCATAAGGTCCTGCCAGTTGCACCCTTCATCAGGCTATAGTTACAGCCTCTAAATAGTAAAGTCAGCGATCGTGAGAAGCACACAGATCTATGTGAGCTACAAGCAGACTATTCAGGGAACAGGCAGCGAAGAAACAAAGGACAGTAGCAATCATAGGCGGGAAGACAAGGGGAGCACCAGACATGTCCAACACAGTCTGCCTTCAGACAGTGGTTGTGAAGCGAGAGGCACTCCGCTATCAACACCAAGTCATAGTCATAGCCAGAGCGGAAATCACTTAAGGGTGCAAAACATCCAACAGGAAGAGTACCCCTCCATTCAGAAAGTCACTAGGCTGGACCAGTTTGTTGCCACGTATCGCAACACAAATACTCTTTCTTTTCACAATCACTGTCTCAGACAAAGCAGTGTAGAATTTCAACCTCATGTCTTCGTGAAACAACTAAACAGTCATGAACTTGTCTAACAAGATCGCTAAATAGGGTCTCCCACCTACCCTGAGCTGTCCTGAGAAAGTTCTTTCTTTCTCTTGAGCACCTGACGCCACCCTACCTCATCGGATATGCCGTGACACCTTAATTCTGGAGCAAGAGATTTCCAGTGACCTTTTCATCCACGCTGAACACAGCCTACACGCAAGAAGACCATCATTCAAAATACCTATCGAGGTCGCATCGCCACCGACTGTACCACTATGGTGGAGAGTCAATACTCACCGGTCAATCTGTGGCCTCCACGGCTCCTACAAGGTACTGTTGTTATGCCTTGGGATCTTGACAGATACCACGGCAAGAATGCAAAGCTGCCAGGAATGATCATGTTCTGGGGAACAGAGACCAGACCAAACCCATCTTTGCCTTCACGCCTCTTTACAATATCTCTAGACATCCTTGAACACCTCCTTGACCAATTGACAAAGCGAGATGCTTTCCGACTTTCGCAAACATGCAAAACTTTCATGCGGCATCCTGTTGTCTTGAAAGCAATATTCCACGAGCCAATCAGCATTGCAGAGATCGAATCGTGGTATCGAAGATTGCCCAGTGGTGGAATGAATGCCAAAATGATGATGGGTCCTCCGGTTACATGGGGTATCAATGCATCTACAGGCCCGCTGGTGCGCCGCCTGGCAGTACCAGAATGGATCTCTGAGCAGGACATACACTACCTAACCGCTCACTGTCCTAACCTGCATGCCCTCGACTTCACGGAGACCTTCGAATCTGTATCTCATACAGTGGGACAGGACGAGGACGAGGACGAGGACGAGGACGAGGACGAGGACGAGGAAGAAGAAGACATCGACTTTTGGCCTCCAGTGCTCGACCGCTGTCCTACCCTATTCAGAAATCTCAGATCAGTTCATCTCCCTTATGGCTGCTGGAAGACGGTGTATAGCCGTCCGGATAGCTACCAGCAAACACATTCAGCGTGCCTGCCTAAATTGTTGCATCTGGCTGAGCATCTCCAGAGTCTAGAGCTTACCTGCCAACAAGAGCCGACACTAGATCCATCTCCAGAAACCCGCCGGAATGCGTCAGCCCAGCTTGTTGCTGAGATCTTAGATAATGTTAGCCGAGAACTTACCTCCCTTGCTTTATACGAGTCGGAGTCCACCATTGAGAACCTCGACAGCTTCTTGCGGTCGCTAGCGATCTTTCCCAAATTGCGAACCATCAAGCTTTCCCTCCACCGCGATCTTGACATGTATCAGAGGGATTCGCAACCCAAGTATGGCTTCGATCTTATCATAGCTCCCATTTTGTCCAGCCAAACCGAAGACTACAAGCACGACACAGCGTCCGTTCTACAATATCTTTCGGCTGTCAGGAAGATTAATGATCGAGGAAGATTCTCGCTCGTGTCTAGTGACCGTGGAGAGACTTATCATTCGACGCTCAGTGATTACTATGGTCTTTGCCACACAGAGGTAGTGCATGGACCCCGCGATGACCTTTGGACTCCAGTCTGGACTTGGAACGACCGCTTGGATTGGGCCGAAGGCCATAATCATCCTTCAGTCGAAGTCGTAGATATCGGGAAATGTCGTGCACTCTTCGAGGAACTCACCAAAGCACGGATTCCCGTCTCCGTTGAGCTTGAGCCGCTTAGCGCTTCTTCTCTCTTTGCCGGTCCCTGGGATGAAGGTGTTTCGCATCAACGCTACGGTGGAAGTGATGATGTCGAAAATGTGTTGGATGGATATTTCCAACCTCTGCCAAGCAATGGAGCGATCGTTCCAGTAACTCGCGATCTTGCACGACATCCCAAACAGCATTTCGTGCAGTGGAGAGTCTTGACTACGATCCCGTCGAAGAACCCTTGGCGGTATTACGGCATGCCCACAAAAATTGACGACCAAAATTTCCGGACGGTCTCCGTCGATCTTGCCGCAGCTGAATACAAGCTCGGCTACGGTGACTACAAAGACAAGAAGCAAGCTGAGAACACAGCCAAAAGCGATGCAGAACCTTATATCAGACGAGCCGCCTCTAACACAGCCCACGCCAAGACTGAAATTCCTGATCCTGTCTGGCGATTGAACGAGATCGGAGACCTGGTAGATGACCTTCGCTTAATTTGGCACCGGAATTTTGCCTATGTTTACACCAGAATGTTCGCCGAGTCCTGCCACCCAAACCCTGACTGGGACGAATGGTCTATGCTCATGCACAAGTGTAAAGTGCACTTGAGGGGCCGACTATGGCGAGAGGCAGAATACACCGCCCTTCTTCTCCGACGTATCCCGGTCGACTTTCCACGCCTGACTCGACTTGCCCTTTACATGCCCACAGCCCTCTACCCGGGTCACGATCAGACCTTCATCAATCGTGCGCTCCCTGGTACAGGCTGGACCGTCAAGCATTACGGCCCAGTGGGTGAAGATCCGCCGATTCCGTTTCTGAACGAGGCTTGCTTGAAGCTTGCGGACGATATCTGTCCGTTCACCCGCCGTATATTCACCAGACCAACACCAACCGATGATCCCTCCGCGGTCATTGTCCATGATGACGAGTGGCATCGGACCATGCGGCCGCTGTTCGATCTTGATGGCGAGTATAAGAGCATGGACCAACTTCTCACAGAACCTCTCCGGGAAAACTACACAAAGGAGGAGGACTAGCGGAGGATGTGGGAAACGCCCAGATAGTAGATAGAGGCTTAGATGCAGGCAGGAGAATTCGTGCAGCCATGGCATACCTTTCTATGCTTTACGATGCCAAACACCCATGATTGAAGTACCTTTTCATCCAATAGTTCTTCTTCACCGGCCCTCTCCCAAGCTTTGCACCATGTGACACAATGACACCCCCAAAGACCACCCCCAAGCGCAAATAAGGCGGAATTGTGGATAAGACATGTTGTGTCTGTAGCCAGACTCCTCTTTTCAATCTTCTAAAATCATCACGCCAACGAGGGTATGCTTACACGGTACCGATGCAACGGCCAAGTCACGTAGCCTTTCTTACAGCACATTTCTTTCCATGGATGTTTCGATCGTCTATCCTGTCGCACGTGCTGAACCAATAGGTAGAACCAAATGAGTTCTGCGAGGTAACGACCGAGCCCGCTTGGTAGCCTGGGAAGTCCCCAGTCCGTCATGCACCGGCAAAAGTGTCTCATCTTGTCGCAGCCTTGTTGACTTGATCCATGGCTTCCTTTCTACCTACCGCTACGTTCTCCCATTGGAGCCGGATCTCGAACAGCGCATACATACGCGCTTCACGCTTGTGATGCATCGTTGCATCTTTCCCTTCGCCGCCGCAAACCCACTTGCTCCGCTCGTTTCACTCATTTTTGATCAAAGTGACTGATGAATCCATCTTCGCGGCCCGAGAAAGGCGCATCTGACTATTATAAGACAATAGCCAGAAATAGCCAGCATAATTTACTCAAGACACAATCTATGTGTTGATCTCATGGAAGAAGACTTATTGCGATTGCTTATTCGTTTCACCGAAAGCACTCGCTGTCGCTGTAATCGATGAAGTACGCGCGTTCAATCCGCGGGTGTCTCTTTCATAGTCTTTCGTGAGGAACAATAGTACCGCTGTCTATCCCGATGAATTATCAGACTGCCATTCCATTCTCCACCCAACTGCGCCTGGTTGCCACACTCCCCAAGAACCACGCCAAGTGCCAGTAGTACATGTGTCCATATACGTCTTCTTTCACCAACACGCACCTTCAGCAGGCTTCCAAATCGGCCTCGCCGCAGCAGTGTTCGTCTTCATCCACGGCGTTGCTGAAGTCAGATCCCTTAGCGTACGTACGCGCTCAGATCCCCCCTTGCTCCTGTCATTTGCCCTCACTCACGTCGATCGCGTCATATCCCAACACCAAAAACATCCATCTACTCCCCATGCTGATTCCCCTCACATTCGCCGCCATCCCGATCGTAGCGGTCTGTATCGGACTCGCGGCCGCAGTACTGGAACCCGTCTGCCTCGCCACGCTCGCGCTCGCACTCGCACTCGACCTCACATCCCCTACACTTATACACGCCCCCGCCGCTCCCAACCCTGTCACACTCGGACTCGCACTCGTCACCGTCTGCGTTGCCACAAACGCATCACATTGACTCAGTAACCCATCAAACACCCCCAGTGCCCACGTCGTAGTCCTATTAGCACCACCGCCCCACTGCCCATAGCAAAGACAGCTCGCTTGCCGACTGACAGCTTGATCCGTAAAGTTGAACCCGCCATTACCATTACTGCCACAGGTACTGTGATGGTGTAAGTGCTGGAGTCAGAGGAGGAAGTCAGGATGAGGGAGACGAGGATTTCGATGGCGTCGAACACGTCGTGGATCCGCTCGATTATCTCCGCGGCTCGGTTTGCGTTTTGGTCAGAGTCGCTGCCGCCAGAAGAGTCGGTTGTTTCGCCAGGTACGTCGTCCCGCTCGGGCACAAGGAACCGCAGCCGGAATCGTTGTCGTCGCTCTGGAGAGTCTTAGCCGGATACATCACCTCCTTCTCTAGCTCAGCCTGCATCGCCGCCGGCGTCGCCGGCGTCGGAGACCGCGTGTGGGACAAAAGGGGCGATGGACAGTGTGACGCGAAGGAACAGGAACAGGGTGAGAAGGAGGCGCATGTTGGAAACGTGAGACGAAATGCGGTGTTTCTTTCTTCTTATTGTTCTTTTTCACCTCACCAGTTGTGATTGTTATTATCGCAGTAGAGATTGATGAACTAGGAAAATTGAATAATATCAGACACGCAATTCAAACACCAACGAACGGTACTATATAGCCCAAGGTCGAGAATAATCTGCGCGAAGCAGAGAATGGATAAGAATTTTATAGAGGTCATGCTGATGCAAATATATATGCCAAAGAATCTCGGCCGCTGTCTTTCATTTCAGCTCTTAGGCTGTGTCGGGAGGATGATGTCAGAATATCAGGTAGGTAGAATAAGTAGTGTGAGACATGAATATATCTCGGACCCCGGGCCAGTATTTGACCCCCACAAAATAGGTGTTGTTCCAACAGGTGGCTGGGAGGAGGCTGGGAACCTTATTTTGACAGATGATTCGTGGATCTACAGCGGTATCAGTCTGTGGGTAGAAGATTTCTGATCCTGGCGACACTGCGTCGCTGCAACTCTTCGGGAGACTTTGCTTGATTCATCGCTATGGAAATGCTAAGATTTCGAATATCGCAGATGAGGCCTTCAGAGCGGAGAGTGTGACAGGTAAAGATGAGAAGCATTGTCCAGAGAGGACTCCTTCTTGTGCGGATATGACATGTCCTACCCAAATAAAAAAAAAAAATAATAAAACAAACAAAAATAATAAAAAAAAAAAATAAAAAAAAATATAAAAAATATATTCTTTTAGTCTTTTTTCTAATTTTAAATAATATGGGAAAAAAAATTATAAGCAAATGAAATGAACTGAGGCGGGTTTGCAGTCTTGGGGTGCGGCAAATGAAATGAACTGAGGCGGGTTTTTGAAGTCGAATAGTTCTCTAATGGTCCAGCGTGCGCTCATAATTTTGCTGGAGAATTTCATTGTTAGTGTCGAGTTCACTTGCAGACTCTCGGTGCAATTTATTCCTCGCACCCTTTCTTCGTGCCTTGCAGGCCCCTGACCTTCTGCTCTCGTGTCTCCCAGTCTCACCAGACGTATTGTTTTTCACAAGAGACACACCGTCGGTGTACACGTCTACGAAGTGCGCATTAAAGAAAGAAGAAGAATAATAATAGAGAATTAACGGTCCAAGCCTTGCGGCTTGTGGAGTCTGACAGATAGCGACTACAACATCTGCACCGCTTCAGCCCGAATCCGCAGATGCGGTCTATAGCACTTGCGACAAAATATCTCCCGAAAAGTCTACTGGATAGAGAGTGCAAGGCGGAGCATTCAATCTGGGCCGAGAAGCCGACGGCATTATGCACGAGTACCCAATCTCACCCTTCAGCCTTGTCCTGTCAACATCAGACTTCATCTTCAAGCGTACCGAATAGTTGCTCGAATATGCCCCCCAGTCTGACTAGGGCGGTGCTGATTTTCGCCACACTAAACAGCACAGAAAATGGAACACTTTGGTACATTCATGGTACTAACGATGGCAGGTAGCAAGTGCTACAGTCTAGTCATGCAGTGCACTAGCGTATGGAGCCGGGCTGAGTGCATGCGTGCTGACAAAGATCGTCCGTGGGAATCTATAATACCGTTGATGTTTCCGCACGGTACCAGGCGCTTGAACCCAGCCTGAATAGAGCTCTGCAAGCACTCAAGTTCCCTCCACCTTCTCCACTTCCGCGTAAAGCAGATACGTTTATACTCTTGGCCTATGAAGCCCCCCTGAAACTGCAGAGATGTGAAAAGCGGCTGCGTACCAATTATGGCAGAACCCCTATCTACCGTCGCGAGTGGTATAGCTGTACTGAGCATCGCTGTCCAGCTGGCCGAAAGCGTCAAAACGCTCTGCGATTTCTGGACCTCCATCAAAGAAGCCCCGGAAGATATCCAGGCGATTTCCACCGACTTGGACCTCCTGTCGAGCGTTCTCACCCGCATCGCCTACGAGACGCAACACGTTGAGCCCGACGCAACCTTGGTGGCCACCCTGAATGGTTGCTGGATCAAGGTCAAAATACTCACTACACTCCTCAATGAGATAGAACCGGGCTTTGCTTCAACGAGATCAAGGGTCCGCAAATGGACTGCTTTTAGGGCCGTCTTGAAACATGGACAGTTGATGAAATTTCAGGCAGCCTTGGAGAGGCTGAAAGGCACATTGTTGCTGGTGCAACAATATCAGTACAGGTAAGACTTGATGGAGCTCATGTGCATGTAACCATCGCATCCGTGCTCCAAAGTGTGAATTCGATGCTAACCACGCCAAATATCTCCTAGTCGCTTGAGTCGAAACCGTCATATCTCCCTAGAACGGAGCTTGATGAACATTACTCAAAGTGTTTCCAGCTTGAGTATACAGCAGCAATCAGAAACAGCCGGAAGACTCCCAAGCGCGGTCTCGGACGTTCATGCCAATTCTGCTGGATTTTGTGCTGAAGAATGGGATGCCGCAAAGTCTTTTGCGGCAGATTCACAACCTACTCAAAACGACCCTTCTATTTCGGGTGAATTTTGGCGAAGACAGGCATTGGTCAAACGCACTTTGAGAATGGAGAACTCCATCATGGAATACTTCCTAGGCACCGTCCGAGCAGAGTCAAATGTGACACTACAGATACCAAGAGAAAGGCATGGTCTGACGCCTTACGAACGAGATCAATGCGAGCATGAGACCTCATATACCATCTATCCGGCTACATGGTTGGTTCGTATGGGAGTTCATTATGGCCTCCGTCTCAAGTTTCTCTCCTCCTCTACTCAGGGGTGGCAAACCACGCTGAAGGCCTTTTGCCCGGTACCTGACGACGCTGTGATCTTTGAATTCTGCAGACAGGGGAATTTACCTGCGGTCAGGAGTTTGTTGTCAGCAGGTCATGCTTCAGTCAGAGACACTGATTCTCGAGGATACACACCTCTTCATGTGAGTCTTTCGCTTGAAACTAAAGCTGAATTACAACCGGGCGTTCTCAAAATAAGCAGCGTCTAACGTATGCATCAAGTTTGCTGCACAGAACTACCACCCAGAGCTTTGCAAAGTCCTTAAGAGTGCTGGAGCAGACGGAAGTACGCTCACGCACAATGCAGAGTAAGTAAGCCTAGTCTACCCCAAGAGAGCGATTACCACTGACTTAACACTCAGGACCCCAATGGTACTCGCAGTAGACAAATCACGCGATACCACCTACGCCACGCTATCAGAAATTTTTGACACTCTTCGCCTTTTCACCGATTCGATGGACTTTTTGGACGAATATGGCGATGGCTGGAAAGTCTTAGAAAATCTTTGTGAATATGCCACGGAAAAACTTGGAGAGCGTGACGCCAAAGAGTCTCTTCTGCTTTGGATGCTAAGGCAGTCGAGCTTTGAACTGAAGACATACTTCATTAGAAGCCGATTCGCATATATGTTAAACTGGACTCTATGTTTTTCTGAGCTAGAAGAAGCGTCTGACTTGCTTCTGAACCTGGGTGATGCAGAAACTATCAATGCAGGCATTCAGTTTAGAGATGGATATACCATACTTCACGACTTTGTAGCACATGCTTACTCGTATCCAGTGAGCACAGTGCTTGCAAAAGGCCCAGATCTCCATCGGCGGGGCTTCAACTACCGTTACACGCCGCAGGAAGAGTCGCCAACATCTCTTGCAATGTACTCGTCGTGGGCATTTACGGAATGGCTGCGTGGATTAGTCACTATTCAGGTGAATCTTGAGGAATTCATAGATCAAGAATTAGAGAGGAACCCTTTGGTGCACACTGGCTGGGAGAAGGAGACTCTACATGACTTGTTCGCATATCATCATCGACGTGACCTCGACGTTGAAGGCTATCCTTGCAGCGATTGCACCAAACGTATTTTCGGAGTCTCAGTACAGCCTCATTGGCGACATATGCTTGAAAGGATCAAGCAAAGAATAGACCCTGATGATCCGGGCCAGACTGACTCACAAGAGGGTGAAAAGGAAAACACAGACGTCAGGAAAATCGCAGAAACCGCAAGTAGCTCGGATGATCCGACTCATGAGCCTGATACGACTGGGAACGTCTTGCTTGTTGATTCCAATGAGCTTTTCTCGGAATCGGACTCGAAATCGGAATCGGAACTGGAAGAAGATGTCCACGGGTACCCAGCGATGGTACCAATTCGATCGGACTGCGTGTATGCCCCCAACGAAGTGATATGCGTTGACTGTTGGCTTCACTATAGGAGGACTGGGACTCGCAGGCCGCCACTCCCCTGGAAACGGCGTTTCGCGATAGACACTGACGATGATGCCTCGTCGGACGAGTACTCGTCTTCTGGAGATGAGTCATCAGAGGATGAATTCTCTCCTTACCACATCCACTCATAGACATCATATAGGTTAGGGAGAGTGTGCTTCTTGGATGCAGGTGGATAATACAATGGATACACTAGGCAAATTGTTAAGAGGAGCAGGGTGTTCCAGCAAATTCAGCAAGTAGTCTTTATATAGGATGCGGAGGTAAGGTCATACTGGGAGTGAGCAACCACAAGTCATGATAGCATCCGACAGCCGAGAGGCTACCCATCTCACTCAGCCTGACGCTTTGTTCTCTTCTTGACCGACTCATCCCGTTGATTCAATTTTCCTCATATTCGCAAGCCATGTTGGTGCATGAAACAATAGATCCCATGCTACAAAGACGTTCCCGCGTTGGCTAATCGAAAAATTGAAATAGCGGACACTCTTCCTCCTCCTCAAACTTAACCCCCTCCCTTCCTTCAATTCGCACACGCAGCACCCATTCCAAGTCTTACTGTTCTGTGGACCTCTACAATATCCATTCAGGTTCCCTAATCCAAAAACCGCTGTAGACAGAGCTCACTTCGCATCTGCATTTTCACACTCGTGCTCTGCGTCCGGACGGCAATCCATCTCAACGTCCCCGCACACGGAGAAATTCAGAACTCTAAGGACGCTGCAATGAGGACGGCTTCGCCCATTGATTCTTCCGGCAGTACTGGCTTCCCCAAGGGAGTGGAACTCTCGCACTATCAACTCATCGCATCCATTCTACAGTCTCTGCCAGCAACGCAGTCCTGCCACACGGAACTCTAAACCATGAAGGTGCATCGGCACCTCTCTGCCACATGTCGATATCGCAAGCGGTCTAACAATCTAGAGCATGTATCAACCACCCTTTCCAGAATCTGCCCATCTTCATAGCGAATAACAGTGATTTCTTCGTCGGTGGTCAGGAACATCTCGGATCTCAAAGTCACAAGTCTTCTCATCATCCCAAGCTTCCTCGTCGCAATGAACAGGAGACCTGAGATGAGGGAGAGGCTTGAAGAGATCTCCTCCCTCAGATTCGTGGTGCTAATTGGCTCCCCCATCGACTATGGACAGTGCACCGAGTTCACCGAAATGTGGAGTAAGAAGCTTGGAAAGACTTTGGTTGCTTCTCAAAGCTATGGAATGACGGAGTACGCTTGCCCCACCCCAATCCCAAGCCGAGCTAACATTCCCAAGGCTCGGAGGCGGAGTAGCCATCCGGAGCATAGACAACAAGAACGGCGAAATGTTGCTGATTTCTAATATCGAAGCTAAGGTTGTCAACACCAACGGAGAAGAGGAGGTCCCCCGTGGAACCGACGGGGGAGCCATGTATCCGCGGTCCGAATGTTGCCAAGGGCTACTGGCGAAACCCCAAAGCGATCGAAAAGCCATTCGCGAGGGATGGATGGCCGAGGACCGGGGATGTTGCCACGGTTGACGGGTCTGGGGATCTGAGCGTCGTCGCGCGAGTACAAGTGAGTCTGCTTTTTGCCCAGCATGCGATGGCATACTTACTTACCTATTCACTCACTTGTTTACTTACTTACTTACTTACTTACTTACTTACTTACTTACTTACTTACTTACTTACTTACTTACTCACTCACTCACTTAGCTCCCTACCTCTTCACCTACACACATACCCTCCCTCCCTCACAGGCCTCGCTATCATGTCCCGCCTCTGCAATCTTCCATACATACCCCCCTTCTTCCTAATAACCCTTCTACATCCCACTCACTCTCCTTCTTCCTCCCATCCGCGACGGGAGCCTCTACAATCCATCTACCTATCTACTAATATATTTTGAGCGGCATCACGCGCTGGCCTTAGGCGGGAGGTGAGAGAATGAACGAGTGAATGGATGAAGCAGAGAGAGAGAGAGAGAGAGTTCTTTGCTCGAGGGAGACGCCTTAAAGAGAGAGCAAGAAAGAACCCGCTGATTGATTGGGGTCGCGGGGTTTCATACCATGTGTAGTTGTGTTACGACTTTGCCCGATATTGATCGGATCGGATTCAGTTCAGTCTATCAACTGTCTGTCTGTCTGTCCGTGCTAATCGGACACTTGGCACAGTGTGCAGTTGCGAAATGAGTCAGGGTTTGAGACAGAGGGGGAGGTGAGCAAGAAGCCTGAGGCCGGACGACGGTGGGCGTGGGAAGCCATTCCGCTTGCGAAACGATGGAGATGTTTTCAGCCTTTACATTGCTTCTGCATCAAACCGGCTAGAGGAGCAAAAAAAGGAAACACAACACCACCGACAGTCTCAACTACCCCAGCAACTCCACCCCCAATCCATTCCTCCATCCTTCCTCAATGGCTCACGATCCGGAATCTAATACTACTAACTACTCACGCCCACCGATGCGGTGAGATGCAGACCGTCCACTTCCGCAACGGGGCGGCTCCGTGTTGGAATAGCGGCGGGTTCGTCCCAGTCGTGCTACAGGACGGAATTCCTGACCTGAAGAGAAGACGGCCCCGGCGACAACTTCGGCCTCGTACGACGCGCGAGAACAGATTTGCCCTTTCTCGCAGTATTCATTCAAGAGCGCGGTCTTAGTAAGCGGCGTCGTGTATAGCGTTATCAAGACCTTACCCGCGCTCTGTCGAAAATATCTTGGTCGGTGTTATGGAAAGAAAGAAAGAAAGATGCAACAAAGAGGAGGAAACAGTCGATATCGTGTAGACTCGTATATTGCTTACGACAAGTCATCGGATGCGCAGCGGCCCCCGGCCAAAAGTCACACCCCCTGCTTGTTGTCCCCATCCAACACTCGGCCATTGAGAAAGCCTCTCGGACCAGATGACCGCATCCTCAGGCGAGCCGAACGAAAAAGGAGCTCGCCGTTCTCGTTCCACGCTGCGTGTGTCAACGAAATCGCTGCCTTCTCGCCGAAAAAATCGTCGTCGGCCACCACCGCCACGTCTCCGGCCCGCTCGCGGTCCGGTATAGCATGAGCGGTCTGTATCGTCGCTCGTCAACGTATTTGCCTCCGAGAGGGATATTGCATGCATACTCGCTTAGGACGAAAGCACACACTCGGGCCGGATTGAAAGTTGACCTGGCCGTGCGGTTCAGCGACTACTTTTCGTGCAGCGATATCCGCCGGGAATGTCAGGGTTGCGCGACAGCCGGTGATAGGAAGGGGCTGCAATGCTGCTTTTTGCTGGGCCAAGTAGGTGTTCGCGGACATTGCACCGGCGAGCGGATTACCAGTGGCACTGGAGTCGCCTTCGAAGCTGGCTGTGACTGTGGAACCCTCCTTATCGCTGGGTATATGGGAAATAGCATTGACCTTTGTGCCACGCTAAAGCATGCGTCGTCGGTAAGCGCAGTGTCTTCGGAAAAACATCAAGTGCCTAGTCTCGATGAGTCGCTGACCTGCACCAACCTTTCTACCAACAGAGCTCTGAACGCCGACCTTTTCAACCGATGCACATCAGGCATCGACATTCTAACGTTCGACAGCCGCTCCGCCATTGAAGAATGCGTTTCATGTCCTTCCGGCTGGTTGTCCGCATCTCAGGGTCAAATGCCGCCATATGTGTTCAAACGGCACGGAGGGTTCGAGAAGAATATCCTCGAGGCGGCCGGGCGTGTGGCCAAAGACCGGTCGCGCGAGCGCTGATCACAGGAGGCGGCTCGTTCGAAGACGGTGCGTTTGAAGGTATGAGCAAGGATCGTGGAAGAAATCGCAACGGTAGCGAGATACCGTTTTGAGTCTTTGCGCTCGCTACCAGCGGTCCTACAGAACGAATGTGGCTTTCACCATAACAACCAACTCGTAGCAAAGCTTGAGGCCGTCGAGGAAGGTTACACACCAGCTGCGATGACTGGGATGTTGGAACCGGTCTCAGGTTTCCGAATCGGCCTCGGTTGGCGAAGAACCTGGCATGAAGAAAAAAAAATCCATCTTGTTGTCTTCTTCTCTTTATTTCCCTCCTTTCTCTTTCCCGTAACAATCCATCCACGCCAAAAGAAGAGAGAATCCCAGCAATGCAAAAGCGGCAGTAATAGATAGACTTATACACATCACCGACCCTTTCTTCAACGAATAACAAAAGATCCAGAGATCGAGCCCGGCGTAAAAGAGAACGGTGGTGGTGCGTATGCCCCAACGATGATAATCAGGATGCTTGGAATTGGAGCGCGATCATACTTGTACCAACCAACTACCATCTAGGCCTCCTGGCTCGGCATGCTCTACATACACGGTTGGTCCTAAAATAAGCGTACATATCCGAAATCTCGTTCAATCAATCAATCAATCAATTTACCCCCTTCCCCCCCCCCTCCAACCCATCCCTCCAATTCCAAAAAAATAATCAACCCCACACCTCCAACTCATCCCCTCCCTTCCCTTTCCCCTCCCCCCTCCCTCCTTCCCTCCCTCCCCCCTTCCCATCCATCCACCACCGACTCATGAATGAATGAATATTTCCGAGGGCCTGAGCACCTTCCCCCCACCCCCTTCCTCCTCCTCCAAACTGACCTCAACGAGTGCGATGTGCACGAGACGTAGAACCGAACCGAGGTGCAGTCCGTAGGTAGGGAGGGGCTGGGTAGGAAGAAGAAGAAGAAGAAGAAGAAGACGAAGAAGAAGAAGAAGAAGAAGAAGAAGAAGAAGAAGAAGAAGAAGACGAAGAAGAAGTAAAAGAGAAGAAAAAACGAAGAAGAAGAAGACGTAGAAAACGCAGAAGACGCAGAAAAAGGAGACGAAGAAAAAAGAAGGAAAAAGAAGAAGAAGAAGAAGAAGAAGAAGAAGAAGAAGAAGAAAAGAAGAAAAGAAGAAAAGAAGTAAAAGAAGAAAGAAGAAGAAGAAGAAGAAGAAGAAGAAGAAGAAGAAGAAGAAGAAAGAAGCAGAAGAAGAAGACGAAGAAGAAGAAGAAGACGAAGAAGAAGAAGCAGAAGAAGAAAGAGACGAAGAAAAGACGAAGAAAAATCGAAGGAAAAACGAAGAAGAAAAAAGAGAAAAAAGAAGAAAAAAAACGAAGAAGAAAACGAAGAAGAAGAAGACTATATTGCAGAAAATGGAGGCGAGCGAGAATACCGATGCGGATGCGGATGCGGATGCGGATGGTTTGGGAAGAGGAAGGGAATTCGTGTGAGATGTAATGCCGTTCGAGTGGTGTGCCGCGTTCGAGTGGTGCCGGGTGCGTGAGCGAGTGAGCGGGGTGGGTGAGTGCGCGGAGGAGGGAGGATGGTATGGAAGCTGGCGAAGGTGGGAGGATGGGAGGATGGGAGGGAGGTGGAGGAGGGAGGAGGGAGGAGAGAAGGGGGGAGGGTGAAGGGAGGGAGAGAGAGAGGGAGGAGGGTGAGTGGGGATGGGAGGATGGGATGTGGAGGGAGGATGGAGGACGGTATGTGGGAGAATGGGATGAGGGAGCTGGCCAAGGTGGGAGGATGGGAAGGAGGATGGGATGTAAGAGCTGGCGAAGGTGGGAGGATGGGAGGAGAGAGCTGGCCAAGGTGGGAGGATGGGAGGATGGTATATAAGAGGATGGGATGTGGGAGCTGGCGAAGGTGGGAGGATGGGAGGATGGGAGGAGGGAGGATGGCGAAGGTGGGATGATGGGAGGATGGTATGAGGGAGCTGGCAAGGGGAGGATGGGAGGATGGGAAGTGAGAGCTGGCCAAGGTGGGAGGATGGGAGGATAGTAAGTGTTGAAATGGATGAGAGGTTGAAGGATTAATTAGCTATGGAGTGGTGTGTAGGTTACTAATATACCATGTAAAGCCACGCTAGTGCCATATTGTCATTGCCTCCGTGAGGGGTAGCTACAACACACTATGGCGCTGCAGCATGATTTCGCAACCGTATGTGGGAGCTGGCGAAGGTGGGAGGATGGTATGAGGGAGCGAGCGAGTGTGTTCCGTCCGGTCGGTCTGTCTGGGATGAGGATGGGAAGGAGCATGTTGCGTTCGGGGATGAGGATGAGGACGGGAAGGAGCATGTTCCGTCCGGTCTGGGATGAGGATGAGGATGAGGGTGTTTGTAGAAACTATTGTTGATTAGAATGTATAAGAGGGAGACTTGTGATTGAACTACGAGTATGTTTGGGAAAAAGGGATGGAGAGTTTGAAGTGAAGTTAGATAACTTTGATTTGATGCTCGCTAATGATCATTCGACTATGGACAGTAGAGATTATGGATTAGGTCAGGTAGGCGCGGAGCCTAGATGCAGACTTTTTTGGATGTTCAATCGTGACCGCATTGGAACCGTATGCATCGCGTGATATTTCAAGACAGGGATTCCGCCATTATGCTGCCGATGTCTCCTCTTTTTCGGCAAAATCAAAACTCCGTGGTGTAAATGCTGACCATGCTCTTGTGCCTTCGTTCCGCCGCGTCGCCATCCTGTCGTGTGTCCCTCTGTCGCTTGATCTCGTCTCCTCCGAACGCTGCTGCATGGCTGCTGTGGCTGTGGGCAACTCAGAACAGAGCGAATGCAGCGATACCAGCAACCACTGCGATAACCTTGCCACCCACAATGACGGTGCTTGCAGCACCCTTGAAGGTGGTAGCTGGTGCAGTGGTCGAAGAGGTCGAAGAGGTGGAGGAGGAGGAGGAGGAGGAGGATGAGGAGGATGCAGTTGATGCCATGGAAGCGGTAGCCGGAACTGTGGTGGAGTTACCGACTGGGAAGGGAGCAGGCGTGACGGTAGTGGAGGTCGCTGGTGGTGCCACTGGTAGTGGTGTGGTGGAGGTAGAGAAAGTTGAGGTGGTGCTGGTGCTTGTGCTACTTGAGGTGCTGGAAGTAGACGAGGTCGTTGAGGTGGTTCCAGGTGTGCTGGCAATGGGAGTAGCGCCGGAGCCCTGGCACGGGAAGGTGACGATGTAGATCTGATGACACTGCGCACCGATGCTGATATCATACAGGTTTGAAAAGGTGCCACTCAGACAGCCAAAGAAGAGAGCATTGCCATTCAGCGCCAGGGATCCGTTGGTGCAGACGGAGAAGCCCGAGGTGGTGGGCCCTTGGACTGGTTTGTCGAATTGGAACTGGTGGTTGGCGACGACTTCACCGGTCCGGCCTTCCTGATCGGTGAGGACACCATTTTTGAGGGTGACGATGGGGTTGGTGGTGCAGACGGTTTCGCCTTGGGAGGGAATGGTTTGGGTGATGTTGTAGGGAGCGATCTCGAAGGTGCCGGAGTAATTTTCATCGCAGCCACTGGAACCTTGAGCGGAGACGGTGGAGGCCAGGACGGCGAGCAGGGTGATGGCGGTGAAGGACTTCATGGTGATTGTAGTTTTTTGAAGAGGTGAAGAGGATGATGGGAGATGATGATGGCGATAGCTTTTTGTGAGTGTGAGGTTTGGGGGGAGTATTAGGCTATGCAAGCAAAGGCAAGGTAGCGAATGAGTCTTGTTAGCTTAGCTATGTAGCTATGTAGCTATGTAGCGAGTGTAAATTTGCAGCGAATGTATGAGATGTGAGAATATGTACTGGAGTATGGTGGATGATGCAAAGAATTAGATGTTGTGGATGATGATGATGGTGATGGATTAGAAAGAAGCAGAAGTAATTAAGAAAGAAGGAAAATTGTAGCTTTGGGAGGTGGGTGCAGGTACTTATCCAATTGTAGAAGTCGATGACACTGTGAATTACGCGGCGGGGGGGGGGGTGGAGGGGGGGGTTGGTATTGGTCAGTGGTGGATTGTGTGTTTAGAGTGAAAATAATAATACGAAAAAGGTGGGGCGGGAGGGGCTAGGGGGCTGGACATGCGCTTTGGTGGCAGGGATCTTTAGTTTGCCACCCCGCCCTCTGCTGCTTAGCTTAGCTTCCTCCCCACCATGAATCTCTCATCCACAATTGAATCCTCAATACCCTCATGATTGATTGAGGCGAGTATTTCATTGTTACAATATTTAATTATGAAGCATTGATGTATTCTATATAGGTATTCACTAAATCCTGCTGCATGTACAGCTCCCTATCTTACATGTAAGCTACCCAAACACCTCGGCCCCAGTCGGCGCGATGACGAAGATTACCTTTCCCATGCTCCCTAAATAGATTTCTTGCTAGGGGTATGAACTGGGTACCTATCGATAGGTAGCACGGGTAGGCAGACATACACTAAGATAGTATCCTTTTTAGCGGCAGAGATAGCGATTGGCGCAAGATTCATGAGGCTCAAATGCTCACAATGACAATCATTTGGTAATGAAATCACGCGACTTCCACATTTTTAATAAAAATAGAATTTTCAGGCTCACAATGACAATCATTTGGTAATGATCAGCGATTAGCCTGGCCTAGCTTCGCTCATTTTTCCGCCGAAATGGAAACCCAGTCCCACATAGCGCCGACTTTGCCTGAAGGAGAAAATAAGAAGCACCGCAACACCATTGTACCAGCAACCTAATACAAACTAAATGTCTCCGCCAATCGGAAGGAGGAAAGACCTTTAAAGGTAGTAACGAGAGACGTTAAAAGTTAAGGTGTGTGACGAACCTATCGCAAAGCTTCCGGAATCCAGACAGTCACAGCTCTGCCTCCGTCTACTCGGCACCTGCATCCTGCCGTCTGCATGCGAGACGACTGCGCACTCGAGGGGGGGCGGCTCCGAAATGCTTCTTCTTTTCACAACCTCTCACATCAACAAATCGTCCTCACGTCAGACGCACATGGACGGAGAGCTGCAGACCGCAGACCGCAGAGGCGCTCACTCTGCATGCTTTGGTTTCAAACCCTGTCTCAGAAATGGGAAAAGACTCGATCTTGCGTCTAGCTGTGATTGAAAATGCGCCGGTAACAAATTCTGGCCGGCGCCGGGAACTCAATGAACTGCCTCGTCCCGCATCGAGTAAGGAAAACGGAGATGGGTGGTCGCGATCATCTTGTTTTGTGATATTTCAGAATAATAATAATAGACTGCAGCAGTCGTTATACTGATTGGCTGTCCGTGCGGTGGTGAGCTTGGGGGAAGGTATTGATCGCTCGCATAGCGGCTGTGCCACCGGAGCTCCTCCGGTCCCGAAACCCTCCCTCCATCCTGCCCTTCTTCCAAGACATGTGAATACCTACCTGAAAAGCGACTTCACCACGCGGCTGCACTGCCTCGGATACAATTCAAGACAGTCACGGCGGCAATATCGAGGATTATTCATATAACAGATCATTACCAAGTAGTGAATGGGCTGCGGCCGTGCCACCGGAGCTCATCCGGTCCCGAAACCCTCCCTCCCTTTCTTCCAAAAAATGTGAATCCACCACGGGACTTCACTGCCTCAGATAAAATTCTAGAGATGTCACGGCGGCGACACCATAGACAGCTCACATGACAGATCATCATGAATGAGGCAGTGAATAAGTTAACATTACCACCGTGGTTCTAAATTCACAAAATTTTGAGGCAGTGAGGCAGTGACTTCCCTTACCTCACCTTCTCATCATTACCCCCCCAGACTCGCTCTACCCATCTGTTTCAAACCCAGCAAGCCGGCGCCCGCAGTGACGACCTCACTGGCCATGAAACACCCCGACACGAAAAATATTCAAGTCCTTGAAATGTCACTGTCGCAGTTCCCATCGAGACTCTCGGCTCTGACACTGTCGGCTAGTCTACGGTACGTTCAGGTGGCCGAGAAACAGATTCATGGGGTTAGGTAGTAGGTACGCAGCGATTGATCTCTGTCTCTCTCCCCTCTCCCCCTCTCCCCTCTCTCCCTCTCCTCCCTCTCCCCTCTTCCCTCTCTCCCTCTCTCCCTCTCTCCCTCTCTCCCTCTCCCCCTCTCCCCTCTCCCCCAGAAACATCCCTACCTGCACCATTCATCCCCATCCATCATCCATCCTCCATCCACCATCCATCCATCCATCCATCCATACAGCTATCGAAGCCATCCCATCCCTCCCACCCATCCCATCCATCCATCCACCATCCATCCACTACACAGCTATCGAAGCCATCCCTCCTCCCCATCCCCATCCATCCATCCATCCACCCATCCATCCTCAACCCATGACTTAAAATCACCCACGCCCCCTTCCGTCCGCGTGGCGACTGACAAGACCCGAGACCGGTGTTGCCACGCGCGTAGGTGCGTGTTTGAGGATGTGAAGACTTTGCGTGTTCGAGGTTGTGAAGACTTTGCGTGTCTGAGGATATGAAGACTTTGCCGCGTAGGTGCGTGTTTGAGGATGTGAAGACTTTGCTGGGGGAGGGGAAGGGGCAAGGGGGTAGGAAATGGGACCATGGGAGGGGCTAGAAAGATAGGAAATGGGGAAGGGGGGAAACGTAGGATGGGGAAAGGGGCTAGAAAGGTAAGAAATGGGGAAGGGCTGGAAAGGTAGGAAATGGGGAAGGGGGAAATGGGGAAGGTAGGAAATGGGGAAGGAGGCTAGAAAGGTAGGAAAGGTAGGAAATGGGAAAGGGGGGGGAAGAAAGGTAGGAAATGGGGGAAGGGGGAAAGGGGGAAGGGGGGAGGGGGGAAAGGTAGGAAATGGGGAAGGGGGAGAAAGGTAGGAAATGGGGAAGGGGGCTAGAAAGGTAGGAAATGGGGAAGGGGAAGGGGCTAGAAAGGTAGGAAAGGTAGGAAATGGGGAAGGGGGCTAGAAAGATAAAAAACGGGACGATGCGAAGGGTATACAAACAGCGTTCTATCTATCCACATGAATGGAATGTGTGAAGAGGTTGGACTCACGGGCTGCTCCTCTCGGATGATCATCCCATGTATTTCGGTCGGTGGACAATGTTTTTTCTCCAGGAGCTAAGGCTACTTACTGTGAACATATAGTACCAGAGCCGATATCCTCTCAGCACCCCTAAGTATCTATCCACTCACAAAAGGATTCCCCAACTCCACAACCTTCCGCCGCCCCCCCCTCCTTCCACACAGCGGTGCTTATCACACCAACCCAGCACCGCCCCATACCACCTCCAACCACCCTCCCGACCCAACACCCAAAGCCCCTCGTCCCCTCAACTCAGAAACCTCGAACCCCACCCCGCCCGCAACGCCGCCAGGCCCTCCGTGATCGGCCCGGGCGCCGTGAATGACCAGCGTCGGCGTCGTCCACCCGGCCGTGCGCCGCGAGGGGTCCCGGTCCGCTCCCACAGGGCGCCGGCGCAGTGGGGCGCGAGGCGGCCGGTCCCGTTCGAGGAGAGCAGGGTCGTGAGGCCGAAGATGCCGTCGTGGCGGACGAGCGCTCTGGACCGCCGCGCGATCCAGTTCATCGTGTATCCGCCGTAGCTGTAGCCCGTGGCGATGGCGCGGTCCGTGTCCGCGTAGTCCAGCGTCGCCCGGACGTGGTCGAAGCACCGGACGAGGTCGCGGTCCGGGCGTTTTTGACGCCGTCGACGGAGTCCTGCCCGAAGCCCGTGGAGCCGGTCGGGTACGGGAGGACGACGACGTAGCCGCGACTCGGCGAAGACGGCCGGGTTCCGGCGCGTGCTCCGTTCGTCGAGGAAGGAGTCCTGGGGTCCGCCGTGAATCCGGAAGAGGAGGGGGTATCTTTTCTTCTTCTTCTTCTTCCCCGTCTGCATTTTGTCGTCCGCGGACAAGGAAGAGGGTTTCACGACGAAGGCGTGGACGTCGTAGGGGCCTGCGCCGGGGAATTGGATGTCGGAGACTTGAGGGTAGCGCTGCGCGAAGTGCGAGGAGCTGTAGTCGGTGTGGCGGGAGAGTTCGTGCGCGATTCCGGTGCGGGGGTTCGCGGTGATGAAGACGCTGCTTGAGGTCAGGCTGGACAAGGTGAGGAGGAGAAGAGCGGGGGAGACGGCGTGGACGGAGGAAACGCTACCCCAGGTTGTGAGGGGTGATGGAGTGGCGGCCAAGGTCGCTTCTTCTTCTTCTTATCGTTTGTCGGAGGTGGGGGGGGACGGGGATCTGGAAGAGTTTCCTTCTGCCGCCGTCTTCAACGGTGAGGTGGAGGGTTTCGGCGTCGCTGCTGAAGGTCAGGGACAGGGGCTGCAAGTCCCAGGATTCGGAAGTAGTGATCTCAGTGATGTCTTCTACGTCGTCGGTGTCACGAATGAGGAAGATGCGCGGTCGATCGAAGTCGCCGCCGGGCTCTTCGGTTCGAAGGAACGCGGCGGATTTGCCATCCGGTGAGAATGTTGGCGATGAAGCGGTGCCGTCGTAGTTTGGTATGGAGACCTTGTGAGGCGGCGATGCGGGATGTTTGGTGTATGTATGAACAGGGATGCAGTAGAGCTCGTTTTCAGAATGAGGGCCTGATTAGCGGCCGGGTCAATGGCGGTGAAAAGGATTCCGATGGCCGAGAGATCGAAGTCTTCGCCGTAGAACGGGTCTGGATTTGGATGTTCCAACCCTGTGGTGCCTGATGTGTGTGGGAAAGCGGTCGTACGCTTTCAAGCCTACAACTAGTATAAGTTACTGTTTAGTGACGGACACTAGTGATACCTTGATCCAGTCGTAACGACATCACCCCTCCCCCTTCTGTGCCTGTACCGTGGAGAGCGTTGACAAAGCCAATGGATGAAACGCCATAGCGATTTCCATGCTTCTTGAGCCTTGTGAGATGGGGTTCTTTTCTGCCGTAACGTAGCGGTCCCAGATTCGAACGGGCAGTCTGTCATACTCTCTAGCTGACGACCGAGGCTTCTCGGCGTCTCCGGATCAAAGAACGTTTCATCTGGCGAAGCTTGCCCGGTAACAGCAACCGCGAAAGACTTGTTGGAGAGCCTTTTCGTTCTCAGATTGAAAGCTGGGCCATCGATTGTGGTTAGTAGATGCGCATTGGTAATTCGAGCGTTTGATTCGGAAATCTAGACGAAAGAGCTTTTAGAGGATTGAAGGCCTACTTCTTCTCCCCAACAGCAACGCCACACCACACCTCCGTCATCCCCCTTTCACCCTCTCTGAGCCATATAGTACCTGCTCATTCTGCAGCCAAGCGACGTCCTTATTTTTGGACTCATTCGAGAAGAGGGTTGATGTCCGGCTAGGTAGGTCGAGAATTCGGATCTCTTTACCTTCGCAGTGGGATTCCAGGGAGTGTGTGGATAATGTGTATAAAGCGAGTGTGACATTGTCGTTCGGAATTGCTGAGGTACGGCGGGGTGTAGATATGAAGGCTTTGTGTTTGGTGTTAGAGCTGAGATTGAACACAGGTTGTACATGTATTAAATCTAGTACTCTAGAGTCAATTTGTTCATCTTTTAGATCGTCATCGTGTCTATCCTTTTCCTCTCAAGTATCAAAGACGAGGTCAAGGAAAGAGGGATGTCGTAAAAACAACGTGGGCTCCCGCAAATACGTGCACTCCGTATCGAAGGATTAGGCAACAGCGCCGTAAGCACGGGTAAGAACTCATTGGGGATTTTCAAGCACGATGAGGTGATCAGTCAAGTCCCTGCAGCAACTGGGAAATCCCATTGCAGATCTGGGCTCTTCCTGGATCCGCAGCACACTTTTGAATAGTGTTCTATCCGTGAGGAGTGCCATGATCAACATCGCCCATACGTAGAGGAAGTCGAGTGGGTAGGGTGGGTAAGGGGGAGTAACGAATTCTGGTAGAAGGATGTGGATTTTTTATGGAGAAAGACTTCGTCAAATAAGATACCCCTCCGAAGCCAAAAAGCTACACTACACATAGCTAGCATGCCCAAAGCTTCAGAAAGCACCTTCCAACCGAGGAGAAAGGACTTGCAGTAACTGATAAGATCCCGGAGAGGATTGTGGAGCAGAGAAGAAAAGGACTCAGCAGGCTGAATTTGCAAAGGACATCGATGATACTCTACGAAAGGTGTTGATCGGCGCACATGTAGAACACAAGCACCGGTGTCGGCGTCGTGATGGGTATCCTTTTGTTAGAGGATTTTAACACGGTCTGCTAGTCCCTTCAAAGGTGCTAAGCCCCTTCGGGTTACTCGTATCTACCTTGAAGGACGCTTCGGAATTTTGAACAGGACTTCCGTCGAATTTCTATCATCAAGGTATTGAAATCAACACTATCATATCATGACTTAATGAAACACTATGAAACTAAGGTCTTTAGATACTTGTTATCAATGCTCTCAGTCACGATTTTTACAAATCTGATTCGTCGTTGTTATAAAGTAATGAAGATATCAAGTTTCGTGATAAATTCATTAAGAAAGTGCAATTTTGGTGAGCGTGGCGGGGGAATCTCGGCTGCGGATTAATTAAACGAGAACTCTATTCCACCTTCAACTTGTCATAGCCTTACAAAACAAAGTTCGTGTTTCCTGCGACCTTCTCTCCTCATGCAGACTGAGCCTTTTCAACATTCGAGTTCTCTTCTCTCATCATACGAACAATCACTTCAAGATGGGTCATCTCACTACGGTGGCGTAAGTTCACTATCTCGAGACCTCGTTCGATTGCGTACTTACCCCTTTCAGTGCTTGCAGCCTGAATCAGTGGGCTCTAGACTGGGAAGGCAACACGAAGCGCATTATCGAATCCATCAAAATCGCGAAGAAAGCCGGAGCGAAGCTGCGTGTCGGTGGGGAGCTCGAGATTACCGGCTACGTGAGTCGTTTTGGGAGCTTCCATCACTTCAGAAAACCGTAGCTTATGCTCGAAAATCTAGGACTGTTTGGACCATTTCCTTGAGAACGAAACGTATCTCTTCTCATGGGAGATGTTGGCCCGTATCCTTGATGAGTACAATTGCGCTTCACCTTCTTCTCCGTGTGTTACTAATCAAATATAGCAAAGAATGTTATGGTTGCCTTCTTGACATAGGAGCCCCAGTGATGCATAGGTTGGACTGCCAATTCAAATATGCTTTTCTAGATTTGCTAAGGAGTACAGAAATTTGAGACTAAATTGCAGGATCCTTGCCCTTGATGGCAAGATTCTGCTCATTCGACCCAAGTTGTGGCTGGCAAATGACGGTAATTATCGGTTAGCAATTTCCTCGGCGTCTATCGCCAAGTCCAAAAACGCTGGAATTTGGGCTAAGCTTCAAATCTTTTATTAGGGAGATGCGATATTTCACCCCTTGGCGCCAGGGCCTCTGCGAAGACTTCATTCTGCCCCGATCAATGCAACGCCGTCAAGGGGCTGTGCGGGTGCCCATAGGTGATATGATTTTATCCACTGCAGATGTACGGGCCATCCCTGCTGCCTAATTTCTTTTTTGGTCCCAGCGCCAGGAGTTTCAGGGGGTACCTTCACCGTAAATGAAAAATGGCTTTCGAGACTCGTCACATATTCCCAAAACATATCCCAGAGAAACAGCTAACAGTCGTATTTGTATAGACGTGCATCGGTGCCGAAACGTGTGAGGAACTGTGAGTATCTTTCGGCGCTTTCCTCTTGGGCGATAACAATGCCAGGAAGGAGCTGACTTTCGAATACTACTTAGGTTCACGCCTGACGGACCTCATATACATGTATGCCATAAGCTCCATTGCTTTCTTTCAAAATACTTCCGGGATGTACAGACAAGCAGCTAACACCGAGAAATCATAGATGGGTTTGCAGGGCGTTGAGATCTTCACGAATAGCTCTGCCTCTCACCATGAGCTGAGGAAGCTTGACAAGCGTCTAGCTTTGATCCTAGAGGCTACACGAAAAAGCGGTGGAATCTATATCTACGCAAATTTGAAAGGTCTGTAAATTTTAATCCTTCCATTGAGAGCGTTGAATCGCTGATAGCTTACAGGCGGTGGTGGTGATCGGCTGTACTATGATGGCTCTAGCATGATCGTGTGCAATGGGACCGTCAAAGCCCAGGGGTCCCAATTCTCTTTAGACGATGTTGAGGTCGTTACGGCAACCGTGGACTTAGAGGAAGTCCGAGCTTATCGCTGTAGCGCAAGCCGTGGTTTGCAGGCTGTCAGGCCGACGGAGCAGTATCGTCGGATCGATGTCACCGCATACAGTATGTCACCAGAAAGCGATGACTTCAACGCCAAAATTAGTCCTTCATGCCCGATCAAGATTCATGCCCCAGAAGAAGAGATCGCGCTGGGTCCAGCGTTATGGTTATGGGACTATCTACGGTAGAATTCGAGTTCCTATCAACTCGAATCTAACTAATGCAATCAAGCCGCTCTTCTCTCGCTGGCTTTCTACTCCCACTCAGGTATGCCACAACAATTTACATCACTACGCTTTGTCTAACGAAAAAAGTGGAGGCATTGATTCATGCGCCACGGCCGTCATTGTCAGCTCAATGTCTCGCCTGCTGATCGACGCGATCCGGAATGGCAACGCACAAGTCATCAGCGACGTCCAACGAATCGCAGGTGCCTATGAGAAGGAGGACTGGCTTCCACAAAGCGCCGAGGCCCTAACGAGGAACTTGTTCCAGTAGGTATATCTCTAGACATCTAGAGAATTTGCATGCTCTGCAACTCTGCGAGACCTGATGACTGATCTCAACTCTACTCAGCACGCTTTACTTAGGCATGGCCACGCAGTCATCGAAGGAAACGAGAAGCAGGGCTAAGGAATTGTCGAAAGCAATTGGCTCGTATCATACCGATCTTGACATCGACGATGTCTTCAATGCGCAGAAGAACATCTTCACAAAGGCGACAGGCTTTGAGCCGAAATTCAAGGTTCATGGGGGATCGATGGCGGAGAATTTGGCACTGCAAAACATCCAGGCAAGGAGTAGAATGGTGACGGCATATGAATTTAGTCAACTGCTTCCTACAATTGTATGTAAGGTCCTCGGCCTTCCCTAACGCTTTAGGAGGTCGATCCGCAACCTTGACAGAAGTGGTCGCTAACGCATCTACAGCGAGAACGAAAAGGAGGGGGTAGTTGCCTCGTCCTCGGTTCAGCAAATGCGGACGAGGCTCTTCGAGGATATTATACGCGCTACGACTGCTCTTCCGCTGACGTGAACCCAATCGGAGGAATTAGTAAAACTGATCTTAAAAGATTCATTGCCTGGGCGTGTACGAATTTCGATCTTCCCATTCTCAAGGATTTCCTTGCCGCAACACCAGTGAGTGTTTCTTGACTCTTCATTCAATCTCTTTGATAGCTGATGCTGCGCGATTTGTAGACAGCAGAGTTGGAGCCTCTGGAAGGCGGTTACGTACAGTCTGACGGTAAGTACTCCGCTCTCAGCCGCTAAGCGCTAGTCGGAATATCTGCAAGTTTTTTACTGACTGCAAGAAGAAGCAGATATGGGATTACTTTATTCGGATTTGCAAGTAATGGGATCGCTGTATGTGATTCGAATCCTTCCTTTACCTCTTACGCACTTGATGGGGCATTTCGGCGCTGATCAATTATGTCCTCCCTTCTTTTGGAGAGCCGCGACGCCGCCATCACAGGACTCTTCACTCTCGTGGCTTGCATTGCAGGTAGCTAATGCTTGACTGTTTGAACTAGTCGCAAAATTGAGAAGATGGGACCCTTTTCAATGTTTCAGAGACTTGTGCGTGAATGGACACGCGATAAGGGCATGACGCCGCGCGAAGTGGCGACGAAAGTCAAGGTAAGTCCGCTTATCAGTCTTCTGAGGGCAGCATGCTAATCATGCCCGTGACAGCGCTTCTTCCATTACTACGCCGTGAATCGCCATAAAATGAGCACACTGACACCTTCTTATCACGTCCGTGCTTCCTCGGCTGGTCTCTTGGCAATGTGGACCAGGAGGGCCTTCCAACCTTGAGAGAGAGATAGTTGCTGACATAGTACATTAGGCCGAAAGCTATGGGCCCGAAGACCACCGACACGATCAAAGATTCCTCGTCTATCCTCCGCTGTACGATAGCTTGCCCGCGAAAAAGATCGACGCCGCGGTCGAAAAGATGGAAGCGGAATGAGGTGGGAAAGCCACCCTGGCCACGGCGATCATGGAGACCATGCAGTCACGACGGCCAGGAGAGCTCGACAGTGTCGCGCTTGCACTTGTCTCAAGGGTTAGTCACCTGATGATATCTAACGACGGAGGATTTCGTCAGCTAGGTGCTGTATCTTGCATAGGGAGTGCCGTCAGGCTTGGATCTCGAAGTAGATAAGACTCCAATCGAAACCATTTGTTTGCAATATTCTCCAAAAACGATCATTCCATGAACCGTAAAATGCCAATAATCTGCTCCAGATCCCAATCTGCCTTGGGTACTCGATAGTCCTGACCGTGAATCTCAGCAGATCGCCGCCATCAACGGACCACGATCACGGGGATGGATGCTGCCTCACTCGCTTCATAGCTTACGTGATCCCCACCAGCAAAACCCTCATCCGAACACAGAGACAGCCCCGTATGCCTCCTCGCGTACGACTCAAACTCGCAACCTCAAAACATCGTCCAAGTCCACAGACGTTGTCGCAACCCCGATCCGCCCACAAACCACTCAAAGTAAAACCGAGCCGCGACGCCTCCGTACCATCCCCGAGCGCCATCTTCAGCAATCCTGGCCCCCGTTTCCCGTTCCCCATTGTACGCCTGATCTGGCGCAGGCGTCTCGGCGTTGTATTCCCGACTTCCCCCCGTCGGTGGAAAGTGGAATTATCTGGTTCCGTTCTTCCTATCCCAGCTATGCGCCTTCGCTCCCCATCTCCCTGATACATCCTCCCCCCCCCCCACACACACCCGATAAAGCGCGCCGGTGTCCGACCGCCCGGTATGTATATCGTCCGGACGGACCGCGATACGCGCCCACGGCACTCGATGCGTCTATAGTTCATAGACGGTAAAAAATGGTGTCATGGCGTTAACGGGGCTCTGCGCACTGCTTCCCGTTGATCGCTTTCAAGAATATAAGTCGATTGTTTTAGGTCATTGGATTTGAGTTCGTCGTGACGACACCAACGTTTCACTTGTTCGTCCCGCTGCGTCCGGGCGGCTGGGTTTGAGTGTTTTGAGCGCGATGGTACGGATTGTGGGAGTTGGATCGTTGGCTGGGACGGTGGGAGGGATGGGGTGGAGATGGATGACCTGGGGAGATTGTTGGTCTCGAGATCTTTGGGGTGTGAGGTGTTGTTGTGCAAGCGGATAGTATCTCGGCGGCGAATCGAGGGGTGGGGAGGAAGATATTGCCTGGGGAGGGGGGGCTTTTTGGATATATATCGCTGTTGAAAGGGTCGATATTGATGCTGGCATTGGGGTCTTTGGAGGCGTGGAGCTTGCAGGGCGATGCGGATGTTTTGGGAGCCGGCTTGAGTCGTGTGGGGGTTTGGACCGTGGATAGTGCAACAGGTCGGACTTTCTTTTTGCAGTCGGTAACCATTGTGCCCTCGTGCAGGTCATCGAAAGCTGTCTTTGTTGTTTTCGTGCGGTATTATTGCAAGCAGTCCAACGGGTCACGGAAGAAGAAACGTGTACTTTTACCCACTCAGTCGGAAGGCTGCAAGAAGCAGGTCTGAAGAAAGTTGAAGTTGAAGACGGATCAGAGTCGATGTTTCATTCTAGTCTATCGCATGACGCTCTGAGAAACCAAGATCTAAAGGGGACATCATGTGCACATGACTGAGCAAAACGCCGGACCTATGCAAATGCTAATGCTATCTCTATATATATCTTGCAGGAACCTTGATACACTCACCTAGACCTTACCTGGCCGAAAATTCTCGAGACGGCAAAGACTCCAGCGAGTAATGGTGCTAGCACTGCGCCGAGCTGCCAGATCTCCCACCATCGGTCCAGTTTTACCTCGGTGGTGATGGACTTGCCTTGATTGATCGAGGACGGAAATTGACCCGTTTTCGCATGCTCTTGTAATAGAGTCTCCTTCTCATTCCACCGCTCTATCAACCACGCATGGAAATCCTCGAGAGTTTCCAGCGGAATTTCGGACACCTTGAAACGTCGCCAATGCATATGGATAGGCGCTTGAGGATGTCGCTCAAAGTACGTGGACCGTAGCGTGAAGATGTCTTGGCCGTATTGCCCTTCTCTGTGGGAATAATCAATACCGGCACGAAGCAAATTTTGGGAAAGGGGTTTAGGAGGAGTTTGGCCTTACGGGACGCCATCATAAGCCAAAGTACAGTCATACACCCACTCTAACGTCCCATTCAACGCTTTCAGGCAAAAATATGTCCCTGTACTCCTCGGAATGAGCGTGTACTTCAGATCCCTCTCGCCCTGCCTCTCGGCCCACTTGACGCTCTTCGCCCTCCCATTCTTACTCAAATTAGTGCCTTCGGGAAACATCATCAGCCACATTGGCTGCAACGCTCCTTTACCGCCGTTGCTCCGTCTCGTCAATTGGCCGAGTCGCCGGGTGAGGCGTGGGGTGTCAGTCTTCATATTTCGAGACATGAATACGAACCCGGCCAGGCGCAGACCGAGACCTACGAGGGGAATGTACATGATAGATTCTTTGAGGACGATATAGACATGGCCGTGGTTGACAGGGCGATTGATGTAAGCGGTCCACCAGAGGTAGATCCAGTCGTTGTAAAGCTGAGAGCAGAATGTCAGTCCGCGCAGAGCAGCAGAAGAATATGTATAACCTGGTGATTTGAGATGAGAACCATGCGGGAAGCGAAGTTGCATTGCAAGTGGCCACCCGGAAGCCTGTGGATCTGGTCTTGCACGCTCTCGTCGCCACTAACATGGATTGTGGTCGTAGTCCACCACTGGGTCATGGATAAGACTAAGAGCGTCATGCACTGTTTGGTGAAGGCCATGAAGCGGTAGTAGTAGTCTTTGTTGATCAGATAGAGCGGCGTCCCGATGTATTGGGTGGTTCCTATGCTGAAAACATTCAGCATTGGCCGTGACAGCCAAGATCATTCTGTACATAAGCCTTACATGATCGAAGATGTCCAAAAGTAAACGAGCAGGATAACAACACGCAATATGCTTGTAGGTAAGTTTGGTTCGGGTACAGGGACACGCTGGAGGATGGCTTCTTTCACCTGGGGTAAGACGGGCACTGTGCTGCCATTCGTCGTGGCCAGGCCATTCTGGTGCACGCTCTTTGCAGGCATCTTGATGGAGAGCTGAGATGTTCTCGTGAGATTCTTGCGAATTCTTTAGAGGAGGAAGAAAGTGTGTGTGATGTTGTCGACCATGGTCACCGGTGATGGTTACAAAGTCATATATTTTCGCCTTCTCAGCTGAGGTGTTTAAGGTTCTACAGAAACATTCACTGCACTAGCCGAATTTTGTCTGGACCCTGCATCGGTCTTTCCGAGATCGGTTAAGTACATATCAGATTATCTCTTGGCGATCAATAGCAGATTAGGGTTACTGCCCCTGTTCGATTATCATTCCAGATGTTCTTGAGGTAAGCACCTCGAGCTGAAATTCTATAGATACATGTGAATTGAAGTTATTGAGGAGACTGGTTTCCCATGAAAATTCCTTAAAGGCCAAGTTATAAGCCGCACCTGATCAAGAATACCCTGGCAGGTACCCACCCCACCCAAAAATCAGTGGGAATAATCTCGATTAGGTCAAGGCATTCCAGAGGCAGTCCATCACGAGGACTTCTCCATACTATTTGTTGTACCTTCTTCTCCGCTGCCTAAGATTATCTCTTTCCGAACATTTAACTCCCGGCACATGCTGGACCGTGTTCTGTTCTTGCAACGGTCTTGGTAATTCTAGAGGAATAAGGAGCCCTTTTAGACAGAGTACACTCTCTCAGGCTGCATGAAGGACGAACCTAATGGTGGCCTTGCTAAGCGCTTGAGGGTGGAAGGAACGAAAATAGTAAAATTAGGCATTTTGCATTTAGATGAGCATTCAAAAGTGTCACTGCAGGCAAAAAGTCAAGTACAGAGAAAAGGAGGACAAGGAGTGATGTTGAAGCCTGCGAAGTGGTGGCAGGAAATGAAACTAGATGGCTAGCTGAGTGACTTGAATTGCTCAACCAAGGCACGTGGCAAGATGGAGAGGATAGAAGCATCTGCAAGTACTTCAGCCACAAGAAAAAGAAGATGTTCATCAAGAGCCAGGAGAAGAGTCCGAAAGCCCCTTTTGATTGTCATGAAGCACATGATGGAGTACATTTTCTCCAATCCTAAACTACAAGCTGTCTGTGCAGTCATGCAGCCCGTTTCTTACGGTGAATGCTTTATTCCATTTATTTTTCGCGTGCAGCTGAGTAGGCCTCCAGGTTCCTCGCTAATGATCTCCAATGACCTTTGCGCTGTATCAAGGAGTCGCGCTGCTGGTGGTGTTCTTTGAAAGAACAGCAGTATAAGAATATTTGTAAAGCAAGACATGGTGGACAGGCTCTAGGCGCGTGTCTGCATCAGTAGAATGGCACTTTTCTTCTTGCATAACTTTCGGATGCGTTCGGTCCATGTTGGATGTTGGAGCCGTAGATGGTGCGCCAATGCTGCCTTGTGCTTCTAAGTTGGTTACACGTGCCCGAACGGACGAAAGCATTGGTCGAAAGGCCTGCTGATGCCTTCAAGCCTCATGGTCACCGTGGAAGGGGAAACTTCTGATCGCGTGCTCTTCCATCTGATGATACACAGACGAAATAACTTCTTCGCTTTCTCTGGAGTATCTTCAACATTCCATCGCCGTCGAAGAAAGATTCAAGTCGAACTGGTGAACCAGGGGACAATCATACCTGCCCGAGCCTGCTTCCCCGCCATCATCCCTGCTGTCCTCCCTCCAATAGGTCTGTCCTCGACTTACGACTCTACAAGAATAGCAGTCCGGATTTTAGCTGCTACTCAGCAGTCAGCAGCAGCAGTCATCCACAATCCTTCGTTCGTCGGCCGGAGGCTGTGACGGCCGTTGTGTCGCTGAGGCTATAGGTCTGCTCTGATGGTGCCACCTTTGTCTCTCCTTCAATAGTTGCAATTCGCCGAGCAACCGGCTGCTCATTCCTTAAAATGTTTCTTCACTGGCTGGCATTTGCACTCTTTCTGAGATATGGCATCGCACTTCCGACGGAACAACAACCTTTGATAGCGGAGTCTCTGGATGAAATACCAAGGGCGCCCTCGCAAGACTTGGTCAAGGAGAAGGCCCTGCACGGAAGATTTCTACACATCACAGGTACAAGAGCTTCCTAAATCAGAACGGCGTCCAGTCTACTGCAGGTATTGGGGCACTGATGTGCGCCTAGACTTCCACCCGGATCCATTCTACGAAATCCACTCCTCCACCGAGGCAGACGCAGCCTGCCATCGAGGCAATGGACCTGCTGGAGTCTTCGGCGCCGAGACTACAGACTGCGACTCCCCCACAACCCTAGTCAACGCTACTTTCAAATGGATAAACGACCACCTGAAAGACACGATCGACTTCGTCATTTGGACGGGAGACTCTTCACGCCATGATTCGGACGAGGAAATACCGAGAACAGAGCAGGAGATTATATTAACGAACAAGCTGCTGGTAAACAAGTTCGAAGAAGTCTTTGGCAAAGAGGATGATACGGACCCTAAGAACGACCTCACTATACCGATCGTTCCGAACTTTGGGAACAACGACATTATGCCCCACAACATCATGCAACCTGGGTCCAACAAGTGGACGCAGAAGTATCTGAGTGTGTGGAGGAAGTTCATACCAGAAGAGCAAAGACATGGCTTCTCAACTGGAGGATGGTTTTCCGTCGAAGTCATACCCAACCATCTTGCGGTCTTCAGCCTCAACACCATGTACTTATTTGAACACAACACTGCAGTGGACGGATGCGCCGATAGATCTGAGCCAGGTTACCAGCAGATGGAGTGGCTCAGGATCCAGCTACAATTCGTGCGCAACAGAGGCATGAAGGCTCTGCTGATGGGACACGTACCGCCAGCAAGGACAGAAGCAAAGCTGCTGTGGGACGAGACGTGCTGGCAGAAATACACCCTTTGGCTACAGCAATACCGAGATGTGATCGTCGGGTCACTATATGGGCACATGAACATCGATCACTTCTTGCTTCAGGACCACAAGGACATCAGCAACAAAGCGTTGAGAGGCAAGAGGCATTCTATTTCACGAACGGCTCTTGATGACGAACTGACTGTTCAATCAAATGCCGATTACTTGACGGAGCTGCGCGCGGGGTGGTCCCAGATACCAGACGCCCCAAAGACGAAATCAAGATCAAGATCAAAATCAAAATCAAAATCAAAATCAAGCTCTGGCTCTGGCTACTTCTACGACCTATTCGAAAGCATCAACAAAAGGAAGAAGCACAAGATGACGAAGGAAGAGAAATATCTGGAGAAGATTGGCGGACAGTGGGCTGAACGCTACAGCGTCAGTTTAGTCTCGCCGAGTATTGTCCCAAATTACTTTCCTACGTTGAGGGTTATTGAATATAATATTTCGGGCCTCGAGAACCTTCCAGTCGCGCGCGCAAACTGCCATGAGAAGATGACACTGCAGGAAGCTGAGGAAGCTCACTGCTTCATAGAAGATGAAGCCGAGGAGGACTCAATTGAGATCGAGAAAAAGAAAAGCGATAAGGAAAGAGGCAAGAAAAAGAAGACGAGGAAGCCTAAACTCACCATCCCCAAACCACCCTCCAAGTCGGCGCCTCCTGGACCTGCATACTCCCCTCAAACCCTATCGTTGCTTGGTTACAAGCAGTACTTTGCGAACCTCACCCGCATCAACGACGACTTTGGGCAAGACCAGGTTGTCGGCGAAGAAGGATGGCATAATGGCAAACACCGCGGGAAAATACCGCATAAGGACAAGTTGAGACATCACAACAAGTTCAAGTACGAGATCGAATATGATACCCGGAATGACTCAGTCTTCGGATTGAAGGATCTGACCGTGAGGAGTTACGTTAATCTGGCGGGACGGATCGGGCAGTACAAGCCCCCAAAGAGCGATCGTATTGAAGATGTCGACGGTGAAGACTCAGCTGCCACGGATGCCGACGTGGACATGGTAGCTTGCGGAGACCATGAGCTCGCTGCATCGAAGAAAAAGCATAAGAAGCACGGCAAGAAACACAAGCACCGGAAGGCCATCAACAAGGTTTGGTTCACCTTTGTCAACCGCGCTTTTATTGGCACACGGGATGATGACGAGCTCCATGATGAATTTGGACAGGAGGTATAGGAAATGAAATGGCAGGGTCAATTGCGAGAGTTTGGCGTCGGATACAAGGAGGCGTCATAGGACGAAAGCATGGGGGTCATCGTCCAAGCATTGGAAACGGCGTTCATATAATGGTAGGCGTTCCGAGATGCGTGGAAACTTTTCAAACCTCTCAGAGAAACCAGAAGGTTGGCAAGATACTCACAATCACGGTCCTGTGGCGCTTCAGAGTGCAAGGCATCAGAGACACGCGTCCGACATTCCATGATGGGACACCAACTACTGCGCGTCCCGCAGAAGTTCTCAGAGTCTCGCATCCGGTGCTTTTCGGTCAATTTGTCATCGATTCGATCATCTCTCTTAAACACCACTGAGTTCTTCACATTGCATTGCATTCAATCTAACCCCCCTGACCCCTTCCCGTCAAAATACATCCAATCCTTCCCTCGCAGAAACCGCTGCATATCCATCCATCCATCCATCCATCCATCCTTATCGCGCGTCCCTTTCTCTTTCTTTTTCGTCGCCAGACCTCGCTCCATCCAGTCCTTGCTTGCCATTCAGCCAATGTATAGCCACCGTTCAACCAATCCCGTTTCAGACTCCGCAGTCACAAACCGGGGGGCTGGATCGGCTAACTGTGTGAGGAGTCGTCTTCGTCGCTGGCTGTGGGAGCGAATGCGCTGGAGACGGGGCTGTAATATTGAGATGCGGGTGTGGGTGGAGAGGCGGTTTGGGGCGGGGTGGGGTTGGAGAAGGGGCAAGATTGTTGGTTGATTTCTTGATCACGCGTGCTGCTGGTCCCCTCTTCCTCATCATCATCATCATCATCATCATCGTTGTGGATACAGTCCCCCCTTCCCCTTTCTCCATCCCCATCCCCATCCCCATCCCCATCATCGCCACGAGCGTCACGATCAGATGATGATGACATTCCCTCCTCAACCTCGTACCACCGCTCACATTCAGATCCAGAACCCTCCACCCCCGACCCCGACCCCGACCCCGACCCCGCCGACACATCAACAACCGCGACACCATCCCGTAGCATCCGCCCCGGCACCGCCGTCCCTATCCCATCCGACGACGTGCTGCTCCTCGCGCTCCGTGTCCAACGCGATGCCTTGCCCCCGCGGCTCCGGCTCCGGGACCGGGGCCCGTAGGCCGGTGGGGGTTGGGATGGGTATGGGCTGGGCGTGTCGGACGGAGCGAGTGCGGGAGACGGGTCTGGCGTTCGTGCTGCGGTGGGGTCGTGGGTTAATTCCAGCCCGTCTTCGGCGTCGACGTCGTGACTGCTCCGTTCACTTCGTCGCCGTTGTCGTCGTTGTCGGCACTTTCTGACGAGAAGGTAGAGCAGGAGGGGGGATAGCAAGAGCCCGATGATGGCGAAGAGGGTCCCGATGACCGCGTCGGCTTTTTCGCACCGGAGGCGGTTCAGACCGTGCGGGTGGGTGCAGGGGAGTGTGGGGTGGTCGCCGCCGGTGAGGGGGACATGGCCGGCGGGGTTGTGGTGGGGTGGCATGCCTTTCGGTGGCTTCGGTCCGGGGTTGGATTTGGGGGGCTTGGGTGACTTTGGCGCTTTGGGAGGAGCTGGCGATTGCGGTTTGCTGGGTGTCTTGCTTCCTGTCCCCGACCCGGATTTGGGCGCCGCGGGTTCTTTCCGGGACCATGATGGCGTTCCTGAAGACGAGTCAGCGATTGAGGTTCTTGGAGGGCTTGGTTTTTTGCCTCTGAGACGGCGTGATTGCGCGACGAAGACGAAGACGACGAAGGAGGTTGTGACCTTGGCCGTGCGATTTCGGCCGCTGGACCCCTCCGACTCGTGTTACGTACCGGAGTTCGAAGATGACCCGGAGGGAGCGAGCGGGGGACGGGAGAGCCCGGCGGATGATCGTCTGCTTCCTTCCTCGCCTCCGCCACCGCCCCCTCTCCTCCGTTGCAGGAAGCCGAGGAGGCCGTAACGGTAGCGGTCGTTGGGGGAGGCTGCCGGCTGCGCTTCTGTGTCTTCTTCTTCTTCGGGGAGGAGTACGTGCTTGGTTCTGCCGGAGGCGGGGCGCGAGGGTGCGGCCATCGTGGATGGGGGATTTTTTTTCTTTCTGCTGGGATTGCGAGGTTTGAGGGTGTGGTGTGAATGATGCGGGTGATGGTGATGGGTTCAGTCCCAGGCGAATTGGATGGTTGTGCGATGGGGGGAGATGAGGATGTGGATGTGGAGTGTCATTGTAAATAGTTTTGTTTGAAGACGAAGGGGGTTGAGCGGTCACATAGGAAGGATTTGGAAGTTTGCAATATTCTATACAGACCCTTTGATATATATAGATATATATATATATATTTTCTTCTCTCATTCTGTGGGGAATAGTCCCCGCCGCTCCGGTTTGACGTGCTCAAACTCTCTCACCTGGGTCGTAGCCGAGCTTCTTTTCTTAGCCGTAGCAATGGCAAAGGCAAAAGGTACTCTATGTCTCAACGCGCAATCTTTCGCAATCCACGACGGGCGAAGCTAATCGGAGCCGATGTTGCTGGCGATGCTTGTTCCCCATATCGCAGGCATCGTAGATGTGTATGTACGGATACCGTTGACGAGTCAAAGAGACGGGGTGACTTCTTTGCTCACGACGTTTGATGAGAGTGCAGGTGCGTACGACTTGAGAAATGGAGAGCGGGAGGCGTTATCTCGAACAGGGGAAGGCTGTGAGTAGAGTCAGAGTTATGACGGGGTCTGAGTGTGTATGTGTATTTGATGATTGCGGACAAGGAGCGGAAATCCAAGCATAGACGAGCGGTATTTGCTTTAAAGTCTTGTTCTCCTTTCCAATGGATTGTTGCTTAAGAGAGTGCCACGGCTTATACATTATCAAGCGACTGACCTTTACCCATGACGCCCCGAAGAAAGAGAGACAAACCACCTGTTATATCCAACCCCAAACACCTTCCACCGTAAGGGAACAACATATCATTACCCAAATCATATCAAGGTCCCTTGTCCCCCCACCACCTCGTCAACATCATCTCCTCCTCATCACCACATCCCGACCCAGCCCCACTAACCCTCCACCCATCCTTCCCATCCCTCTCCCTTGTCCCCCCCTTCCCTCCACCGCCACGGATTACGTCTCCGCTCTCCGAAACTCCCCTGCCATCTCCTTACTACTCAGCCGCCTCCTCTCATTCGCCCGTTTGAGCGCCAGCAGTTCGGGGATGCTCCTTGCGTTGAGCGTGGCGCCTTTGGGGACGAGGACGTCGTTGGGTTCGGGGATGGCGATGGGAGTGGGGGCGGCGAGGATGAGGAGCGGTGCGAGGAGGGTAAGGAGGAGGGAGGCGAGGAGTGCGGTGCGCATGGTTGGTTGATTGTTTGCTTGTTTGTTGGGTGGGGTCTTCGATTGAGAGTGAGGGTGAGGGTGAGGGTCAGGGTGTCCGTCGTCGTGCTGGTGAGGATATTATATGAGTGAGTGGGTGGGTTTGGCAGTGATGGTTGTTATCGTCCTGCGATTCTGGATTATATTGGTAATGCTTGAAACTCCGTGAATCCGTACCGAGGACGCAATTGACAAAGCAAGATCAGAACGAGGACGGAGGAACAGGCCAGCAGAAGAAGTGATAATGACTTGCGGGGCAAAATGGGCACAGCAGGTCCATCCAACTTGTAGTTGTACCCACTGCTGCTCCTCACGTTGGTGGTGGCACGAACCCAACTCCAAGCCCGCGTTCGTCCATGACTCTCTCGCAATCCTAACCCGCTGCAGGCATCATCTGAAACCGTCATTATCATGCCCATGCCGTACCTTCGACTACGCAGCACCCACTCATGTTCCAGCAACAAAGACTCGCTCCAACAGGTGCGACACGGATTGGCAGCGCCGGTTGGCAGCCATGGCTGCATTGGGGCTTAGTGCAGGCGCTAAGGTGGTGGAAACGGGTATTTAAAGTACGCGCCGCCTTTGATACAGTTTCAGATTCTGCCTCCTTAGAGGACAATGATAATAAGGTATACATCGAACAAAAGACACAGGGTGCCAAGAAGTTAAAGATACATTCAATAGCGACCCTGCACATTCCTATCAAATGTATTTGCTTGGCTGCGTGCAGACGCTGTCATCTTGGAATACTTCGAACACGATGTCATTCTGGCATTTTTAGCTACGAGTACACCCTCGAGATTCTTACCAACGTCATTACTTGGTCTGGAGGGTCTACCTTACCGAGTTCATGAGTTCGTACGGCTTGATATCAAGGCGGCTTGTGATACATTGGGAGTTTGAGAAACCAGGAATAAGTGATGCTATCGCTGGCGTTCGAAACCGATGACTTCAAGCCACATTTTTCCCCTTCAGCAAGAATCGCTCTCCGGCTTCAGCTTCTCTGATCACATGATTCCGCTTCCCGGCCCCATCTCTCTCGTTGCCGCACCCTCTACTATTCGTAGCGTTGTGCCAGATGAGCGACGTCGCCATTCAAGAATCCCCTTGTCCACAAAATCATTCCTTCCCCTTCCTATCTCCATGTCTCTGGCGGTTGCATTCCTTCGCTGCACACCTCGGCATCTGTAAGAAAAGCCCACAACGGCAGTGTCGGTCGTCTCTCGAAAAACACTTTCGTTCAATGCCATTGTCTGCAAGTACGATTTGATCTATCTCGCCAAACACGACCGGAACCGCGAGGGTCTTAGCGCCGAGGTCGAAAAAGAGAATCTTGAGGTAGGTCGAAGCTTCATGATATTAAAAGTAGCCTTGAGGCTATGGGGACGATAGGGCAGCAAGTGAGTAGGCGGGAGCTTTGTCGCACCTTGAATTGAAGACAGTTCCCCAACTCGCCCCATCCAAAGTTCCTCCCCTCCATCCGCGCAGGAAGCGTCCATGTCTTTCCCCACTCAGATATCAAAGGCCGTTAGGTCACAAATGATATGATACCCTGACGCAAGCCTCACGACAACACCACTTTCAAGCTTTTCCGTACATACTGCCATCGAAAGGAGAGAAATGTAACACAACAACCTTAGCGTAGCCATAATCCTTTCGAATGCTTGGCATCAGAAATTCCTACACACCACCTGGGTTCAGATTACCAACTTCACAGCCATAACTGGATTGTAAAACTTTCTATCAAATAGTCAGACTTCCTATCGCGGCGAACTCAGCGCCGTTAATGTAGATAAAATCTATAGAGTCAAGGAAAAGATGAAGATTTCTCAAGCAGCGTAACCGATGATTTATCTTTTTTCTTGATTTCTAGATACTTACAAAGTAGTAGTTCATATCTAGAAACTTCATACACGTCAATTGTATTGAACGTTCTTACGACTCTAACATCGCTAGATTTATCAAAATCCGACTTGTGGTTCTAAAATTGGTAATTCGAATCTATGGGGGTGCGCTGGACATCTTTAACGCCAAGCATTCGAAAGAAATCATGAACACGCTAAAATGCCGCCTACTGGAAAAGCCACCGCATCTACAACATGCACGCGCCGCCGCCGCCCTCGTCTCAGAAAGGCACCTGCCTCCCCAGTCCCCCAACTCCGGAGCCCGTCGGTCACGCTCCCACAGCTCTGCACGTGTCTCCCCTCCGCCTCTCACAACACTTGCAGATGGGATCATCATCGCTGTCTTTATCGCATCAACGCTCCGCCATCGGTCTCAATCGTAGGAGCGGCGGCGAGGGGCGGCGGGGAAGAGGTGATTGTCGTGAGCTCTGATTTTCGTTCGTACGATCCCTGGGGAGGCGATGTAATCTTAGCCCGGATGGTTCGAAGATGTGGAGGCGGTTCACGGTTGTCGGGCTGCGGAAGAGTGGGCGGCGGAAGAGTGGGCGTCGGTGAGTAGGGTAGGTGAGGGATGCGTTGCGGAAAGGAGGCTTGAGTTTGGGTGGAAAGACTAGGCTGTTGGGTGCTTGGGATACCTTTGGCGGATCTTTCTTTCTTTCTTTCCTTTTTTTCTTTCTTCCTTTCTCCCCTTCCGTCTCTCTCCCTTCTATGTCACTCACTTAAAAAAACAGCCCTCAAACCCCCCACAAAATCGCCTCCATCCCACGCTCTTGCATTCATGACTGAGGTCTCCGTGCCGGCTGCTCTATTAGCCACTACCTCCCTCCCTCCCTCCCCATCACACCACATCCCCATCCAACATCAAAGCATCAATTGCCTCCAGCGTCCGCAACATACCTAGCCCCAGTCCAGTCCGGTTCAGTGCACACACGCAGCCAACCACACACGTCCATCGGTCTCGTCTCGAGATTCTCAGGAATCCCCCTGCTCACTCACTCACTCACTCACTCACTCACTCACTCACTCACTTTTCATGTTTACTAGCGAGACGGTTGATGGATGGATGGATGGATGGTGCGCGTTGGGGATGTTGTGCATTATGTATACGGGTTGGAACGCTGTGTGATTGAACTTGGTCAAGAGTCGAGGTTTGATTATTGCGATTGATGGAAGGGGAGGAAGGTGTGTATGTAGGTATGTAATGTTGAGCATCTGGTAGGCGAGTAGGTAGGTTGTATGTATGCATGTACACCTCGATTGTCTCGTCTTAGGGGCATTGGTATTGGTGCTGTTCGAGCATGCTTTCTTTCTTCTTACCCTTCTCTTTTCTCCTTTCAAGACGTACGTCTAGCTAGCTGTCAATGGATGGCGCATGCTTGTGCCTCGAAACATCACAACCCCCCCCCCCTTTCAGCTCCTGCTACTTCCACACACAAACACACACACGCGTAGTCACGCCCTCAACTCCCCGTCTCATTCCCCTCCAACTCGCTCTGCGGTCCTCCTACTTCCATGTACAAATACCCACTATCGCCTATCCACATGACAAATTAGCATTAGCCCTGCATTTTACACATGCAAACCCCTCCCCGCGGCACACCCCCACTCCACACACAGAGTACGTGACTCACCAAGTTGAGTCTGCACGCCCTCCTTGCTCTCCCGGACACACATGCCCGCCAACGCGACCCCGACCTCCCAGAACTTGGCCCAAGACCATGTGTCGGTGAACCCGGCGCCCTCGCCCGTGGTGCGGATGGTCATTTTGCATTTGTGGTCGTCTGGAGCCGTCACGGGATATGTGTCAGCGAATCGGTGCGTACTCCCTTCCCCCCTCCTTCCTCCCTTCAATGAATAAGTGATGGGATGGTTGTTCGATGTAGGTGGGTTGGTGTTCAGACTTCTATGTTTGTGGCTCTCCCTCAATGAAAACAGAATAAAGATGAAGTCAGAAAATGAACAACCATCTCACTAACCCGAAAACAACGAAAACGGCAACCCCACATTCGTCAACGGATCACCCCGCGGACCGAAATAGACATTCTCGTTACTCGTCCGCATCGAATCCAATATCACCTGACACGACACCTGCACCTGTGGTCGGCGCATCTTGCCGTAGCAGCGCACGTGGGCGGGATCGTATTTGGACACCACGATGCGCAGGTTGTCGTCGCCGCCTGAAGCTTTCGGGTGTCAGAGAGTGGACGGAAGTATGCTATTGGCGTCACATCGCATCACATCACGTTGCAAGCCTGCTGTCGCAGATATACGGTATGTATGGAAGTGGAAGGAGGGAGGAGGGAGAAGGACAGAAGACAGGGAAAAAACAAGCCACGGAAACAGACCCGACGCACCAATATCCTTCGCAATCCCCCCTTTTCCCCCCTGCTTCGCCGCACAATTCCTCACCACCACAAACGCCGCCACGGCCACATCCTCCGCGCTGGCCATCGCAAGCTCCTTATCTGGTGCCAGTGTCGGTTCTATCGCGCATTTCCCATCTGTGCTGATGTACCTCTGCGGCAGGCGGATGTCGAAGGCGCCTGTATTGCGCACGCCGAAGCTGAGCTGGGTTGTATTGACGCCGAGGAAACGGATGGCGTCGGTGCAGGAGTCGACGTTAAGGTCGTGGCCGAAGGCGTCGCCGTTGCAGACGTAGGAGACGAGGCTGGTGATGGGAATATTCGAGCTTGGATTTGGACTTGGAAGGAGGGAGAAGAGTGGGAGGATGTTCTTATTGTTGGTGGTGGTGATGATGGTTGTATTGTTAACACCGGCTGATGCCTGCAGGAGCTGTAGCGGGTTGTCCAATACGAATGCCGAGATGGAAGATACAACCGCGAAGGAGGAAAGGAGACGAGAAATCATGCTTTGCGTCTCATGCATGTTCTTGGTTTCTAATAATTCTTAGGGATGAACAACGCAAAAAAAGAAATGCAACTCCAGATGCAGACATCATGCGGTCAAAAAACCCACGACGCGACCCTGCGCTTGAGAGCATAAGGGTCCAGCGGTCAGAAACTTACAAAGGTTGACAGAGACCGGGTCGCGAGTCGGATGGCGCTTGCTATACGATGCGCTTCAACCTACACGTAGTTGGGAGATAGCAGGTCCAAGCAGCTCGCAGCAAGGGAACCAAGAGGACCAGGTGCTAACGCTTCAAGTGGAGGAGAGAACAGCTGAAGATCGAATAACGTCGCAGATTAGACAAGGAGGTTGAGTGTGACGAAGGCCGTGAATATTGCAACCTCGTCGAGAAGCCTTCCACAACTCTTCACCATTGTCTTTCCTGCCGCTCATAGAGCGCCTTCCCCTCCTTCGATGTCATGGGCCATTCCTTGTATAGTAGAATCCGCAAATTGATCCGCCTCTTACAGTATGATTTGGCTTCGAAGTATCCATGGGCTATTCTTCCCCCTCCTTTCTAGTCGCTCAGCACATCGTGCAGATAACACCGGAGCGAGAGTAGGGTCCCAACCACCCCATATTTCTAGCCATATGATCTAGTACTGCACATAGAATAGGCTCTCGAAGAGCTTTGGGGTGATTACTTCATCCTTCTTGAGTATGGTACAACAAGCTCTTCCGGTCAAGCCTCGTGAAGAGACCAGTAAGTGGCGTGATGCTGAATGTTCAACCTGCCTCTTAACATGGCTTCGCAGCCCTGTCAGTCATCAATTTCTTGGGCCAGGGCGAAGGTGTCGACTTCAAAGGCTATCTGGTGACAAACGAGGCGGAGTCTGCTTGGTCAAAGCGGAAACCCGCAGTGCCAGTGATACATGCTACAGCGAGCATAGACCAGGTAGAGGTAGATTCGGAGGCAGACTTCGTGGGGCAATTGCAGTAACAATGGTGGGTGCGTCTTCGGAGCTGCCTTTGTGTTGGTGAGTGCAGCACTTGCAGCAGCGCCCAGACGATCAGGAGGATTTTCCGAAAATCGCAAAAAAATGCGAGAACAGGGTCACGGCAACTGATACGTGTACTTGGTCCATAGGTAGAGAGGCTTTCTTTCGACAAACGTCTGATGGCTGAGAGACTGGAGGTGGAGGGGAGAAGGGCGTCGCTCGGCTGACCTTCCTCACTTGGCGGCCTTCAAATTCACTCGAGCGTGGGATACGGGGCATTCTTTTTCTCTGATCTGGAGGTACGTATCGTTCGTCATGTCATGAACACGCCAGTCGATGACCAGAAGACCCTCCTCATCTTGAATGAGACCGCCATACCCCACGATCGAGAGCGCGATCCAGCTTATCTCCTCCCCTACTGCTGGCGGCTTCAGGATTGCTATTCCTGCCTCCATTCGCAGTACCATTGCAGCTGGTGTGCTATCGTACGTCTGCCAATACACTCTGGTTGCGTCTTCTAATGGTGATTTTTGATCATTAGTCCTCTACCTGCGTTCCCAACCCTGCGACCTGGCCTCTACTCGCGCCTATCTATGATCCGGATATCTGCTCGCTGAATGATGAAAGATGGGAGCTGAGAGGGAATGAGCTAGGATGCAAAGTCAGTACGAGGACGTTCCTCAGCGTGGTAGTCGCGGTGCTGGGAACGGCGTTATTGATATGTGCTGGATGGGGGTTTGCAAGATTTTGGGGATGGAGCAGCACACGGTGGAGACGATGGGCGAGGAGCAGCAGGGCGAGGTCTGAACGGATTATGCAGTGGGTAAGAGGGCGGAGACGAGGGACGTTCAAGAATATCCTTGCAGGATGGGGCAGATAACAGAAGATCGTGGACGAACGAGTTGGATGAACCGCCGCTGTCTCGGTTGTATTCGTACGAAAATCTTCGAACCGCATCAATCTATGACGTTGGCGAATGGAATATGGACATCGTCTGCGCCAAATCCACAACTTGGATCGCCATCAATTACCCTTTATAGCCTTACTAATCTTGTACTCCACTACAATTGGCTTTCCCTTCTCAGCGACAAAGCGGCCTGCCCCTACAAAGACTCCGGTCTCAAGACCTTTCAGATTCTCGTCTCCGGTCTCGAATTTCATCTCGATGACTAGGTTGACGATCAGGTTATTCAGTTGGAATTGGAAAGAACTCAACACCAATGGGGCGAAGCTAGGAGAAGGGAATGGCTAGGGTGCAGGGCTTATCCAACACTTACAAGAGTTACCAAACGCTGTCGTCTTCGCGTCCGGGCTACCACCCAATACCAATCCTACCTCAGGCGTTATATCTACGACGCCGCTGTAAGAAAGATATACCAGAGCACCGCTCTTGTCTCTGGGACACATCAGCAACGGAGCTTATCAGGATGAGGCAGTCCTTCCTGAAAAGAGCCTCGGAGCCTTACTTGACAACAGCATGCGCGTTCAACCGCATCTGTTTCCCGCTGGGGTCGTTATGGATATAATCTGCACCTTGGCCGACCCAAGCGGCATCAATGGCTGGGGTAAAGCCGGGCTCGGACTTGACGGAGCCATCGACCATCGCCTGGGGCTGTTAAGAATAGCAAAATTGAGAGGAGTGGGACGTACAGCGATGGCTAGAGGGGTGCCCCTAGAGGCCGAACCTGGACATGAATGTTAGTTGAAGAGCGTGGGGTGAATCGACAAGGATCTAGACAGACCGACTGGGGAGATGTCGCCTAGGGTAACCTGGATACTGTCATTAAATGGGGTTCTGTACAGAGCAGGGTGTGGAAGATGATGTGAAACGGAGATATACGAGGACGGTCATCGCCGGCTGAAGGGATGGGAAATTGGACATATTGGCAGATATTGGAGCGCTCTATGGGAAATTCAGAAGTAGCGGGCTTGCGCAGACCTTGGTGGTTTCTGCCTATATCTAGATCTCTACTGCCAAAAGAAATAGAGCTGCATTCATGTGCAAATATGCTGCTCGTTCGCACCTGCGGAGCCAAAGTAAAGCTTCCCCGCATTATCCTCTACCCCTCGCCAAGCTGTGGTTCAGATCGTGCTTGGGTCAACTTGACTATTGGTCAAGCAAGTCGTTATCGGAGCCGTAGGTGCATTGACCATACCAACTCAGGTATCTGTACTTTTCTTGTCCTTGAGTAGAAAAGCTGGACAAAATGATAATGTATTGTCACTCGCTAGTTGCATATGCTTGTCGACAACGTTGAGAGGCTGTCTGGTAATCTGCACTAGATATGTGAATTACTAAGAGGTCTCGTGTCAAGAAGAATAATAATGAAGTGAAGGCGCAAAAAAACACAAAAAACACACGATGTCGACGCCTGTAGGACTCGAACCTACGCCCGCGAACTAATGTATATAGAGTCAATTTTTATTCGCATCAATGAGAAGAAACGCACGTACCGGAATTGATATCAGAAACACCAATGAGAGTCTTGGATCATTCTAGTCAATCGCCTTAACCACTCGGCCAAAGCGTCTTTGTACATGAGAATTTACCCTATACATGATTATATCAAAACTGTTTTTGATAAGGGCCAGATTCTAGATGCGGATTTCACGAGCCCGAGTCTGCGAAGACCCTTTTCCACACTACACTTTGAAATTCGCAGTCCTTTAAACAGCTCGTACTGCCAAACACTCTTGATTCAAACCATCAATCAGTGAGAAGTCTCCTTTATGAAGCTTGTAATCTTGTTCATGTGTTTTATTTCCCCTACGAAAGATTCTACTGTCTAGCTTTGCATTGAGTGCTATGCTTACATCGAAGCTCTGAAAATATTAATTCTATTGAGAATTAATCATCTTGCTACTTCAGGACATATAGATATCACAGGTACTGAAAGTTGATCCCCGCGAGTGAGCGAATAAATCTGCCAGGGCTATATGTTAGTATTTTCCTCTAACAATCTAAGCAGAGCTTTCTCACCACTATACCTGCACGTCATTGATCAAGACGATGGTCAAAAGTGCTTGGGAGATCTGTCTCTGGCGCATGCAAGGAGCCAGGCTGGTCGAGCTCTCTGATCTGTGCCCCTTGAAGAAAAGTCTCTCCAAAAGTCAATAATCCGAAGATCTTCGTCGTCCTCATCGATCTAGTCAACACAGCCTGCTGCCTTTACCAGCTGGCTGGAAAGAGCTTTGCTCGATGGCGTGCCATCAAGTCGTGTTGATTCTGCTGATTCTGGGCTTCCATCATTCGTGACAAAACGACAAAGAATTGCAAGTGAAAGTAGCATTCCTAGTACATACAGCAGTGTATCTATGAGATCCACCCAGCCGAAAATTCAATACATTCCCTTGAGTGTAAAGAATAGTAATTGGATGATGAAAAGTTTGATCTTCCATGACGAGATATGTGAAGTAATAGGGATATGTAAGAGAGGCGAGAAATTGGTTGCCGAGTCCAACTGACACCAATCGTGTACAGTAATATGGTAGCCGGTCTTGGCAGCGAGATTGGTGAAACTCTTCTTTGGACGAGCGATGCACCACTTCCTAATGAGATTTACTACTCAGTCTACTTCACGTCTCAGGCAAATGGCCGGCGAGTTCTCCATCATGCAGGCCGAATCTCGAATGGCTTTCTCGATCAACTGCTGTTTGTGGTAGAAAGGCTCAATGGTGGCAGAGCTTCATTTGCTATTCTGGTCGAAAGCCTGGCTTGAGAATCCTTATCTAGAAAATCTCTTTGTGAATACTGCCAGTGATGACCCGCCCGCATCGCATACTTCATCGGCCTGTGTCCTTCGCTCAATCTCCTCGCTCCAGCCGTTCAGCGTCCAGCATCAATTGCTGAGCCTGGGCTCTGAGAATTGCTGGCACGTGCTCGCGTGGATGGACATCAAGGTAAATTTGGTATTCGATGTTGCGAGTCGTAGCAGACCCAAGGTGGGTTCCATTGCGTCTTTTATTCCCTGTTTGACCCGCTCGAACCCTGCTATGACCTCCTGCATACCAGTGTCATATTCATCTTCAAGCAAGACTTCCACAACTATATTACGAAATCCGTTGAACGCCCTCAGTTTTGGGGGAGTGTAGCTTCGTAATGGTCCAATCATGTCCAGTTCGAAACAGCCGAATTGGATGTGAAGAATATCGTGAAGAATTTGGGTCCCCGTGAAACCGTCAATGGTAGCCTCACAGATCACTGCCATACAACGTTCGTATGTAGGGTGCGTCTCCTGGTCTGAGGGTAAGCTGCCACTTAACGGCGCTAGACCGCCAACTCACATCTTCATTTTCTGCATGCGATATACTGCCCGAATCGGGGGTTCCAGTGCCTTGCTCGCCCAGAAGTTTATGCCGTACCGGAAGATGCTTTCTGAGTAAAGTATTTCGTGTGCTTCGCGGCTGATGGCTTTTGAAGTTCGAAGGATGACCAAGTCATGTTTGTCGAACTTGTCAATTCCGTCTGTCAAAGTATCCCCGTGTACAGGTTCCGAAGGAAGAAAAACGCAGTGACGCCCTTTGACGAGAAGTCGATAGATTTCGTCTCGAATTTCACGAGGAAGGGTGAAGAGCGCACCTCCATGTTCCGAGTCGCCCAGAGGGATGCGGCTTGAGCCTTTAAATGCCATGGTTTAGGTGTCGTGTAAGGCGATGAGGGTTTTGTATGCTGGTGGAATTAATGCCAATTGTTTGGAGTCGCGGAAGAACCGCAAGTGTTATCTGCGTCAGATGCTGTTCACTCGAATCAAAGAACCGTTCACTCTAGAAGAAGAAATGAGGCTGAGATAGTTCTCCGTTCAAAGAGGATTGGCTTTCCGTCAGTCGTGTGAACGGTATGAGTCCTGTGTTGGCAGGAGTGACAGTCTCAGAAGAATGTTCTTTCTAGGCAAACGCAAGGTCGATACTCACAACGTGGAGCTTACGTGCAGATGTGTTGTAATTTCTTCAAAGCTCGTGAGGTCACAGGTCCAGATCCATCCCACTGTAAGAATCGGTTTTGGTGTTCAATGAATTTCAATCAATGAATTTGGGGCCCCATTAGGATGTCCGACGCTAATGAAAGCCAATCCAAGCTAGCCGCGCGCCGCTCTCCACTAATTTTCCGAGATGGAGAATAAAGACGAACCTTACCTTATGCAATACAGAAACCCCTCTACTCAGGACGGTTCTTAATAAGGGGCTATTAATCTATCCGGGAATAGCCTTTTCTTTTCTCATCGTTACAAACTTCTCGAATAAGACCTCTATGAAACAACAGCTCCATCTTGATTCAGGTAGCGTCCATCTCACTCTCAATCAAACTCCGCATCTCGACTGCAGGCTAAGAGTTCAAGGCAAGGGAGATGATATTTTCTCCGATGTTGAGCTCCTCCGCAGGACCGATTAATATGCTAGATAACACTGCCATCGGTGTTCATATTCAGCTCCGCATTTTTGGATCTCTCTCGCTTATCCTCTGAATGTTTCATCCATATTGCCATCGATATCAGCATCCCAGCCATAAGAAGGTTCACCCCTGTCCAGTACCCAACGGACTCAATGGAATAACGTTTGACAAGTTGTCCCACGATAGGTGGCCCAATCAAAGCAAATGCCGAACTCAAGGCCCACATAATCCCCGTCCAGGCCCCCAGTGAGCCACCAAGTTTTTTTGGAATGATGAAAGCAACACCAGATGCTGGCAAGCCGAACAAAGCACCGCCAAGAACTCCCAATAGGACGCAGAATGCAATGGCGTGGCTTTCTTGTTGAGCGAGTGGCCATAGTAGAAAGACTACTAGAGCGGCGGCGAAGCAGCTAATAGCGTGTACCATGGCAGGATTGGACCACCTGGGATACATCAATATTTCCCTTCCTGGTAAAAGAGAGTCATACCTTGCACTCGCGACCACTGCACTGCTCAAGCGCCCAATAACACTGCATCTGTAGAATGTCAGGTAAGAACAGGAATTCCACGCCGATATTCTCGGCTTCATGACCTACCCGTTCACCATGGTCAAGAACCACACGGTCTTTATACCTTTGAATCGCTCACGTTCAGCCCACTCGGTGATATGAAACAAGAGTGGATAGAAAGCCAAGAACATGAAGCCTACGCCTACAGAGTAGGCTAGGAACAGAAGATTCTTGAATGCTTCAAAGTCGATCCAGGTGGACATTCTGATTACTAATTTTAAAGGCCGCCTCTTCGCTGCTGGATTGGAAGCACCGAAGATGAAGCATATGGCGGAGACGCCACCAATGATTGCGGAGACAAGCCTGATGCCGGCAGGAAAACCGTGTTCGGTGATGAGATAGGTGGTCGCCAGTGGATAAGCAAGACCTCCTGCCAAACGGTAAGTGGACAAAGCATGCGACTGGAGATGTTTTCATCATACCAGCGGCAGCTCCAGCGGAGGTGATACCAACAGCGAAGTATTTATGCTGTGGAAACCACTCAACAAGGATGTCAGCCTCCAAAGTCCGGGTTTGAGCTGACTGTTTCCTCACCTGAATAGCACAATGGGAACTGTGAGTAAAGAAACAACTCATGCCAGCCCCAGCTATAATACTCTGAGTCAAGATGATCAATCCATAACTTCCCTGACTCTCCGGTCCTTGCGGACTGTTGAAGCTCAAACAGAAATACCCCAGCCATGTCAAAACCCCTCCAACTCCCACAATAATTCTGTGGAATTTGGCGTCGAGAAGCCGGCCCACAATGAACGAGAGCAGCAACACCATAAATGCTTGAACGCCGCCGATCAGGCCGATGCTCGTGTCTGTCGCCCCCGATAGAAGATGCTCGTCATAGTACCTGAAAAAGGTACCAAAGCTCATAATCAGGCCCCTGCGAACACGGCGGTCAGCATAAACCGTTCTCAGCGCAGATGATCCCGCGGGAATGTCAGGAAAGATACCAGCAGTTTGCCATTCCAAAAAAACCCGACACCAGTGCCGCGTATGGGCGCCATGCTCGTGGCCATCTAGATGTGTGAGAAACTCTGCTCTGCTGAGTGTCCGCGTTCAGATCGAACAACGACATCATGCCCTCCGAACCGTTTTCCTTCGAAATCATTTGGATTTTATGACCGAAGAATTCTTGCGCACACCTTCAGGACATCGAATGAATTGGTGTGACGCGAGTCTGATAGACTTCCTGAACTACGAATGGCGCACGATAACCATAGAAATCTGATCACATCCGAAGGCTAGAGTTTTGTACAAACGAGATAGGCGTATATCGGCGGGCGGTATCACAGTTTAATGAAGGAAGCAGTTCAATTCACCGGTTTGGGTTTGCGGATTTTGAGCAGGTTGTAGAAGCTTATCCTGCGCAACACTTGGTCTACTCAATTTACCCCCAACCAAATTGACCGAGTCAACAGCGTGACACAGATCTTTCCCGCATCAGTTTTCAGCTAGCGACAGACTTCTCGCAAAGACGTAGCATACCTGACATTGGTGAACGGGGATTTCGGCAAAGCTGTGTGCTTTAAGACGCCCCTGATGCACTTCAACAAAGTTAGCGCGCTGCTGTGTGGTAACAACTCACCAGGCCTTTACATTACCAAAGAAGAATCGTTCACCGAGCAATTTTGGTTCTCGTACGTCGTGTCACCATTGGTGTCTGGTTTCTGCCCCTAAAATATTTCATCTCATCAATGTCTACACGCTCTTCGAATAATCATGTCGAAACAACAATCGCGTGCACCTTATTTGCCCCTACCGAGGCACAACGTCGATCAAGCATTGTACATGCCTTTGCGATCTGGACGGCAAGTTTGCAATTCTCATGTGTCGGTACCTCTGGAAGCTCATGCGGATGGGATGATGGCAGCGCTTAAAAGTAGCGACAAGTTATTTATAGTCCACTGATCCTGCCAAAACTTGTGTGAGACCGGTACTGATCGCTCTTTGAGAAAACAGCCTCGAGCACAAAGTGACCTCGCTCTCACTGAAGGAACCTTATCTAGAGGAGCCCACAAATGTCAACGCAGGATTGATACCTGCGGAGAGTGTGCCTGGACGTCCATATGCTCGTGCTACATCCTTTCCTTCATTGCTTTGGTGGAAGAAATGGTGGTACTTGATCTCACCGCTAGCTGTTGCGAGGAAGCAGCGAGTTCGAACCAATGTAGGCTATGGGTCGTCACGATCTTTCATGACTCATCGACTGCAACCTGAACATCCATTCGAGCCTCATGCCAGGCATCAGCAGCCCCGGCCCTTCAAGGATGCTGCGGTCCAGTAACACGAAGTTGTTCGTAAAGCAGAAGAGCTGCTTTGAGTCCAGGCTCATTCAGTGAATTACCCTGATCAGACGCTCTGCCATTTCTTTTGGACTGCCTTGATGATGACCCGAAGAAGTCCTATCCATGAATCTCTCCTGCCACATTCAGATTTTCTATCGCGGTCACAGTGACACGGGCAAAATTTCTTTCGTCAAAGCTTCCAGGGTTCGACTTCAGCACTGAGTATATCACGAGGAGCCAGCGCTACGGACTGGCAAATCTGGGTCAGATTTCTCCGCTTCATCTATGCTTCTGAGCTACCTACCCAATATCCCTAGCAGTCCCCTATTCCCTGACATCCCACGTGTCCCTCTCCGATTTCTACACCTATCACAAGCACTCTCTGAGACCTTTCAACAATTCCGCAGATGCGAGGCATAATGAGGGCTTTGAGGCAGACGCTTGGTATCTATGGCTCCTTGACTACTACTGATTTCACCAAGATGGCCGCACATATCCCAAAAATTTACATTCGGGAGTACTCTTTTTGATGTAGTTCACGATACCAAATATTCGTTCTCAAACCTCTAAAGCCTGCAGATTTATACTTCGGCTCAGTCGAGCATTTGAGTCCCGACACAGCCCAACCTTCTTTCTTCTTATCGTCATACCAAGTTCCACAAACATCAAGAGTGACGGCAAAACTTTTCGCACCATCGATCATACTTCTGCCTTGGTCATTCTCATGTCCCTCAAGAATCACTAACAATAATTTTAGATCACTTGGTAGAGGATCAATCAAAGCAGATAATTCGAGTCTTCTCTTGGTGAACAGAGGCTGGGTTACGAGGCTCTTGATCGGCAGAAAGGATTATTCACAGGACCTCGTTCGTTTCAGAAGAATGGAAGGGCTTCATTCACTGGCGACAGCTCACCTGCAACAGTGACTCTCCTAGACATCCACTACATTCTACATTTTATCTACTTGCCTCGCTCTTGCGCATGATTTCTCACGCTACCAGTATCCTCAATTGTTTTCCGTCGGTGGTAATCCTGAACACAACCTCTGTCGAATGTCTTACACTTCATGAATGCAAAACCTTACCTTCTATATACATAGGACTGATCTCAAAAATGGCGGCCTACGTGGTCTCGTTAGGTACTGATGACTACCTTGTCTACTTTTTCCTAGGCTGGGTAAGAGCAGACAACGATCAGAGATGGGAGGGACCTACAATGCTACGACATACATGATCGACTTCGCGTTACACGTCGATTCACGCTGAATGCGCAAATTTTTGTGGATCCACTGTAGTGAGGCCTACTGAGCTGTTGAAAATTTGTCTGGAAGGAGCAGGCAGACGAAGTGAGCCAGTAGCGAACGATAGAGTCAAGGTCAAGCATTTGGGTTAGAGGAAGATGTTTGAATTCCCAAGGTTCGTATTCATGAGTACTGAGCAGCAAGCTTTCGGACGTTGCTGATATTTCAGTTGCAACGAACTCAAGGTGACAGCCACGCCTATTTCGCATCGGAAGCGCACATCAAGTATGTGGCAAGAGGATGATTGGGAAACGGATCCTCATGTTCGAGAGTCCCTTAACATAGGGTTGATCTCAACATTCATCAACGTCCTTGCGTGTGTCAGACGCGCGAGCAAGCTGGTGAGGTAATAGATGCCTTGTGCTAGCTCCATGTTGGTACGAGATGGAACTGTTGGTACAAAATCCAATGCCCGACCTCCCTGCGAATATCATTCTATGAGCTCTCGATAGGGAAGATGATGCAAATAGAAAGAAGCTCTGGCCGAACGCAAAGACGGGCAAGACTAAGTTCAGCGGTCTCAGCTGACTCTCAATCATTGAGGTAATGGGGATAACGCCAGGACTGCATGGCAAGCACTGGAGACGCTATCACCACGGTCACCAAGTTACAAATCCGAATGCAATCGGACATCTCAGCCGGATTTTATCTTTGAGTAACGTTGGCCTGTGGAGGATTTTTCGTTTTCGGACCCCAACAACTATTTGGAGCTACGGCACAATGCACCGCCTGCCGTTGTCCTTAGGACGGACCAGGACTCCGAGTATGCCAGGGAAGCAATAGAAGCGAAATCTGGTACCGCCTTTGACCACGTCGATCTCCACAGCTTTCAGCGAACGATCTACGAAAACGCTGACGGGGCCCACTGGCATACCAGTCACGGTCCAGGCGGACTACCAGATTTCGACTGGATTGAGGAACAAAATGATTTCGAGCTCGAGACAGATTCGCAAACCGGGAAGCAGATGGCGGCTTCAACTCTGGTTCGGACCTCATTTCCTCGTCTCTTCTTGCGATCACATCCATCGACTGAATACCATCAGTCATCATCAAGTACAGACCCCATTACCCGTCACACATATTCGAATTAATCTCAGGCTTATTTTTGATGCCCAAGGTGATGGGGTCTTCTCCGATCACGCAAGTCTGCGAGTATGTTCAACATCAATGTTTACGAATCTTCAACCTTCTGTAATATGTGCGCGAGCAATTCTTAGTACATCCAGAAAAGATTAACGAGAAGTCCTTCATCTACCTCTTGAGAACTCATGGAAATGATTTTGGGCTGGATTCATCAATCGGAAAGTCTTAAAAGCGCTCGGTTCCTAAAATGTTGGATTCTCTCCTCAGTTTGTTAATCCATTTCTACAATCAACCTCTCAAATAAGTTCCTAATATACTAGCAATACCATAGCGGGTTCTGGATTAACTACCGCCATCAAGGTCCCCGAGAAGATGGACGTCTTTACAATTCAATCTGTCAGAATGGATTCAGCACCAGTGGACCCTGGCGCGGGCGCCGTGGATGCCGCCATCCTCGGTCCTGCATCCCGGTTTTCTACGGAGAAAAATCATTGTCCTGTGCTCAGGGCGCCCTAGACGATGAGCTAACCTGCTGGTCTCTTATCAATCGCTTCAAAAGTATCTGATTGAGCAGGCGCTTCTTGAAAAGCCCTAAGCCTTCCCCAATGAAATCACTGCTCCTTGCTGATGTTTCACTTCCTAGTCCGGCACGGACCAAAAAGCGTGAAAGAATTTCTCTCTATGGTCCAATTTCGCCCACCATCTTCCGCTGATACAACGGGACATCGGGGCCATCATGACGGCAACCGATCGCCTGAACCTACCTGATGACGAGCCAAGTACGGGCCAATGTTTTGGCTCACATTCTAAAGGATTGGCTTGCACGGTATCTCCGGCCCGGAGATTCGCCTCTGACATTGCCAAATTTCGTATGGACGAAAAAAATGGCTGCTCTTTAGCGGTGGCGTTTTCCCTGAGAGGCGCGTTCGGACAGCTGCACGGTGTGATGTGTTTTTATACTTGATCTCTACCCGGGCTTACTCATGTGTCAACCCTACAGCTACCCGAAATACCTCTGCTACCTCCAGAAGAGCTTTTGAGTTGCCCAATCTGGAAGATTGGAGACAACAGTTTCGCGAAGCTTTTACGGAGGTACGAGGAGAGAGAGAGAGTATTGGAGTCTACTACACAGGAGTTAGAGTTTGGAAGGCGACTAAGAACATCAAGCTCAGTGGATGTGACTTATGTACCCACAGCTGCCATGCCAGCTCTGCCGCTTTTCGCAAGTACAACAATAAGTACCTCGAAGGCAGGTGGAGGAACAATCTGAAAATCACAAAGTCAGTATAGGTTCTTATCAATGACTTCAACACATACTAATAACTTCTAGACACGGATCAGTGGCCTCAAAACACGTTTACCATCAGTAGCATTTTGCTTCCATCAAACCATTCCACCCGGAAACTTCACGGATCAAGCACGCGATTCCTCTTCTATTTCTGTATTGGACTTTTTGCTCGTGGTCAACCCCCCTCCACTTCATCATTCCTCATCATCAACGTCTCCGGTCACAGAAAATTGGGTTCATGAACTGACCATATTTCCTTCATCATCAGTATCGTTCTTCACAGAAACACGAGATAGAAATCAAGATCCAGAGCTAAAGAGGAAAGCTTCGACAGAGATGATGGATATATCGAAGGAGACCAAAGAGCTTAATCGAGCCAGTGAAGATACTCATGCTATGCCGTCTAAGTATCAAAACCCCAGTGTGCATGATGCATCGGAGAGCCAACATCTTGCCGAGGTTTTTGGTGAGGACTGTATTTTCCTTGGAAAATCATGGGTGAGAAAAGATACGGCAGAACTACAGGTATCAGTCGGAGAGCCGTGAAAGAAAAAATGGGATCAACTCTCAGCCAAAAATGCGGCCCACACTGACCAGCATTTCACCATCGTGATGGCTCTTTTCAAAGTTAAACAGGCAGCGGATCCCGGAAAAGGATAGTTGTGCTCTCTTTGCTCAGCGAAGGTAAGGTTCGGCATCCTTCAAATACGAGACGCAGCACTCTTACGCGCTCAAGTCACCACTAGCACACTGGTATACATGCACAGTTCGACACAGACGGTAGTGGTTGGCAAAATGTTGATGCACCCGGTCAAAGCGACGTTATCTCGGTGACACATCACGACCGCCAAGGAGTGGGAATCTTTGTCACGGTGATCGAGGGTCTGAAACTGTGGATGTACTGGCTAGATATGACGAACCAGGAACGGAAAGATTTCGAAAGGGATTCATCATGCGTTGTGACTTAAAAGGCTCGAAGGGTTCCTTTGTGGGACCAAATACACCTCATCCAAATAGCTGAGTTGGCACCATGGTAGGTAACCCTTTCGAGATCTAAAAATCAAAAAGCACGCTCACCGTTTCCACACGCAGAGCGCCTCGGCGTTCGCGTCAAATTCTTCTTGATGAATCTCTGCTGCTGGTATGGGTCTCCCTCCGTTGGCGGCGCAGCCGAGCGCGACCTGACTATTGAATCGGAGGTCGAAGGCCTGGTGAGAGCTGGGTTTAAGCTGTGGGATTAGCCTTCGATCGAGCGCGAAAAGTCAAGCTCGTCACATGATGGACCCATAACAATGCTCCCAATAGTCCGACTAGTCCGTCCACAGGCCTAGACTAGTCCAAAATAAAGCTATTCACACAGTCCACAATCCGTCCAAATGCTTGCCCGTCCAAGTGGATTTAGACTAGTCCATGGACTGGTCCGACTACTCCTCCATGGCTTCCAAAGCATCTTCCCCCAAAGTACCGACAACAGCATATAGATCTTCCTCCGTAAAGAGACCCAATTAAAACCATAAATTCAGCTAAAAACCAAAACATTAAGAAATAAAAAGGAGAAGCTGACCCTCTCTAAAACTTCTATCAAGTGGTAAGAAGCACACCAGGGCGCGACACGGAGGCGGACCACACTAGGCGGGAGAACGAAAGGGGGAACATAGGTTCCAGTGTAGCGCAACCCCCCCCTACAAAACAAAATACAAAAACACATTGCAAGGTCTGTTAGCCAATCATCTGCGCCGTGCCGACTCACTGTTAAAATGCAGGACGTAAAAACAGGAGCAGCCGCGTAACAAGTTACAACATAAAACCACATTAACCCGCTCCCGCTCCATTCAAGGACGTAACTCACAAAGAACCAAGTGGATGGGGCGACATGTATCTATGAAGACTTTACAAATAGCATACAATAAGCCAACAGGAAGGCCATATACTAACCCAATGAAACCGGCGAGTTTGAGTTACGTCAAGGCACCGCGTCGTGCTTTGCCCGAACCAAACATCATCTTCTCAATCCTACAGGACGTCCGTAAATCACGTTGCTCCAAGTAAAGTATGCCAACCATGACGTACACCGGCCTAGCTTTAGGACATATCTCTTGGGTATAACAAACCCAGCTTAGTCTCGCTTCTCTATTCTTTTGCGTTTGATTATCAACCATTTCTCATCCATAATCATTGTGGTTCCCTGTCGATCTTTCGTTCTCGTAGTAAGAACAGCCGTTGCCCTGGCAAATCAATGTATTCGGCATAGCCTATGAACTTTATCGCCCTGTTGGGGAAAACATTGGGCTTGCTTTTTGATGATGGCGCAGGTGTCGCGTTCTGTGAGAGGTAGAGGTATTTCTCCACATCCGGTCAACGATAACCGCGGCAAGGGTGTTTCAGCATATATACCAGAAGTTGTGAACGTGCTACCATCATTTATTGTATATTGAAGGTTGTGTGGAGCACTTTTGGTCTTATTCGCGTTAAATCTTTGAAAGGCATGTTTGCTTTTATCTCTCTCGGAGCGTCCGGCATCGCCGTGGTTATTCAAACATGTACTTCTTGCAAGGCAGTGACTCAGCACGCGTTGCGAATGTGACGCAGAGGTTGGAAGAGTGGCAGAGGATTAACAGATGGCGAAATATTGCTCGGGAGTCTATTTACGCGAAACGAACACGCTATCACGTGCAGGCTTCCCGCCACTTCTGCTTCTGCTTGAACCGTCGCAGCTCATACATACACCCACTGGCCACAATATACGCCAAACCAGCAAAGATCTGAGGATAGAGATAATCACGCCTGGACCCGGGACGACGAAGCTCAAGTGCGATGACTTCTGCGAAAGTCGTGGGTAAGACGACCGACATCCATGATAGAGAGAGCAAAGAAGCCAGTTCCACTAAACCAGCAACTTCGACGCAGATGGGTCCGATGGTCATCCAAAAGACGCCAAAGAAGGCTCCGCTAACAATGACGAAGAGTATAGTCACCCCGTACGATGTTGCAGGCAGCCAGATAGCGAAGCACGTGAAACCGCAAATCAGGGTCAGCACTCCAGCTGTCTCCATGCGACCAAAGTGATCGCTGGCTACTCCAACCAACGGCCGTCCAACCGCAGTGCCTAAGTTGAGGAACGCAGATACAGCAGCTGCCTTGCCGGCTGAAAGCCCAATCGAGCGTGCGAAATCCGAAAGCGAGAACAGGATAGTGACATAGCCGAGCATGCTGACGAATGCCCAGGAAAGCAACAGGAACACATCGTACCTACGCAGCAACTTCGTATCGAATCCACGCTGGGGAGGCTTGATAGCCTTGTTGCGATTTCGAATCATCAACGCAGCTATCACGTTCATCATGCCAGCGATGATCCCCGTGATGCGGAGGGACCATGCCAAAGAGATGTTCTCGATCATAGCCTGTGTTGCGAATGAAAAAATCAGGCCTCCTATGCCTGAGCCAGCTGAAGCGATGCCGCTCGCTAGGCTGCGCTTCTTCTCAAACCACTGCGATAGAATCGCAATACTTGGGATGGACACGAATCCAACGCCAAAGCCGACGAGCACGCCTTGAGAAAGAAAAAGCTCCCAGATACGATGAGCAAAGGACGCAGAGATATAACCGGCCGCTAGCAGCACCGCTCCAAACAGCATGGGTGTCTGCGTCCCGAACCTCCTCGCAAGGATCGTGACGACAGGAGCTACAAGCATAGCCATGGAGAAATTGAGACCGCCGATGAAAGCGAAGTCGATGCTGGATGCGTCTGGGTAGATGTTGGCGGACAGGTAATGGGCGAGGTAGACGCCGTATGACTGTGTAATCGCCCAGTTTTAGATATGCTACGATCTGATGCTTCCGATTTTGGAGAGGATGGCAAGAAGGTTTTGAAAGGAGATCTTACAGCAGTAACACCCCAAGTGAAGCCATTGATGATGAAGACGGACGCGACGCAGACCCAGCCATATCCACCATCTGGTGGAAGGTCGACCGCCAAGTCTGAATCACTCAATGGCAACGCAATAGCCTGTGTCTCGTGGATCTTTGGCTCCGAAGAGTCATTGACAAGCTCAGCGGTGCCAGACATCCTTGTGTTCGAAAATTAAGGACTCCCTCACAAACTTGCTCTACAAGTATGCCCGCCTTGCAGCAATGAAAAAGCACCTCCCAGGAGATGACGCTGCTGGGAGATATCCATTTTATACACGATCAAGATCCCTACGCTCGATTTGACGCATCGGACTAGAAAGTTTGTGGGGTCATGACTAAGCGAAGAATATGTCACTGCCTGTACCTGATTGGCTGCCACCAGTGTCCCGCGTTTGGGTGCGAACCCGCCAGCATCATACATTCTTTCTGACAAGTATTGTCCGTCCAATCACCATGTCTGAGCATGTCACAGTCTAACACATTCTGCTTAGATGACAGGCTTTTCTACTTCTTATATATCAAACACATTTCATTGCTAACATACATCTTTCTGCTTACTGCAGTCAAAGCCAGAAACGTCTGTGAAAATTTCACCATCATCTATCTCCCATCCTTAGCTACCTCAATCGCGGTCGCAGACAACATATTGACCCGAGCAATCTTTTCCTGCAATACATAAGCCCTCAGGCAAACCATCAAAGATCAGAACTCCACAGGCCTCGGCTCGACCAAGAATGGAAAACACCACCACAACCAGCACCACCCACCCCATCCCCATCCTCCCCACCGCCGACCCCGACCTCCCCCCCTCAGACCTCGAAAAACAACCCCCCCAACCACCAGCGCCCACCGCGCCCAAACTCTCCGCCTTCCGCTCCCTCGGCCTCCTCGACCGCTTCCTCGCCCTCTGGATCCTCCTCGCCATGACCACCGGCATCCTCCTCGGCACCTTCGTCCCCAGCACGGGCCCCGCCCTGCAAAAGGGCAGCTTCGCCGGCGTCTCCCTCCCCATCGCCCTCGGCCTCCTCGCCATGATGTACCCCATCCTGTGCAAAGTGCGCTTCGAATCCCTCCACCTCGCCTTCGCCGACAGGTCCATCTGGACCCAGATCGGCGTGTCCGTCCTCCTGAACTGGATCCTCGCCCCCTTCCTCATGCTCGCGCTCGCGTGGGCGTTCCTGCCCGACAAGCAGGGGCTGCGGCAGGGGCTGGTGCTCGTGGGGCTCGCGCGCTGCATCGCCATGGTGCTCGTCTGGACGGGTCTCGCGGGCGGCGACACCGAGTTCTGCGCCCTGCTCGTGGCGCTCAATTCCCTGCTGCAGATGGTGCTGTATGCGCCGCTGGCCGTGCTGTTCGTCGACGTCGTCGGCGGGGCGGGCGAGGCGAAGAAGGTGTCGTACGCGACGGTCGCGACGAGCGTGGCCGTCTTCCTGGGCATCCCGCTCGGCGCGGCCGTCGTGACGAGGTTGGCGCTCCGGAGGCGAGCCAGCCCGGACTGGTTCGATGGGACGTTTTTGAAGTATCTGAACCCGTGGTCCCTGATCGGTCTCCTCTTTACGATTCTCGTGCTCTTCGCGTCCCAGGGCCACCGCGTCGTGCACCAGATCGTCTCCGTGGTCCGCGTCGCCGCGCCCCTGGTGGTGTATTTCGGCGTCGTGTTCTTCTTCACGCTGCTCCTGATGCACCGGCTGGGTTTCGGGTACAGGGTGTCGGCGACGCAGAGTTTCACGGCCGCGAGCAACAATTTCGAACTGGCGATTGCGGTGGCGGTGGCGACGTTTGGGGCCGATAGCGACCAGGCGCTCGCGAGTACGGTGGGGCCGTTGATCGAGGTGCCGGTGCTTTTGGGGCTCGTGTATGTGGTCCGGGAGATTGGGAGGAGGAGGGGGTGGAAGGATTGAGGTGCGGGAAGGAAAGGGAGAAGATCGCAGAATCGTAGTCACTGTCGACATTCCAGCTTCTCGTCGAAGCTTTCTTGGAGGCAATGCTGAGTTCCAATATGATCTTGGCATCAGAGACATAGGGAAATGCTTTCATCAGATAAAACTCAGACCTACAGCGCCTCCCCCCTCACCATCCCCACCACCTCCCCGCTCAACCCCCCCTTCCACACATCCAACAAATCCCCCCAATCCGCCAACAACCCCATCCCCCCACCAAGCCCAGACTGAAACCCCAACCACCCCATCAACCCTCCCGTCAGCGACCGTCCCAGCTCGCTGAAGTTGACACCGACGAAGCCAGCGCCGCACAAGAGTATAAGAGGAAACACCTTCGCCTAAAACGGGAGACTTCAGGAATTATGCCACAGCAGCTGACACGGTATCCGGGTCATGGATCGAAACATCATGTGGTGCGAATTCCGTCGCAGTTCTCACTTCCCGACTCTTAACCACCGTCATCGTTGTAGCACTGGCACCCCCTGCGCCCGGCACTGTACGCGCTCGCGGCAGGGGTGCTCGCTTTGATCACTGTGAAGACTGAGATCTGATGATGCCTCCCGCTGCTGTAGGCTGGATGCGTGGCTGGCGATGGTGCGGTTGAGGATTTGGGGTGGGATTTTGTGTGGTATTGGTATGTTTTGCGGAGGCGGGTGAGGGGGCGGGTGAGGGGGACGGGGGTTGCGGCGGGGTGGCAGAGGTGTGTTTTTGGTTGGTTGGCTGGTTGGTGGTGTTGGAGGGTTTGAGAGATGGGGATGGAGGATGCGGGGTGAGATTGGGGGGGGGAGATCCGGGGCGCATACGGTTGGGATCTGTGGAGTCTGCATCGGGGACTGCGGTTCTCGATGCAGGGTCGCTGGCAGGAGGGGAGGTGGTTTGCGGATGAAGAGGCGGCTGCCGAGACGATGGGAAGATGGATTGGTGTTGTGGTTGTGGAGGGTTGGGGGCGCGTTGTGGAGACGCGGGGCGAGGGCTCTCAGGGTGGGGTGTGGGCTTGCTGCTTCGATGGGATGTTTGGTCTCCTCTGCCTACGTATCGCGTCGTCTGTAGTGAAGATGGGGACGGCCATGTTTGACTGCTGTGTTGGGGCGGAGTGGTGGAAGGATTGTTACGAAGATGGAGGAGGAGGAGGGATCGCTGAAGGTTGAGCGAGCCGAGGAGCCGCCAACAGGTAGGATGCTCATACGGATTACAATCTATCCGCTACTGACAACGCGGCGGGGATGTTACTAGATCTGACTGAGGAAGATAACTGGTAGTCCAACGCAATTGGTCTATCTAATCGCTCTCAAAGACAAGGGTATCAAGCTGTCCGCCCATAACCAGGACAGTGTAGAATAAGAATAATGCACAAGCCCCTCTCAGCCTGAACGCCCTACGTGAGTGTTTCCCGCACCAGAAGTCTGAAGGAGGCCATGGTCTCGGCCTTCAGGTCATGCGCAAACTTCTGCAATCTCCTCCTGTTGTGGGCTCGGCAGGTCTGGTAGCTCCTTCTCGAACTTATCAACTTTGCCAGGTCTTGGTGTGCTGCTAGGGGTACTTTCGTTGCCCGCCCTTGGAGTACTTCCGCTGCCCTGGCTCCCAGCTCCGAGCCCCCTCTTCATCATCTTCCCCAGTATACCCACCAATTCCGCCGCGTCCTCAAACATGTCATCATCCATGCCCTCTTGCGCGTTGTATACGTCCTTGATCGCTACTTGCGCTAATCTTCTGCTTCCCTCACCGTCGTGAAGGCAATCGTAAAGATAGGCTGCGTATTCCGTCTTCACTGAGAGACGGACCGGATGGGAGCCGGAGAGACTGGTATTGGCGAGCTTGCAGGCGTATTCGAAGCATTCGGACGCCCGTGGAATGTAATTCAGCGCGGGTAAGAGGAAGGAAGCCGAAGGTTTGGGTATGGAGACCGGGGTGAGGCCGGGCGGAAGGGATCCGATGTTCTGGACGGGTCCACCTTCTAAGGGAGGAGGAGAGGGGCGCATCGAGTTTCGGTAGACTGGTGCTTTGCCTTTTTCCGCAGAGCTTGGAGTGTAGCTGGGTATAGCGGTCTGAGTGATGGATGGCTCGTTATGGAATAGGACGTAGATGTGATAGAAGCTAGCGCGAAGCTTGTGGCAGAGTACTTTTAATGCATGAGTGCGGGTATTTTCGACCATCGGTAGGACATATTCTTCGATTATGTAGAGACCTTCGCGGGAGAGGAAGATGATGTGATGATAGAGTTGTAGAGACTTGGTATCGCGGGTGGTATCCAGTCGGCGAAGTCGGCGGGCGCGGACCAGCTTCTTGGAAAGGATGACTGAGAGGCCCAGGACTTTGTAGAGCTTGCTAGAGAGGTATGGGTAGCTTCTGTCGGTAGCTTTGGCGAACCTGCCTAGGAACTTCTGATCGACCTCCGAAGAGGCCATCAACGTGTGGGAGCTGAGGATGTGAGGGTTCTGCAAGAGCGTCACTAGGTCAGCTTGAGCTCATGGCAAGGACGGTAGCAGCGATAGTGCGATGCGAACTCGTTTGGCGACACCGCAATTGGCCCCGGTGTTGTGTTACCCAATTGCGGCCGAGAGTGATTGTTGCAACCGCAATAGGGTATCAAGAGTGAATGAGCTTTGAATGTGAATTCAGGTAGCACGCGAGCAATGCAAGCTCACCTTCTGCCACCCGCCGTAATATTGAAGATCTTCTTACTTCTTTTGCTTTCGACGTATGGATGGCTTAGGTAGGATACGTCCAGGTTTGTTGAGATGTGTGCTTGGCCAAAGTCCTTCATCATTTCCGTTATGGATTAATGCAGTGAATATAACCCTGGTGAAGCGTCCCCAAGTATCGCCTATCACGTGCTCGAAGGGATGTTCACTTGTATGATTCGCGGCGACCAAGCCGCTCTGCTTAAGTGATTGGCGAATGTTCCGAGATGAGGAAATTATATGTTCCTAGAGCTCTGATTGGCATGTGTATTCCCTTCCCTTGCCCAGATTGCAGATTATTTTGTACAGTCGGCGGAGTGTGTGAGGGCTTTAATTAACGGCGCAATTACTTTTAAAATGTCACACTACTTCCAGGTTAGCTGCGGACGTACCGTTCGGGGTGAGCGGTGACCTACAAGAACACAACAAAAGAAGTTTAGCACAGGCCTCAATTCCTTATCATACACTGGCCGTGGAGCTCGTCATCGCGCACAATGATTGTTGCTGTACAGGTCGGTAAGGGAAGAGGCATTGAGCCTTCAATTGGTCGAGGAAGAGGTGTCTGGAGACTTGGATTCCTCGAGGAAGAAAAATCTTTGTGCGGTCAGTTGCGCCTCGTTTGTCTCGCGATCCCTAGTCGGAGATCATCAATGGAAGGACGGACAGAGCCGTCGTGCCGCGATTGACTTTGGTGACCGCCTTTTGCAGGATCTGGAAGTTCGCAGCGTTTGGAGTGGGAAAATGGGTCAATGAGCGACAGGAAGCTTGAAGAGCAATGGAAAAGGACAAGACAAAGGAAGAGAAAGGAACAGGACTGCTAACGATGCAATGCGCATGAGATTGAACATTGTACGGTATCTATGCAGGCGCTCATGCTGGTCATAGTGGTGTAGCGGGATAGCGATTGAGTTGGTCCTGCATGAAGCTTGTGGTGCTTGCATACGTGTCAAACGGAGCGTTCATTTCGCAGCCGGTAGATCCCTGCCGCAGGTTTCCCAGGCCAAAGGGACGGAGCCCAATGCTAGGGATATAGGGGCCCAAGTGCGGCAGCGATGCCTGAAGAAGAGTATTGGATTGAGATTCATCGTCTGCTGTCATTCGGGATGTGAAGGATGTGAAGGATGTAGGATGTCAAGTTGAAGCAAGCGTCAATCCACAGGGCATAGAGTTGGGCCTTGTGGACCACGTTGTCCTTGGTAGCGAATCGCGGGCCTTCTTTCTGTCATGGCTTTCACAGCTTTCCCTGGTACGCTTAGCGGCTTAAAGAAATTTAGCGAGCCAGGAGCTAAGGTACCTTAAGTCCTTAAAAGTGAGTTAAAGTAAGGTAAGGTAGGTGCCGTAGCACGATTAGGCGCTGGCCACAGCCTGGCCAGTCGTCTCTCTTCCCCAACGACATCCCTTTTGCCAACTTTTATCATCTTCTCTGAGCCTTGACTCTACGACTTTGCCATATTGACAACTCATCACCCAGCCTCTATCATCAATTCACTATGTTAGATCACGGCACAATATGTTTGACTTTTATCTAGCTAACGCAGAGTTCATGTCTAGGACTCACCGTTTCGCTACCGGAGAAAGGAGCGGTGAAGGATCCCCAGAATCGCTTATGTACCAGCCTAGACCAACAGAGAAAGGGAACGGCGGCTTCAACTTTCATGGGACAGTGGTGCATTCCCAATTGCGCTTATGGACTACCATGTCCCTTTCAGTGGTCCGAATGCGCTTGGATCTATTAGTATTATGCTCGGGCGTAGCAAAGGAATGAGCCCCTACCTTGACTGTGCCTTATCTTCATCCTCGCCTTCGCTTCCATCATCCGCTGAACCCTCTTCATCATGATCCTCTCAACAGCGAACTTGAGCACGTCTCGATCGAATGCAGCCATCTGCTTCAGACAATCCTCCAACCCCCACCAAGTCCTCTCATCACAGAACACTCGTGGACTCAAACCACGTTGATTCCATCTGAATATCGCCAGCTCGTCCCACGACCTGTCCAGCATGTTGGAAGTATCTTACCTCCAGCTGCACGATCAGTGTGGAGCCTGACCCGATAGCGGCAGTCTGTCTTGGTTCTTTTGCATTGCCGCTCGCCGAGGTAGGCGGCTGTCACTGCATGGGAAATGCCTCCGAGGGTTGAATTGATCGGGTACTGGTCTTCCCATGGGCGCCACACATTGTCGGAACGTGGGCCGAGCCAAGGGTAGTCGAAGATGGAATGGGCTTTGGAGTTGGGAGGTCTTGAGGATGTAATCAGCTATCGTGCTTTCGGGGCTAGATGTAGACACTCTACCTCCTGAGTCTCTACCGAAGTCAACGATGGCCTCTCGTATACTGTCCACCTCTTCCTCACCTTCTGGAATCATGACGACCTTTTCGTCGCGGCCTGCGCCGTGCATCTTTTCCTCGCTCTCCGGGCTCATGATGATCGCTTCTTCGGTGTTGGACTCCTGAATATATTCTTCGCTGTCTGAAGACCCGCTGGTCTATTCATCCGTGCCAGGTATCAGAGTCACTTGCTGACTGTGCTCTTGTGAGTCCCCAATACGGATTACCCAGTCCCCTGTTCTGTCCGACATGGTGAGCTATCATAAGGTCTGCGGCCGGTGTTTGGTAAAAAAGGGGTATCTTAGCAGATGTGCTGTGACTTGAAACGTGATAGTAGACCAGTAAGTAAGCTATCATTGTGATCGTGGGAAATCAACCTGTCACCGCATGCTGTTGATGGCTGCGCGACCAGCAAACAAAGCAATTCATGGTTCAAGCCTCTACCAACTACCCGCCAGCTTCTCCTTCAACTTCTCAGCTCCGACCCTTTTTCCAAACCTGTCGAAGAATTTCGAGTCCACCGTGATCCACTTTTGCTCATCAAAGCGCGCGTTGAGGCCATAGAGATACAGCAGCTATCGCAAGCATTAGCCTCAACCCCACCGAAGGCTGTCCCAATCTCATGCTCACCTCTTCGAACTCCAGCTCTTCATCGTCGTCCACGAAAATGACCGGATGCCCATTGATCGACTTCAGCTCTCCCTCCTTACCCTTTTCTCCTGCCGTCACCTTCGCCTTCAAGATCCCGTCGTTCTCCTCGGGTTTAACTTCTTCCACTTTTACCTCTTCCGGCTTTGCCTCTTCGGCTTTCTCTTTGCCCTGCTGGCCCTTCTGACCCCTCTGACCCTTCTTGCCCTGCTTTCCCTCTTTACCACCTTTCTTGCCACCTTCGGTTATCTTCTTGCGTTCGTCTCCGGCCTTTGCTTCGTCATGTTTCGCCTCATCCTTTTTCTCCTCTTTCTCCTCCTCCTTCTCCTCCTCTTTCGCCTCATCCTTTTTCTCCTCTTTCTCCTCCTCCTTCTCCTCCTCTTTTTTCTCCTCCTTTTCCTCCTCTTTTTTCTCCTCCTTTTCCTCCTCTTTCTTCTCCTCCTTATTGTCCTCAGTCTCCTTTTTTGCCTCTTTTTTCTTGGCCTCTGCCTTCTTCGGTTTGATACTTGCAGGCGCATCAACATACAGCTCTCTGTACTTCTTCTTAATGTCGTCCTCATCCTTGCCAGCCAGCACTCCACTAATTTCCTTCCAGCTCTTGTTCAGAGCCTTCATTCCGAGAAGCCCCATCTCTTCGATTTTCGTCCATTCTGCAGATCCAGACTCGGTGGTCTCGGTTGATTTGGGAGAGGTCTCGGTGCAGGGAGACTCTGCTTTTTGGGGCTACTCTCGAGTCAGAGAATATTTCACTTCGGGACCAGGCATTCAAAGTCTTCAAATGGATGATGGGTACAATGGCAGAGTGGGATGTGAGATCAGGGTCTTGCTCACCTTCTTCCTTTCAATTACCGGGGTTCCTTTGCCGCTACGAGATGTGGTGCTATGTAAGAAGAGGTCGAAAAAGCTCAACTTGACCGGCTGACCGTTTGCATCGAAGAGGGGTGGCATGCTGGCGGAGATATGGATGACTGAATGGTTCTGGGTGTTGGCTGAAGTGGTCAACGGTGGGCCTGACGGTGGGTGTTTGATAGTGTTGATGTGATTAAGACTTCCGAGGGAAACCACGGAATCACGGTCTAGCCCGCCGCTACTGCAGATGGATTCATTTTGTGGTCTTTTTCGGTCATATTGCGTGAATGCATTTTCCGTACGTACTAAGTTGGAGTAGACATCGCCTACATTAAGTGCCTTCGTATATGCATTTGGCTTTGCTTAAAAAAGCAAAGTAGCGCCCCAATAGACCATAGCATAGAGCTTTGATTGTTAATGTTCATCGTACAGCATCCAATACAATGTATATGTGTATGCTCGCTGACGTGGACCTACTCAGATCTTTATCTGCTGGTGCTGCTCAAGATTGGCCTTGTCATGGATTTACCAGCACGTCATAGCCGTATCAACTTTTGCAAACCGCGACATGCCGATGCCAGCTTTCAAAATGTTTCCCTCTCGCTTTCCTTACCTCCCACCTATACACATCCTATCCACGTAATTGATACACCCAGCGCGACACCAGATACATCCTCCACACCCCCTCCATCTTCTCTGTCGCTGACGATGCGCCTCCCGTTCTTTGCCGCCCTCCTGGGCTTCGTCACCACCTCCCTCGCGCACAACATCCAATTGGGCGCGCATCAACGAGAATGCTTCCACGAGGTCCTGCATAAGGATGATAAGATGACAGTCACGTTTCAGGTTGGAGACAGAGAATTTGGCGGTGCGGGGAATCTGGAGATTGACTTCTGGGTGGGTGCTCCCCTGTTGCGTGCTTTAGGCGAAGCGGAGACCGCATTGTCCAAGGAAAAGACATACGACGCCATTTCAAAGCTCTGTGGACTCTCCCCCATCTTACTGCTACAGGCCTGTGTAATGTAGTTTCCTGCGCGCTCGTGCTGACACGTCCCCGCGTGCTGTCTAGATCGTCGGCCCAACGAACGAATACGTAGCCAACCAAAAAGCCGTCTCCTCCGGCGATTATTCTTTCGACGCGAGGGACGATGGCAAGCACTTATACTGCTTCAGCAATGAAGCTTGGTCTGCGAGCACAAAGGAGGTCAGCTTTAATGTGCATGGGATTGTCTATGTGCCCGAGAGCGAGGCGCCGAGCGATCCGTTGGAGGCTGAAGGTGCGTTCTATATATTTCACGCCGGCTCAGGGTATAGAGATATGTTAAGGAGGTGGTATTTGGTGCAGGAGGAAGGAAGCGGGGATAGCCATGGGTCTACCGGAGCCTGGGTGCTTCTGTCGTGGAGGCCAATCTGGTCGGAATGGCTGGACGATGGGTCCGGCTTTGAAGACAGCCTTTGCTGACTTCGGTGGCTTGAATCACAGTCAAACAACTCACCGAGCTCCTAAACCAAGTCAAAGACGAACAATCCTACATCGTTGTCCGCGAGCGAACACACCGCAATACAGCCGAAAGTACAAACGGCAGGGTCAAGTGGTGGAGCATATTTCAGCTGGGAGTTTTGATTGGGGAGGGCATATTTCAAGTCTGGTGGCTCAAGAGGTTCTTTGAGGTATGTGCATCCTGATCTTGCCGGAGACGAGGCGCTGGAAGAAAACGAAGAACATAGGCTGACGTGTGAGTAATCATAGGTCAAGAGGGTTGTATAAGACGGTTTCCGGAATGACGTGTAATTTTACAAACTTTCAAGCAGCTTTGACACAGCGCAGGCAATGTTACCATAGCTTGAAACAAGAGCTAGGTCCAAGTGAAGTTGACAAAATGCAATCCCAGCCATCCTAAGAAGTCCATACGCCCTGTTCCCCTCAACGCTACCCGGTCCTCCTCAACGAAGTCCTCATCCCGTCTCCCCCTCACGTCTCCGACTCCAGACCATCAAGCCTCCCCCTCTCATCCGAAACCGCCCAAACGATCACCTCGACGTTCTCGTCAAACGCGCACTCCAGCATCCCCATCGTGTACACCGCCACCTTCGCGTTGAACCGTGCTCTGATCTCGTTCCGGTATATCCGCGCCACGAAGTGCCTATCATATATGGAACCGTTTCGTGTGACGACGTCGAGTATCACGTCCACGAGCAGGTCCCGTTCACGGAGTGCGAGCAGGGGTGGGGCGCAGTGTGCGAGCTGGCATCGTCGCGGGTCGGTGCTTGCTGGCTTGGTGCTTGTGGAGGGTTGGTGGGTGGGGTGGTGTCCTTTTTCAGGCTTTTGGTGAGGTTGTTGCTAACGGGGGTTTTAAAGGGGGGTGCTGCTGTCGACCTTTTTTTGTGGTAAGTTTGTCTTTGATCTTGCTCGTAGGGGCGTGAGAAGAGGTGAGTCGGCCGATTGAGTTGATGTGTTGGTGTACTGTTTACATTTTGGGTGTGTTGGAATTTAGAGTTGGTAGATGGGGTGTTGAGAGCTTGGTGTTGAGGTGAAGTGTTTTGCTGAGAAGATGGCAGAAGTATTGAGTATTGACCGCATCAGGGTGTTGAATGCACTTTTAACTTAACACAAGGGATTTTGAAACTCCAAAGTTCCCCTTTTAGCCACGTCTGACCCTCGAAGATGTTCTTTGAGGCGGGTTGAAGTCTGCCTGGTGCGGTCCTCGAGAGCAAAAATATTCCGAGGAGCAAATGTGTTGCTCTGCTCACACGTGGATTTCTTAACACTTTTCTCGTCGAGCATGAAGCCAAATCGGGGCTTTTTCGGTCTTGAAGCACCGCCACTCTTGAACCCCGTGTTTTCCTTTCACCTCATCTTTCATTTCTGGCGCTCAAGCGTCGTCACCTTCAAATAATAATACATTTCTCGTTGACACAAAATCGACTTGACATTCTCAACACAGTCGGTTTTGAGCACTGTCACTTTTGAACTTCGTGTTTCCTTTCATCCCATCTCTCCCTATGCTCGTAATCAGATTGACTCTTGGAATATTGAATACATTCCCCTTCGCGGGTTGAGCCATGTCAAGGTTCAAAGTCGTGTTTTGATTTGACACATTTATCTTAAAGCACCGTGTCAAATCCACAATAATTAGTACATCTTATTTCTTTAACACTTTCTTCCACAAACACTAAATCAGATCGAGGTTTTTAACATCGCAAGCATTAAACTTCGCAGTCCGTTTAACACATTTTTAAGATATGGCCTATGGATGGTGGCGAAGTGAAGGACGGTTGTGGACTGCCAGCTGGAGATCGTCTCAGCGCCCCTAACAGCCTTCAGCGAGTCTAGGGTGGTGTTTCTGGGGGTATTCACTTTGGAATCAATAGAGCAGCCTGCGAGAGTCTGCAGCTTACTGTTTTCCAAACCGGCGTCCCTACTCGCCCGGAAGACCTAGATCCACGAGGGTTTTTGAGAGTGAAATGCAATCATGATCTGAGGCTGCGGGCCACCTGCGCCCACCTATAACAACGGTGTTCAACTGTCTGTCGTCGAAAGACTTATGTTGCGTTATTATACTATCAATCACACCCATTCAAGACCTCGGTGTTGTCTAGTTGCTCAACACTTCTTCAAGATCAACACGTCAGGACAAGAACTCTTCATTTGTTGGTTATTCTCCAACACGCAGTTTCGCGTTCTCTAATCTCTCTAGCGAGTGGTAGCAGTGATCTCGAAGAATCTAGTAGCCAGGTAGATATGTTCGAGAAAGAAGAGCACTCAGCAGTCTCACGGAAGGGGAAGGATGCGTGCACGTATTCTGTGGTGTATCTTGTGTTCATAGCCTTAGCTGATGTGGAAAGCACTCAACACTTATTCCTTCTTCTCAACACTTCTTGCTAGCTCACTCTGACTCCGAAAAGTCCTTAAGTTCAAAGGAATTCCTGCCTCGCGGTAGTAAATTTACCTACCACTTCCAACTTCCACATCCGATCAGACCTCCGCGAAGTGGATATGGCTCCGAAAACACGATCGATGGCGCTCCAGAATGTCGCTACAATTCCAAAAGTCAGGGATAGCCATCGAAACATCAAGCTTGGAAAGCCCAAGGGAAGTAACTCCAACGGCTACCAGGGATCGGGGACTCAGCCAAACCCATGGTGCATGTCAGAAGAGCAAATACAACGTGTCTGTGACCACTTCGCTAATGTTGGCAAAGCAAAGTCTCCCTGGGCATATGTCCGTAATCACTGTGTTCAGCAGCCGGCCCTCCTGCCCGTCGAGATGGACTACCTCGTCAATCTCTTGGCCTCTGTTGCAAAAGCACAGGGTGGCCGAGAGCGCTATAGAGGCTACTCTCATCTCGACTGGGATGACGTTGCGGACCGATTCAACGCGCGATTTTCGGCGGATGACACGGCTGGGAGATGCGAGCCGCGGAAAGTGACGGTTTTGAAGTGTGTGATGCGGGGGAACTACCAGAAAGTCAGGATTGCCCTCTTGCGTGAGCGATGCCGGGAGGCGCATGAAGGGGCAGACAACGCTGGGATCTACGGGTCGTTGACGGCTGAGCAGCTTGAGCATTGCCTTATTCACGGAAGACCGCTACGTACATGAGAGCTCGTGGCTTTGGACGAGTTGGGGGGTGGAATTACTGCTTTGCGGATAAGTACAGGTGCATGACTGTCAAGGTCTTGTGAGTAAATGGAAGAACGTGTTACCAGAAAGTGGTTTTTCAGAAAGCGGTCTTGGTTGTGAGAATACGGCTCTCGAAATTGCAATGCGAGAACTCCGGCACCGGAAATCATGTTTTTCTCCATCGACCATTCTGTTCAGTCTTTCTGGTCATGAATAGCCAACTGCTTATGTATGATCTGTGGCACTGCAGTAACGGGAAGAGACCAGTGCCTGCGACTGGCCGGGTCTTTAAAAGACCAGCTCGGAAACAATCATTTGTGACCTTTGATGCTAGGCCTGAAATCCCTTTTCTTCGTAGTCCCACCGCATTCTTTTCTCCGTTTCTTTAGGAGCTCTCATCCGCCTCCGGAGTATTACCCTCCAACTTGTTACGCACTTTATGCTCTTTCTACCCCCCAGGCTTTTCCATCTTCTCTTTCTCGCTCTCATGCATCGCTTGCAGGTATGCCTTCTCAAATAATGCCACTCCCATACCCTCATCGTAATTCATAGCACAGCAGGCCATTCAAAATGTAAGCTCAGGTCGACGAGCAAACTCTGCGTCCTCCTTTTTCCCAATCGCTTTGTAAAAACGCCTCCTCCAGTCTTTGGTGGCATCGAACTTGTGTCGTTTGGCGGCTTCTATCACGGACTTGATGATGCGGTCGATTTCGCGCTGTGAGAGAATTGGGTGGTCGGCGCAGTGTGCCTTTCGGTTAGGGGTTGAAGGAGCCATGGCTGTAGAGAGGCAGTCCTGTGTCCCTCTCATTTGGTGTTGGGTGGGCTGTTGGAGGAGATCTGAATTAACTTTAACCGAGCTTGAGACTTGGAAATTGGGATTGACAAAGCGTCTGAGAGGTTGCGGAGGGTGGTTTGAAAGAATAGGGCTGAGGATTCATTCTTGGGCTTGATGTTCGATTGACCTGGTAACACGGAGATCTGCGCAACACTGATGTGCTGCCAGCACACACTGCTGCTCGCGTACGATCGCTTACATCTCTGCGAACTCGAAAAGCTCAGGCCTGTTGAATGGGTTGCCCGACCAGAAACTTGGTCATATACTAACTCTGGTAATTGTGGCTTTGTCTACAATCCTCTTCTTCTCAACAATGTCTTCTACTTTACTGCTTATATGCCCGGGATGAGTGAGTGGTATTAGCAGAGATGGCGACAATTATGAAAATGGATGCAGGAACACTTTTTAACATCAGTAATTCCAGTGATTGAGCTTGAAGATATCTAGTCTTGCCACTCTGCTTCCTGCCCTAGTCACGCAAGCATGCTGTAACAACCACCACCACTCACCTCCGACCGCTTTCCCCAGCAACCTACCCACTCCCTATCTACAGCCTCTCAACCCACTCTCGCTTTCTCCGCCCTCCTCTTCTCCGCCCGAAACGCTTGCTCCGCTTCAGCGAACAGTCTTTTATACTCTTCCTCGTTCTCCATAAGCGCACAGTACAGCATCGCGACCGTTTTCTTCATCTGCGCTTCCCCACTGCCAGTGGTGCACGGTTTCCCCTCGAATCTCGCGTTGAATTCATCGGTGACTCTGTTCCAGTCGTTTATATTGTGTCGTGTGATGTCAAACTGGATTTGTTGGGCGTGTTTTATGAGCAGGCTGATGAGGTAGACGGCTTGGTGTCGTAGGAGGACGGGATGGTGCGTGCAGTGTGTGGAGTGGGGTTTGGTACGCGACATGGCTGGCAGGTGGGTCTGGCGAGTGTGGTGTGTGGGTTCTGGCGGTTGTTAGTTGGTGTGAAGATTTGGCTCGTTGGTCTGACCGTACCTTCCCCTTGCGGATAAATGATGTGGGATTTTGGTGGGTGTGAATGGGAAAGTGCAAGAGTAGAGTTTTGACCTTGGTTGGGAGCAGAGTGACAGATCTGTCGAAGGCATGGAGTGTTGGTGGCTTCAGCTGGTGTTTAGTCTATTTTCCATCTCAACACAGTCACACCATATGATCTTAATCTGTCAATGCTGTTCATTAAGTGGCGGAGGGGGCATATACTTTTACATACGGATTTAGAGACAGAAGGCGCATCGAACGACTTGGCATCACAATTACAAATGCGAAGCTGTTCTCCTCTCCGCGCCATGGCCTTGTTACGGCTTAGGAGGGCATGCGTTCATCTCAATGGCATCAATCACATAGTCTTTGGTACTTTCGTGAGACGTTGATGGGGAGATCTGCAGCTATGTCGGACTTTGCGTAACGGAAGAGCTGCGAAGAAGTAGAATGATTTCAATTGGAGAAGACAGGATGGATATGCTTTTTCAAGAAATAGAAACACAGGGGCGAAGCATGGTACTAAGGAAACAAGGCTTCAACTAGAAAATGGGTGGAGGACACAGGTCCATCTGTCCATAATACCAGAGACGCATCAAATTTCGATCTCCTTGGTAAACCAACTCGGCTGATGCAATCAACATGATTGCGTCACAGTCAAAGTACGAACCCCACACCCCTGCTGACACCTGCAGCTCTCAAAGTCAGCAATGCATCTTTACAGGAGAAAGCTCAACTTACGTCGTCACGCAGCTCTCCTTCACCACGGTCGTCGCCGTCACTGCGGGGCAGCACGCCGCAGGACAAGACAGCGTCGTCATGGTTTGGATGATACAGTCCGGCACGATGCAGGTGGATGGTGCTGGAGGGCAGTTTTGCGATTTAGTCGAGGTTATTGTCGGACAGTATGGTTGCGCTGATGTGGTTGTAGTGATTTCTACGGTGCTGACGGTGGTGATGGTGCTGAGGCTGGTGGTGGTGTAGGTTGTTGGTGTGGGCGTGCAGGTGGCAAGGGAGGTTGTGAAGAGGGCGGTTGTACCTGAGAGCAGAGCGAGCAGGCTGGAATGTCAATAAATTAGCCATTGAGCCTTCAGGCTGGCTCGATAATTGAAGGCGATCTTAGTTGCAGAGTTAGGATGTCGAGCATACCTCAAGGCCAGCCAAGTCTTGGACAATTTGTACATCCTGAAAAGCGGGGATTGGGGTTCGAGCTTGTTGTTTCTTGTGTTGTTTCTCAGGGAGATGAAGTAGGCAGGATCGATTCGTGCTTTATGAGAACAAAACAGTAGCCAAATCCCCCCCCTTACCGCTGCAACTAGATATAGGTTCTCGACGAAAACTCGCATAAAATCTCCGGTTTCAGCGCCATGATGTTTCCTCAGGCTGATGTCCCATGATTGGTCGTTTGGTCCTTCACGGTAAACTGTGACAAATTTTTATGCAGGTCGAGGGTCTACGCTGCCACGATCCCCGCAATCCTTTTGCTCAATCCGGATGCCGCAATGTCTGGCTGACGTGAGACGCATGGCCTCCTCCAATGATATCTGCGCCCGAAGCACGCCCTCGTCTCTTATTTCTCGTTTCTTGACAATTGCATATTCTCGCTAGCTGTGCACGTAGACAGTGTAAGAGACTGTTTTCAACCCCGTTAATCTCTTTTCGCCTTGCATATGTTCATCACCGATTCTCCCACTTCTTGCCAAAACCAGTTCCTCGTTCCAGTGGACGATCGGCTTGCGGCTCGCACAGTTAGTGGAGAGGCGTGCGTACCCTAGACTCAACAAGATCAAAAAGGTATCTCAAGTATGTCTAATCCAGAGCAGCCATCGCTTCATAGTGACCGGGTTTCACTTCTTGAACGCCATATGCATAGAGTGTGGAATGAAATTGACGCCACTAGGGTCGAGATCATCAGCGTCAGCAGCCATGGCCATGAGTGCACAAACCTTTTGGCTCAAGTATCATGCACGGCGTACTTACTCTAGGGTAGTCGCGGAGATGATGTGCCCCGGGTGATACCATATGCCTGCGACTTCCCAGGGAGGTTGGAGGGAAGAGAAGAAGGTTGCGCAGAGCGATGGATGTGAGTGTTCCACTACGCTCCGGTGCCCGAATTCTGTCAAGCTTGGCAAGCCAATGACCTTCAATCTTATCTAATCAACGTGTTTGCGGTCTAGCGCGAGACCCGATTTTGCTGGCGCCACGGCAATTTACTAATCCATCTTCTCTGCAACCATTCGTCCGTGCCACCAACTTCTTGCCAAGCATCTTCCGAATCCCTACTCTTCAAGTCTTTGCCAAATCGCCGAATGGCCGCGTATCTGACGTGCTTAGAATGTCGTTGCCAGAGCGCGTCCTTCAATGGACATGGCGAGTCGCCGGAGGTCAGAAAACTATCAAAGACCGTTGGTGGCAGAGTTCCTGCTTGATGGCCTCGAGTAGCTGGGTTGAGACCCTCTTTGAGAAAAAGAAGACAAGTTCAAGACTGAGAAGACCTCAAAACAGGAATTGTTCGGAGAATAGGTCGCGCAGCGTCCACTTGAGCTTCAATCAGCAAGAACAAAGAGTAGGTTGCGTGCTGAGCAGGACTGAGGGCGGGAAAACACCGCTTTTTATACCCAAGTGCCTGCCGTTGTCCTTCCAAATTGAGAAAAATGCCTGACTCCCAGTCCGTCGTGTATCAGGAGTCCCATCACGTTATGACTGTGTCCAATCGCAACTCTTCTCATCATTGAATCGTGGTGAGGCTTTTTTCATCACGACTCCGCCATCCCAGGGCAAGGCTCACAGCCCGTCAGCCTGATCATCGTTTCAGCAGGATGGAAGGGGAAAGGAGAATAGCTAGAATCAAGAAGTCGCGATATTTGTGGCCATCCGTCAGGACGTGAAACGAAGAAGTCCATCGATGCAAAGATTTAGGAGCAACAAAAAAGGCATACCGAGGTCTAGCGCAAAACACACGTCATCGTGGGGGCCATATTTGAGGCTTAGGATTGAGAGAGTGGGGCTGTCATCCCCGATGATGCTCTCCACGGACCACTCAAAGGCTAACATCGAGTCCGCCTGATCTGATCGTCGGGTCAGGAGGAGGCGAAGACGGAGACGAAATCTGGCATCAGAACTTCACCATGTTGAGATCGACTTTGAAGATTACGGTCCTGAAAGGAGCGGTGTTCCGGTGGGGAGTGATTTCTTTTGGATATGAGGCTTACCAAGAATTCGCCTGATGGTGGTTTCAGGAAGTGGAGGAGGCACATGGTAGATCCGGGATCCAGTAATCGTCATGCTCGGAATTGACTCTCCAGAGTATCGTGACGGAGCTATTTTGCCGCCCTCAGGTGTTAGTATTGATCGCACCAATAGCGAAGGTATCACCTCAGACCAGCATGTGGAGGAGTGCCATGGCCAGGAAAAGACCGCCGCAGCCACTGAATCGCTTTCGTTCCACGGTTGAATTTTCAGACTCGAAAGCCAAAATCGAAAGAGCGAACAGAACTGAAATGGCCTGGTCGAACTCTTCTTATCTTGGATCGATACAAAGATGAGATACTTAAAGCCGCGGTTTGATCAGGATCTAGATAGTTCACTATACGTCCATGGCTTGCTCTGACTGTTCTCGTGATCATCCTACAAGAGTGCTGGAAATATCTCCAAGGAACGAACTTACTGGTCTCATCAAAAGAAGAGCCGAAGATAGTAGATCCCACCAAACAGGGATCAAATCCCCATGTTTCGGGAAAGCTTGCAAATTGGCTCCGTTCTGCACAGAATGACTAGTTGCCGCAACGCTGCAGGATTCGCGATGTGATATCACATGCAAAGCAAATGCTTTACAGTAATTACCGTATGTCAGGCCTCTAGAGCATTACAGCGTGTAATTCGTGAAATGGGTTTGGTTAATAATTTGAAGGTTTTTTTTTTTTATAAATAAATATTGTTGGTTATATTTTGGGGAGAAAATTTTTAAAAACTTCCATTTTTTTTTTGATTTGTCCTTCCACCAAGCATGCCCCCTGATTACGAGGTAGACGCGTTGTTGGAAGCTCCCATAGCTCCCATGGCTCCTGCACGTACCTCGGATCTGTATAGCCTCATTTCTTGACTCGCAAGAGTACCCTCAGTAGGACTAGATTACACGGAAATGGTACCTCTCAACAGGTGGATTCCAGGCCAAATTTTAAGTACCTACTAGTGCCATACTAGCGTAACCGTCAGACCAATTGCTTTGCAGTAATTTCCTTAGCGGAGGGCTATGAGTTGCGATAACCGTACCTATACTAAATTAGTAAAAATTATCGTCTTTTAACGATTACTTAGTAATATAATCGTAATATTAAAAATTTTAAAGTACGTTATATATTTTTAATAGTACTTTTCGTAGAATAATAGTAAATTAGTTTCTTTAAAAAAGCGTATTAATTTTTAATATAATAAATCTAGAAATTTAATATATTACGATAGTAATTATAAATTAATAGAATAATAATATTTATATAGATATCTTAATAATAATAGATTTACGTAAATTATAATATCGTAGTTTAAATTAACGAACGTATCTCTTATTTAAAATTAATTAATTCTATTAATATTTAACTCTTCTTTATATATCTTAACTTTTATTAAATTCGAAGAGTTTTAGAATTATATAGTAATATAAAACATCTATAAATCTAAAAAGTTTTTATAAAATTTAAAATTGCTAATCGCGCGTTTGTCGCGGAAATTATAAAATTCGTCGAATTAGTAAATCTAATTAGAATTCGTCTAAAATTTATCGAATTAGTAAATCTAATTAGAATTCGCTTAAATTCCGTCGATTTAATAACTATTTTAATCTTTTTCGCTAATTCTATTAATTTAATAATAATATATATAAAAAAAGAAAAGTTCTAATAATTAACGTTATAATAATAAGATTCTATAGCGATAAGTATTAACGCTAACTTAAATTTAGTTATAGAATTAAACGATTTAATAAAATTAGTCGCGTAAATAATACTTTAATATAGCGTATAATAATACGTATATTAATAATAATATATATTAATATTATATATATATAAAATAGTACTTAGAGTATATTAAAGTATATTACGTAAAATTTTTAAAGTTATTAAAAATTTTTAAAGTTACTAAACTAATAGAACTAGCGAAAAGAGTTAAAATAGTTATTAAATCGGCGAAAAGAATTAAATATAAATAAAGTCTATTAAATAAACTAAATCGTACTTATAGTATAAACTCGGCGAAAATTATATAAAAATTAATTTTTTAGATTTATAGATGAATTAAAAAGATAGATATATTCATATATCGATTTAATAGTAAAATTAATTCTTAAGAAAGTAAAGAAAACTCGAAGAGATTACTTACTTAAGCTTATTCGCTAAGACTTCGCTAAGTATATATTAAACGTACTAGTAGACGCGTAATCAAGTAACGGATTTACGCGATTTTTCGCGTTTCCCCCACTATCCTTCCTATATATCACTTATAAAATAGAGCCTTATATATTTAATAAGCATCTAAATACTTTATAACGTAAGTATATTATTAATTATAATATTAGATTAGAATAGACGACTTTATAAATTTATAAAGATATTAATATATTAATCTTAACGATTAAACGAATTATTAAATCTAAAGTTACGCGTTATAATAAAAACTCTATCTTAGAATTATCTAAAAAGATTAACGTATACGATCTTCGAAGTTTAATTTATATAATTACTTATTTAGTTAATAATAAGTATAAATTCTATATATAATTAATTAAGAAATTTAAAATCTCTATCTCTAAAATAACTCTTCGTAAATACCTTTATAAAGTAAACTTTCGTCGCTATATTATATATCTAAAACTACTTATTTCTTAAAGTAATTAAAAAAAAAGGCTTAAGTAAATAAGAAAATATCTATATTAGATTATTAAAGACTAGAAACGAGTTATTTTTAATAATAAGAGCTCTTTTAAGAGTAGATAACTATAAGAGCGTAGTCTACTAGCGATTAGCTAGCGAATATAGACTATAAAAGACGTAGTATCGTTATAGAATTTAATAGTATATTTAATAGTAGAACTAATCTCTAAGAAATATTAAAACTTTAAAATATATAAAGTAAATCTATATTCGCTAAGTCTCTAAGTATATAAGATATATTATTAAAATTAAACTTTAAAAGAAACTTTAATATAGAATATATAATATCGACGTCTTAGCGTAAGTAGCGCTAAGGTCTATAACGTATTAAATCTAATAATTATCTTTTCTTCTAGATCTTAATCTTTAAACGTCTAAATAAAAATAGAATATTTATTAAAAAATCTTTAAATTCTAGTAGGGAAATAAGAGAAAAGAGTTAATCTATTACGATATCGTTTTAATAACGCGATAGAATTAATTATTACGCGTTATAAACGCGTTATTAATATATTATATAATAATATTAATACTATCTTCGAGAATAATATTACTTTTATAATATTAATTAATAATAATCTATAGTAAGTTAACGCGCTTAATATTAACGTTTTTATAGCGCTAATTAATAATCTCTATAACGAATAATATTAGATTTAAGAATTTATAATAAAATCTCGAAAATCTAATAAATAAAGAAGAGAGAAGAGTTTTTTTATAAATAATATTATTTCTATAGCGTATTACGTCTATAGCGAAGTAATATAATAATAATCTTTATTATAAGAATTTAAAGAGAATAATTAATAAAGCGACGCGTTCGCGATAATACTTTCGATTATTAATTAATAATAATAATAGAAATAATAACGATAGCTAGACGACGCGATTCTATAAATAATAGCGAAATATTATCGCGTCGCTATTATCTATATTATTAAGTATTATCTATTAATAATAATACTATAATAAAGAATATAAAAATCTCTTTTAAATTATTTATTTTTATTCTTTATAACTTCTAACGCTTTTTTTATAAGTGCTTACTTTAGCGCTATAATATTAATATTAATATTAATATAAATATAGTATATCTCGTTATACTAGTAATCTACTTCTCTTTATTATAAATATCTTATTATTATTAATTACGTCGATACGTAAACTAATAATTTTATAATATTCTTTTTTAATAATAATAATAACTTTAATAATAAGTATATAGTCGTCTTATAGACGTAATTATTAATTCTTAACTATTTCTATTATTATTATATTATATATATAATTATTAATAAATTTTAATATCTAATTTATTATATAGAACTTACTTTTATCGAGATAACGATTTATATATTTAATATTAGAATCGATATACAGAGGTCTGCATCGAAAGTCCTGCATATGCGCTAGTGCAGCCCTAACCCTACTTTCGGAAAGCGGCCCTGTAGAGGGGAAGCCTAAAAATATCTTCTCACAGCGCATAATGGGATTTAAGGTACTTCTTTTAGCCTTGATAGAGGTAATAAATCCCGAAACCTGGCTAAGGCTAGGTACGATTCCGAAGAACTCCACACGCATTGTCCAGGTAACCCTTTAGGTGGGGCGTTATCCGAAGTCTGAGCGCAAGAGTCTTGGCGGGTGCAGGACTTTCGGTGCAGACCTCTGTAGATATAATATTAATATAGATATATTAAATAAGATAACTAAGATATCGAACTATATAGGTGAAAAGAAGATATAATATAGTAGAGAATATCTTCGTTAAGGCCCGCTAGCTATAGAGCTAAGGGGTATATTAAGAATACGCTTATAATACTACCCCCCCTCTTCGTTAAATTATATCTTATAATTAGTAAGTGGAAAGATAGAAAAATAAGTATATATATACGCTTAACGCCTGAAAAATAATAAAAGCAGTAAAGAAATAATCGTATTTAAGAATCTTAGTATCGTATTTTTCTTCGTTAGAGATATTAAAGATAATAGTAGCTTTTTATATTTACGCTATAACGATATCGCTAATTAAGATATAAGCGTATATAGAGAATCTAGTCGAAAGAAAATCGATATAATATAGCGAAAACTATATTTATAGATATAAGGGTAAATAATAATAATTTTCGAATTCGTATTTAAGCGAATAGAATATTTATAAAATAATATAACGTAATTAATTAAGAGCTTTTAAATCGAATTAAGTTATAAGCGCTAAAAACTCTAATTTAATATTAAATAACTTTAATATAGTCTTTTTTATAATATATTATTTAGCTAATATTAATTATATTTCGTAATAGCGATAATATAATTTATATATATATTAATATAACTTCGAAAGATCTTTAGAATTATATT